CCCCCCCCGGCTTTGGACCAAGTTCATTTGAAGGCATCGTCGGCCTGCCTGAGCTGGCATTTCAATAACACACGCAATGGAGGAGATGTCAAGGCATCTCTCCTTCTTCATGATTTGATTGCAAAGTTCTTTGTCGTGACCGATACCGGCACTTTGCATCGTGTGCGCAAAAAAAAAGGGAATCCCAGCTCCAAGAGAATAGAGTTTCATAAAAGGTGTATTGCGTGCTTGGTACGAAGTTTATAAAGTCCCTGTTCCCACTCGCCTACGAGGATCAGAAGTCATGATGAAAGTGTATATCCCCTCCGCCCCCTTCCTTTGGCCTCGATAACAAGTCGATCAACTCTTTGTACGTGACAAGACGCCTCCGCTGCGGACTCCTATCCCCCCCCCCCCCCGCTTTCTTTCGAAAGGACCCACGATGGGGTCACGACCAGCGTATCCCTGATTCCTCTGTCTACGAATAGATTGTGGCTTCTTTGAATAATGGTGCTCGATGACGAAAATCGCAAGGAGATAAGGAGATAACAAATATGAACGATAGGACGAGAAGATAAGGAGAAGAATGAGGAGAAGAAATAGTAACGGAACATATGCATCGAGTCTATTTAGAGGCTTGTCATCGGGTGAATATATGAAGTCGGCTCTTTCAAACAGCCGTGTTAGTAGAAGGCTACTACAGAGAAACGCTTCTTCTCTCCTCGGCCTGGCTCAGCTTGCCTTGAGGTCTCGTACAGGGTCTGTCAGAACGGAAAACCGTACATGTTCACTGCCTTGTTCTCGTTTGTGAAATAGATCAAGACCATTTCCCGCAGAATGGGAAGATCATATCGCTCACATTTTTGGAGATCATGCGTCCGACTGCATGAGGTTGCTATCGCGTTCGCGTCTACCGCATATCTCATTTCGATACAGCGCTCTTCTGAGCGGAAGCACGCCCCACGTAGGATAATGAACTACAAAGGTTCCAAGGGAAGATACGGCAAGAGGAGAAAAGGGCGAACAGCAGCCATCCTGGTTGTATTGAGGCACTCGAGAGTCGAGAGAGAGAATCGGACCACGTTTTGGTGTCATTGGACCTACCTGCTCAGATTGCTCGTGTATCCCCTATCCCTAATCATCTCGAATTTTTGATGGGAGCAAACTAACTAGCCCAAGTCGCTTAGAGGGGGAAAAAGAAAAAGAAAGGTTTCCTCTTTACAAAAGAACCTGGGGAGAAAACAACGTTGTATAAACAAACGAACCCTGCGCGACTCCAGAAAACCATGTCAAACCATTCTTTGAGTCCTTGGGCTCCATTCAGAATGGCCCCCGGGAAATACCCACCGAGTTCGCGAGGAGCGTGCGGACTGCACGTCTGGTTGTTTGTCTTGGAGATCGGACCACCTGTGGTCTGTGGTGCAGGGTCGACCGACAAAGGAACCAATGTGGAAATTTCCAAAAGTTCGTGTGTCCTTTTGTCTGAAACCTTTTGAGTTCAACCTCGTCGCCAAGGCCCTGGAAGCGCTGATGGTAGGCCGTCGGTATGCGAATTCGTCTCCACATTGTCGTACAGAGCTGAGGGAATGTCTCCTTTTTCGAGAAAATGAAGTACGTAATAATGTCCTTACTCCCAAGAGCTGCCGGCAGGCCCAGCGCCCAGCACGGCCAGGTCAACAAGTCGGAGGCTGCCATCGACGCACGCTCTGTCATGATGAGCGGATCTCTTGTGTATTTCTATTCTGTCCATCAGGGTACAGCAGCGACTACGGTTGCTCTGTTCAGAGTGGTGTACAGAGGCTTGCAGCTCAAAGTCTTGGCCTGCGGGCTTGGCCGCCCAACTGGGGTAAAAGGCTGGGTATTTTTGTTCATCCCCCTCGCAACCCATAACGTCAATCAGACTGGTATCCGTACGAGTAAAGACTTGCTGTCGGAACTGTCAGTATTTGCCGAGTTGATTAAAGGAAACTTTCCCACTTGGACAAATGGGGCTCCTGTCCCAGCCGGTGAGGCTGTGCTCGCTGTTCCTCTCCCCGTTGGCCTTCTGCCGGCGGGCTCGGCTCGGACGTTGCAAGTCCTACGGTGCAGTTCCCTTTGCTCTTGCATCCACAGTTCTTCTTTTACCCCCCTCCCTGTTTGCTTGCGACCTTCTCGATTGAGATGGCGGTCACGTCAACAGCGTGTGGTTGGCCCGTACCTGGACCGCGATTGGAAATGGCCTAGGAGATGCCGTTTTTGCCGTGATCCCCCCAGCTCCCTCGGGCGTCGAGAATCTAAAGAGGGGAAATCTTGCCGTTGGGTTGTATTATTCTCCGGCGCGAGTGGTCTAGGTCGCAGAGCAGCATGCTGTCATCACTGCTTACAAAGTAGCGCTTTGCAAAATGCTTCCATCCTTGTAGCGGTACCATACGGAATCCAAGGTGCGAGTGGGCTGTGAGTAATTGGCCAGACCTGACCGCGCTTGTTTGTCCTCCGAGGGGTTGCAATAGCTCTGTAACCAGCATGCAAACAGTTTTGCTGACCGATGATCACAGAACCAGGATGAAAATATTCAAGTGGTAGGTAGATAGGGAACTGCCGGCGATAATCCAAGATCAGCACCTTCGACAGCGGCTAGACAGTGGAGATTGTTTGGAGATTTCCGTCGTCAATTCTTGTTTAGGAAAAAGTACATCTTTCGGGGGTTCGGTCCGTTAGTGTAGGCGACAGGCAAGTGCTTCTAGAATATTGCCTTTTCCGAGGTAAAGTGGCACAAGCAGACTGGCGTTAGAATCAACGTCCTGTCTTCTCAATGATAGTGAAACATTCTTTTCAAGTTGATAAGCCTGGCCGGCCGGGCAAAAACAGGGCAGGGCGAGCATTCAGCGGCAGCCAGCTGGAGGACGGGGCGTGAGCTGTGGTGCGGGAATGGCGTCCACTCAAGCTTTCCAAGAAAGTTCCAAGAGATTGGGCGAAGCCGCTAGAAGCAGAAACGGGCGGCCGGGTTCCGGGGCCGTGTGAGCGTAGTGGTAGTAACCTGGCCTGCAAGTTAACAGACCATTACCTCCTTACCAGTCCGCCATCAGTGATACGTGACATTGCTTGACAGGCCCCGAAAGCAACATGTTCGCAGTCCATCTATGGAGAGAAGAAAAAAAAAACGTTGGAAGAGGAGCAGGGCGCGACGTTCGAATTGCGACTTGCGGCCCCGTAGTCAAAACCTGACTTGGTGGCGTGGCGGAGGGCACCCGAAGGGCGTTTTCTGGGGAACGGGGGGATCTGGACGGGGTCCCTATCCTGGCAGGCATGGCGTGATGGACGGGGTAAGCTGCCATTGCCAACTGCTGGCTCAAATTCTCAATGATTGTCCTGAGTCCTGACGGGCCGGATGTCGCGGAGAGTGCTCCGTCTTGTGGTGAGGCAAAGTGTCTTTGTGTATGGCAATCGCAATATGGAAAACGGCGCCATTGAGGCGCCAGGGTCGAAGCGAAAACTCTGCTACAAAGGCAGCACAATATACGTGTCCTCTGCAAAAGTTCAATCTGTTTTACCCAAACTTGCACGACTGATGCTTGGCTTTGAAATGTACTGTAAGGTAGGTATGGCTGACCAACGACAAGCGATGAAGCAGGGGCTGTACTCGACTTAGTGTTAGCAAAGGGAACGGCTGAGTGGGATCCGCTCGCAAAAGATCCTTTGGACTTTTGCTAATGATCGGGCGTCCATCCAAACGGGCACTCCGCCCTGCGCACTCGTAGTAGGACAAGCGCTCAAGCGAGGAGAGGCGAGTGTGTGCGCGAGGGTGGTAGGTGGTTCGGGCCAGCCGCCGCTCTTGGCATTCGCCGTTCATCGTTTCGTTTATGCACCATTCTTCCCGTCGAGGCCCAGGCCAGCATACAGCATTGGTGTATCGCCGTCAATGTTTCGGGTGGGCGTACACGGTAGGGAACTTTGTTGTAGATTTAAGGACACACCAGTGGTTGCCTCCGTTTCAGCGGACGAGATGCAAGCCGGACACAGTCGTCTCTCGGCCGATTCTTGAGTCCAAGCCACTTGCGGACGGGATCGCCATGTGCATCGAGCTTGGCCGCGCTCCCGTTGTGCTGCTAAGTGGTGCTAACCCTCCATTGACATCCATTAGCGACTTGCAGTGCAGAGCCAAGGATTCCCGAGCCAGCAAAAACGGTGACGGCGGTGATGGCGGCGACGGCGGCGGAAAGGGGGGGATAATGGAAGGGGAGGCCAGGGCAGGCAATTCGAATGTTAAGGGGATGGCATGGCGACATGGATGATGGAGAAACGCTTGGTTGCGCGGCAGGAATCGGGCACAGTGGCGGATATCTGACCTGTTTCGTCCTGGTCTTGGCCTTTGGTGTCGGTCTGGGTCTAGAGAGAAGATCCAGTGTGTGGGCGGTGTTCGGTAGCGGTGGTTGCGCTACGTGGTATGGCATGTTTTAGCACCGTCATGTCGGCGGCCATGCCGTTCATCCCATTAAACAGAAACTTCGAAGTATCCCATTGGGATCAGCCATCGTCTTACCAAGCAGGCCTCGTTTGCCAAATTGTCAGCCAAGACTTCCGTCCAGCTGTGCGGATATACAATTTGTTCGCGGAATTACGGTACGAGTAGCCCCAACCTGGTTCAGCCGTACTGGGTCAGGTTCAGAACTTCAGATATCAAACCCCCCGTCGACGATCCACCTGACATTTACCTTAGAATTTACCTTAAACCAAGGTGGACTCGGTTTACGAAGCTCCAGTCTCCACAGCCAGTCAGCAAGTGGCAGACTGGCAGTTGCCGACGTGGCTCCGTTCTGCCTATATCCGGGAGAAAAAATCCTAGAGATTGAATGACGTGGACACCGCATGCAAAGGGCCTTCCTACCTTCCTGTGTTGGAAGACTAAGGTAGGGACGTCGTTGCCGGAATTGAAGTCGAGTTGCAACGGTATCCGTATCCGTACAGTACCTGGCCTTACGGAGTACCTGCCTGCTATATGGCCGAGGGAGTTGAGCAGGAAAGTAACGGAAGGAGCACGTCTCGGCGTCAGTACGGATACCAGTGAAGAAGGTTCACTTTCTCTGGTCGGGTCGCGCCCGACTCGAGCGGTGGACACTGGGAACTTTAAGACTGAGAAAGGAAGCAGGTACGGCGTACACCGTACGGAAGGAGAGTCCACGCCGGCCTAGGCCCCCCGCCTTTCTGTGCCGTGATGCCGTAATTGGTGCCATTGGGAAAAGTGTTCATTCAGCTGACCTTGGAAGCAGGCAGGCCGACATTCGAGAGTCCTTCCCATCTGGTCCTTGCCTGCGTACCTGCCTGCCCGGCATCAATCGAGGACTTTGCGCCATTCCTTGCATCAGATAGATGCATTGCGCATTGCGTTTGAAGCTTTGCGTATCCACTGACCACCTATTGTTTTTCTCTTGGTTCCTCCCAAAGTTCTAATTCTCCCCTTTTCTGTTCGTGTACGACGGAGTAGCACCTTGAGGTATTGCCAGAGCCCATTCTGCTATGGCGTCCAATTTCCAAGGTTGCGATGCAAATAGCAGTGTAAGAAGACGTCGTCGACCTACGCGGTACCAGCCTCTGTCCGTCTCGTCTCCGAGTGCAAAGATACCCTGCCGTCCTACTGGGTCCAGGAGCAACGGGAGGTAGCATTACCGTCCACCAAAGATCAAAAGATCAAAAGATGGGTGGTCTAGCAGAGGTCAAGGAAAGAAAGAGAGAAAAAAAAGTACCTTGGGCCCGCTCCACCCCGGTCGCCGCATGTCATTCACCTCCCCAAACGGGTTAGACCTGTCTACAAAAGGCCTCGGTCCGCTCGGCGCTGTTCTTGCTTCCCACATAGCAAGGCCCTTTCTATTTTTCTTAATGCTGTGGGCTTGCCAAACGGGATGAACTGCTGGCCACTTAGGTTTCAAGAATTGATCGTGGACCACTGGCCGCCGGGTGTTCGTCTTGACGATCATCGGCACCGAACTCGCCCTAACTTGAGCCTGCCATTTGCGACAAGGCCGTCGGTTCCTTGTCCATTCACGACACCCTGCCGCTTTCATCCCCCCCCTCCCTTCGTTCGTCTGCCCCTGCGGCCTGCCTGTCTGCCTCAAGTTCCAAAGTCGATGGCCTGCGTTTCCATTTGCTAGCCGCCGCTGCTCAACACATTTCGCAAGTCGCGACTCGCAAAAGTACGGTGGAAGCGCCAAACTGCAAGTCATCTCCAGCCAGCCTGCAATCCGACCAAACTCTGCGCATTTGCCAAATCGATCCGAGGTATCAAGGGTACGCGTGCCCAGTGTCGCTGCATCGCATTGAGTCCTGGTACTCTACGAATACGTACCCTCGGGTTATTAATTGAATCGCACCTTGGCTGATCGATACGTGCACACCTACCGCCCGGCCAGAATCCGAGCCTCCATCTCTCCTCTTCCCCCCTCCATTACACTATTATCGCATCACCCAATACCTGCAAAAATCCCGACAGGGACCGATTGTAGCGCGCACACGACCTTTTGGTTCTGGGAATCGAAAAGGAAGCGGGAAAAAGACAGACCCATCCCGACCGCATGCCCTCCCTTTTCTTGATCTGCTTGGGTCCTGTGCCGCTGGATACACGCCTTCACGCCCAGCAACCAGGTCCCATCCGTCCATCCACCCTTCTCTGATCACCACAACTCGCGCGGCACCCTCCAGGAACACACCAATTACCGTACATGGTCTTTATTCACCTCTGGTTTCTGTTACCCTATTCTTTCGCCATATCACGCTGTCCTTGTCAGCTACGGGACCACATTCCCACCCGCCGCTCTTCAACAAGCCCTGTCCTAGCCTGACCCGACGTCCGATGCGCATGAGATCCGCCCCCAGAGCCAAGTCCCCCTTGCGGCCCCGGTCGTTCAACACAGACTTACTCCCCTTGCTGGGCGGTCCCGGACATCGTCTCCAACCTCTCGCGCCCCTTCGGCCCTGCACGGGAATCGGTGCCCTCGTTTCCGGGTTGCACTGCTTCCATCATCGGGCTGCCTATTCAGTCCAACCTTGTTAAGCGGCTCTTTCTTTACGCTGGCACCACCCGATGACTCGACGCCTCCCGTTTCGCTTGACTCCTCCCGCCAGCCCGTTGCAACCTTGACCTTCTATCCCATCTCGTGTCCATCCTCTCCTCTGTGCTGTGCTGTGCTGCGCTGCGCTTGCTTGTCTCGCACCTCGAGGAAAACAACTTCTAGTCCTACGCCCGGTCATTGGAGCGAGGCGTATTACTTGGACCCGTCGCTCATTGCCACCGCTTCCTCGCTTCTCGGCACATCACTCCAACCTTCATCCACCTTTCTCACCACGACACACACACACCACCGAGGTCTCCAGGTCTCCAGTCCTTCTCCATACCTACGCATTCGTACCTGACTGGACCTATCCACTCCCGATCTCATCTCATCTACCGGTCTCGGTCTAGGACCCCTTTGCATTTGTTTTACGTTACTCTGCCCCGTGCGGCCCTCAGAAAGAGCCGCCGACAAAAGGCCCTCACCATGAAGTTTTGCGGGTCAGCATAACCCCCGGGCCAAGCACATCTCGTGAATCCCTCGTCTCCAGGGAATCCGTCCGAGACAGACGCACGGGAACGGGCCTCTGCCTCCGCTGCCACCCGCCGCATGGTGGTCCTGGCCTGACACGACTCGTCTGTTGCTGGCTCGCTCGTCTACTGTCATATAAAAGCTCATCTACCCCATGGATCCCCGCAGCGAGGATGGCGGAAATGGACCATCTAATACCGCTGCGCAGCCGCCGCCTCTCCGGCGGCGACTATCGATGGAGGAGGATTATTTTTACCAGGAAGTCATGACTTCCCCTTTCCGACGACCGTCACAGCCGCCACCATATGAGCGGGATGCTAGACCAAAACAACCGTCGGCACCCAGGATCAACTCCCAGCATGGAGTCGGGGAAGACCTGCCGGACTATTCGTGCGACATCGAGTTGGAGGGTGTATGGGTGAAGAAGATGGAAATTGAAAACACCACCAAACGGGCAGAGGACAGAAACTGGCACACCACAATCGTACAACTTCGAGGCACTGCTTTGAATTTTTACAACGTGAAGAAGGATTGGGGATGGGGCAGGACGAGAGACGGACCGACCATCTCGCCCGACAACCCGCCGTGGGTGAAGAAGGCTTCTCTCGACAAAGCGTACAGCCTTCAGCACGCCGACATTGGTATTGCTGCCGATTACAAGAAGTAGGTTGCCTCGATTCTCAGCCTCAATCCATGCCAAGACCTGCCAAGAAACTGACTTCCCCCTAGGAGGCGATATGTCATTCGTGTCAGGGCAGAGACCGATCAGTTCCTTCTCTCATGTATAGAATTAAGCACGATGGTCAAGTGGCTGGAGGCTCTCTTCGCCGCCATCGATGTTGCGGCTCCGATCGACGACCGTGATTACCCCCGCGACCAAAGTATCCCCCGTATTCAACGCATCCGCTGGTTCCGTGGCCAAACACCAGCACCGACGAACAACTACCCTGTACCGACGCCACGACCACTGAGTCCTGAACTTCGCCGTGTGGCATCTACCGATGCGCCCGATCCCTTCCCAGCATCGTCGACAATAGAGGGTCTCGTCCACCAGGCCGTCGTCGGCGAGCGCGGTGAGACCAACGTATTAGACAGCGAGTCTATCTATGGCCCCGGGCCCTCGAGGAACGAGCCCATTAGCAGCCGCCTGTCGACGACATCGTATCCCAACGAGGCCATCGATCCCGACACCGGAAAATGGGCGCCCGAGCACCAATGGAGCGCTGCTCACGACCTGCTGTACGCCAAGCTTTGCTACTCTGTTCTCCTGTTCAAGAGCCCCCGAAAGTCAAATTACATCATCAGCAAGGGGAAGCGATGGTTCGTGGACTGGGCGACGGGTCGCATGGTGCGCGTACTGCCACCAGCCTACGGCGAGATCGATTTCTTCGGCCCTTGGCAAGTTATCCATACGGAAAACAGAAGGATTTAAGAAGGATCGTTGTTCCTCCCTCACTTCTACTGCACATATACATACCCCGTGCCCTCATCAACGAGGGCCTTTTTTTTTCGCATTGACACGAGGAAGAATCGCAAGATTCGAACGAGACGGATTTTCACCATTACATACCCCAGAGGCTGGGGCCGGTCAGTCGGTCGGTACGGCGGCCAAAACAAAAATCGGGCGGGACGGCGCGGCATATGCATTCGGTTGGCTCTTTTTTTGTTTCCTCTTTTTACCTCCATTCCTCTCATATCTTCCTCAATCTCCTTTGTCTTTCATGGTGGGCGAGAGAGAGAACGAAAGCATAGCTTTGCGCCAAGCATATCATCATTGGGCGGAGTTGTCAAGGGCAGCGGCAATATCGGCAGCCCCGATTTCATTTACGTCCTGTTGTTTTTTTGTAGCATGGAGTATTCAGCGTTGGCACTGTGGATGCCTTGGCAGCGAGCATATTCGTTGATGATGGGAAAACTTTGAAGACTCCTTTCGTCTAGGCCAAGGCGTAGCCTGGTCAACTTGAATATATTGGACTTTGACAAATATGCCTGCGGATGGATGTGGTCGCTGAGCCCACTGTGGAAGTGTCTGATGCCCAAGACAAGACAAAGCAACATAACATAAACTAGGTTGTCCACAAGCGAATCCCTCGGAGAAGTGCTCCAACGTCATGACCAACGTCGTGATACCGAAGTACGTGGAGGAGGGGAAACGAACAAGACATGGATTGAAAGCAAAATGAAGGCCTATATAAACCAAATTGGTATCTAACGCATTGGGAAAAGCAATCCTCTCTACAGCCGCCACCCAACTCATTCAAAGAAAGAATTCATGTCTCCTTGAGTCCTGCCTTTGGTGGTTTAGGTACGTTCCGGTCTCGTACCTACGTCTCCTGCTCCCTCCCCCTTTCTGTTCACATACCCGCCATTTCAACCTCGGAAGCCCGCGCCTCAGCCGCCAACTCGGGCGCAACGTCCACCAGCAGGGCGTTGGCACCGTCGATATCGGCGACCTGGCCCTCGAGCTGCGCGAGGAGGGCGTCGATTTCCGCGCGCTGGGACTGGATGGAGGCGAAGAGGGACTCGTTGGAGGCCTGGGTGTTTTGGAGGCGGGCGTTGAGGGTGGATTGTTGGGGCGCGAGGCGCGGGGCGAGATGGGCTGTTAGGATTTCGTCGGGGGGGAGGACGTGTGGTCTGTTTTTTTTTTTTTGGCTGTCAGTCCTTTTTGCTTTCTACCCGGCGGCTTGTGAGAGAATAGAGGGAGGAGAGTTTGGGGGTGGGGGGCAGTATGTCCAAGGACAACGAGGGGCTAGGAGGAGGAGGAGATGACGTACGGAACAGGTTCTTCGACCGTGTCACCGCCTTCTTGTCTTCTGCGGTCCGCGTCGCTGACGAGATTTTCTAGCTCGTTGAGTTTCCGGATGACATCGCGGTCGGCGAGGATCGATTGGAAGTCTTTCTGCAGAAGGAATTTATTAGCATGAGGTTTTGATCAGACTACAGCTGCCTGAGGCCATGTCCATGCAATGGAGACTGAGCAGACACCACGTACGTTACACCTCTCCTCGAGGTAGTCCACCATTTGCTTCTGGACGTTGCGCAGGGTATTCGGCGCGTGGGCGGCGACGGTGGGGAAGCAGGACGCGAAGTTGTCGTAGCTGACTTTGCGGAGGGTGCTGGAGAGGGCGCCGTCGTAGAGCTGGATGAAGCGTCCCGCGCGGGGGCCGGGCGTCGCGGGGGTGTGTTTTTGGGGGAGCGGGGGCGAGGCGGGCGGTTGTGATTGCTGCTGAAGGGGTTCCGGTTGTGAATTTTGCGCTTGCGGTTGTGCTTGTTGTGATGATTGCGCTGTCGCTGAGGTTGCTGCCGCTGCTGCTGCTGCTGCTGCTGCTGCTGTTTTTGATGATGCGCCGCCGGTTTGCGATTCGGATCCTGTACTGTGTTGGACGGCGTGGTCTTGCGTTTGCGTCTGGGATTGGGGTTCGCTTATGGGTTGCGGGTGCTGCGGGTGTTCTTGATCGGGGGCGGACATTTTGAGGATGAAGCGGGTGGTGATTGCGTTGCTTGGTTGGGTCTGCGATGCGATGTGATTGCGATTGTAGTACCTAGGTATTCAAGTTGGGTGGAAGATTGGCGCTGAGGTTGTCTGGCGACGAGACGAGACGCGTCTATGGTAAGGTACTTTGGTGGGGGGGAGACGGCGCGAAGATGACGGGAGAGTCACGTGCAGCCAGCGGCTTAGGCCTAGGCTTGTCTTGTTTTACCTCCATGTCTTTTTTTGTCCTTGGCGGTGGGATGAGCGCCGCCAAGACAAACAGATGCGCGCGATCCCGGCCGGCCGGTTGTTCCTGGCAGCTTGGCGCGGGGGTTGACGCCACGCTTTTTCTTGTCCGTTTGGGAAAAGTCAATTCAACCTCTAGGCTTCTTCCGTCTTGATGTTCCAAACGACGGATCTACGGGAGGTCGGGTGACTGAGCATCTCGGCGATGCAAATATGCTTTCTTGTCGTTCTTTCTGTCCCCGACAAGCTGGCGGCAAGAGACGGTCGACACAACGCAACAAGCCAATTCCTAACTTTTTTCATCATAAGTGAGGTTGTGGTGAGATAGTGGTGGTAAGCTGAATCTCGAACATCTGGACTCTAGGTAAATGAACCCGGGGACCTAGGCACTCGAAAGACAGCATGACTTATTCCATCACGATTCCCATGCCAAATAGACGCCTGCTTCTAGCACCGTGACGGAAATGACATTCACAAACTTGGTATCCCAATGTTTAGTTTAGCAGCGCATATTTCTACTACACACGATAGCAAGAAGGATCAATTGACTCCCGGGAGTCCTGGCCATCCGGAAACTTCTCGATTCGCCCCCCCGCGGACCCCGCGAGGGTACCTGTCGGCGTCCCATCGCGGTCCGAGCAGCCCACTCAACTAAAACTCATGACTCAACAAATCCTGTGTAGTTATACCTCAATCGAGACCCAATCGACTAACCGCGTCCATGAAGAAATACCGTGTCACGCGGTTAACGTATATCCTGCAAGTTCCTGGTGCCGTTCCGCGCATTTTGAAACAATATTTCAAAAAAGGCGCCTGAAGCGTGAGATATCTGCTCTCCTTTCGCTAGCTGTATCATCAAATGATTTGCCCGATCTATCAGCTGATCAACATACCCTTGTGAAGCTATTCCCATCTATTCGCGCCATGAAAGGCTAAGCATCTTGACCATGTTCTCTTCCCACCTTTCGGTATGTTGAGCCGAAGTGAAAGTCTGCATGGCGAGCGAGCAATTCCGAACAAGAGGCTAGATCACAAAACGCAAGCGACTTCGCCTCTTTTCGGACCTCTCGGGCATAATCGCGGTTAGATCTTCCTATGATGCGCTCCGAGAAGTTCCATTCCGTAGCTTCCGTAAACAAGTCTAACACAATCACATAACCTCCATCGATCAATAGAGCCAGCCATCCTGGCTAGTTGATTTGAAGCCCACGCCAAAACTTGTAAATGTTTTCTGATTCGACAGACAATGAGGTGGACAGTATTGGTGGGATCCATATCCCAGAGAACAGGAACGGCGCCATAGTCGTCATCATCATATGCCAGGCACCGAGGCAGAGCCTCTTTTGTGTTGTCATGATGGTTGCGCCATTCAGCGGTTTGGTTTTAGGTTCGGTTTAGATTGTGCTTGGTAGATTGGCGTCATGCTTTTGGTTCTTACAAAACATTGCCCTCTCGCTGTCTAAATATCGTATAAGACACATCAGAAGCCTATCATCCGACTACATTTGATCTCACATCCCTCACAGCCTCACAACGAATAGTTCCAGACCACCAAGGGCTTTACACAGTACATCTGATCAGAAACACAAGACGACACCAACTCCCAATCCGTACCATTCCACCAGCCAACATGCGTTTCTCCCTCGCCGCACTCCTCGCCATGGCTACAGTGGCCTTGGTAATACCACCCTCAACCTCACTATACCAGCTTTCCGCAAGTAACTAACGACGTTCTACTACAACAGGCCGCTACGCACCCCTCCAATACGACGACAAGCACCACCAAAACCGCCACTGCCACGGCCAAAGCGTCGGCCTCCCACTCGGCCAGCAAGAGCAAGAACGCCGGCCCGAGAGAGACAGCGGCCATTGCACTGGGCATCATGGTCGGTGGAATGGGCCTTGCTGTCAACTTGTAGAGAGGTTTCGGGAGTTTGCTGTAATTTCTCGTTAATGTTGCCAAATATCTTTCGAGTCGAACGTCGGCTTTTCCCCTTCTTGGACAAGGAAACAGGGCATTTGAACAACGGTGGATCGTGGATTGTGGATGGCGGGGGAGACCTCTCGAGGTCTAATAAATACACTGCCCCCTGGCGTGTAAAGTCATAATAAGAAATCACTCAATCATGTCGTTGTAGTACTATGAAACAACCAAGAACGAGGCGTGGTTTCAGGGAGGGAGTTGTTTGCTTGATATAGCCGGGAACCTTTGATAGACAAGAAAAAGGGCGACGGCATTCTGACAACCAATAGACTTATTTCAAACAGAGCGCAAAATCACCTCTCAGTCACACGAGTCAGAGCAACCTGACATCATATTTCTATTGGGGTAGATCATGGATTTCCCCATCTCACCATTTCCAATGTCGCCTCCAAGTCGAAGTCATCGCCCGCGATTCAGTGAACCGTTTAACTCACCCAGGCCAGCAACTGCACCAAACTGGATGCTGATAAACAGTAGCATACTAGTTTCCCATCCACTGGAGCTTTTCAGAGTGCCATTGGTTGTCGAGCGTCAGCACAACTTATAGTGGTTGAGCTAGTCCTCCGTCCTCCACTCTAATATGCCCACCCACCCGTCTTGACCAAAACTCCACAAAATACCACAAAAACTTCAAAAACATACAACACCAGGTATTCGCTGGTCGTCACCGACCCAACTACTAATCCGGCCCTCATTAGCTTATCTATGGGAGAGCGGACGGGATCCCGAGTTTTCCAATGGGTATGGTCGTATGTGGTAGTAGATGCCGAAAGGCAGATTGATATAGGCGGGGTGCCTGGCATCTGAAGCGCACGCAAGAGGGTGTTGGCCTTTACCGACAGATAAAAGCGTTGTAAAATGAGCATCTATAGCTTCTCATTATCGGGCTTATCATAATCTTGGTAGGGTCTTCTGTTTAGGGCGCAGGTTCAAGGCGCAAGGCGAGGCACATTCACACAAGCGTGGTGATTCAGGCATTGGCCCCAAAACCATCACGGATACACCATTATGATCACTAAAGTACACAGGCCGTTCGCATTAGTCTACCTAAAAGTTTCAATACCATTGTTTATGGGCTGTTCTGCGGTGGTGAACCCACCGAGCCCAAAGACGATTTCGATCAACTCGTTGATGCTGGATTCGAGCATACAGCATTATCGCCAACTAACACTTACAATGTGTCAAGATTCGCCGAACGGGGCAAAGAGAATCACCGAGCAACATAACTATATACTATACTATAAATAACCTGAGGACTGACTGCTCATCTCTGGCAGATGTACGTGAAATCAAAAGTCTTTGATGGTTACATATTTCTTTTGCGTTTGAGGCATCCGTGAGAAAAGCATAAGACGCTCGCCACCTATCCACCAGAAACAAGTAGGTCTCTCACCACTCGTTGTTAAAGTTGAGTCTCCAGAAGTAACAACTATTCCTGATGGTTCCGCCATGCTTCGAATCCACGGCGCAGTTGTCCTCCGCCACCTTTAGGTAGCGCGCGCACTGGTTAAAGTTTCACGTCCACTCGCAGCCCTTGTTGAGGGTAAAGTCCAGGACGACCTCGAGCCCGAGATCGCTCGTCCTGTCCGGGAAGTTGTGCTTGTATTTGAAGGTAAATTTGTGGCGGATGACGGTTCCCTGGGCACCTAGAATGCTATAGAAAGACTTGTTGGCGTTGTTGACTCGCGTGTGGTCGGCGCCACGTCCGGTGTTGTGGCACTTCACCTTGTTGTCGATCGAGTTACCCTTCCCGAGCGGCGATGGGGCGGGCAAAGGCACAGGCACGGCTTGCGTCGAATTGGTCGGGGTTTCAGACTTGGACGTGACGCTCGTCGACGTCACAGGAGAATGGGCGACTTGATCGTCGGTGCAACATTCGTCGTACAGGTCGCCAGGGTCATTGGGCCTCGCCATAACCGGACCAAAGATTGGGGCAGGTGAAGCCTACAAAGTAGCATTGGTCCACGAAAGAGTTGTATCCCGCGCTGATGAAGGCTTGTCCGCCCTCTTGGGCCAGCCTCCAGCCGGGGGCGCCGCTGCGTCCGGCTCGATCGAGACCGGAGGGGTTGGAAAGGGAGAGTTGAGCGTAATGGTTGCTGCCATACCGTCTGGGCCGATGTATTTTACGGAAGGCCAAAAAAGAATCGTCGTTGGTACGGGTCAGGACTCAGCGAAGGGAACGCCGGCTTCCCTTCAGGGGTACTCCCAGTCGAGATCAGTGCCGTCTATTTCGTATGTGTTGAGTAACGCAAGGAGAGATTTGATGAACTCCCTATGGTTCTCCTCGTACTTGGCAACGTCTGACAAAGTGGTATCCATTGGACATAAGTCGTTGAAGGTCCAACCGCCAATAGCAATATAGATATCAATATAGACGTGAAGTGTGGAATCATCTTTCTTGGGTGCCGTCAAGCGCTTGTAGAGTGGGTTGTCGTCCGGAATGGCTGGTAGGACAGGAAAAGTCTGAGGATCGGTAGTGGCAAAGGCGAAGTTGATAATTGAGTAGACGCCACGAGGAATCTTTCCGGGAAAGAAGACACTGCATGACCTTCGGGCCCCCCATCCTTCACAATAGCCGACAGCCCTGCTGAGGGTGCCGTCTTCGTCGCAAGTTTCTTGACCTTCCTATCACCACACGAGAAAAGATAGATGTGAGCATGCCGGTGGGAAATAAAAATAATCTGGACGTTATTTATGAAGTTTTTGGTTGTGCCAGAGAATCCCTGAGAGGTAGACTTTCAGTTCTTGTCCTGGCCTATGATGAAAAGGCTCTAAATTCTGGAAAGAGTCACATATTTAAAGCAGCACACGTTAAGGGGAGTTTGGATCTCTCAGACCATTGTTAACCTAATCTAGGATCACATTCAGGCTTTCTCTCGCAGCCTCGAGGCGCAGACATCCGGGGCATAGAAGTCTGGTCCGAAACCGCAATGGCTGAATTTCGAGCTGGTTGAACTTATCAGTCGTAGAACTGGGTAGGTAGCGCGGCATCATTTGCAAGATTGTTGAAATTGGACAGGCAGCAGTTTCTGCCTCTCTCATTATGAGATATCTCAACGTTCCCCAGGAAGTTCCAATACTACGATACTCAACTCCTCGGTAATGTGAGTCTCTAGAAACTTTTCATGATGAATCAAATTGCCGAGGTGCCTCTTGAAGCCTCTCGATGCGCTGACTACCCTAATCGCCTCCAGTTTCGTTGGCCTCGGATTCATCACCTCGAATGTTTACGTAGGGCCTGGTCTAGCTGATGAGTGGTAAGAATCGATGGCAAGTTTCATTTTGATGGCAATTACTCACCATGCGAAGTCTGCCGCTACAGCCCGTGGCTGAACATCGACTGCCCGAACCTCCACGTCGCGACGCCTGTCCTGGGGAGCGTGCTGTGTCTCGGCCCGCAGGGCGCCGACATAACCACGACGGCGCCGCTACCCAGCGGCCCCACTGCGCCGCCCGGACCGGGCGACGGGTATACAACCGTCCCCGTGGACCCACCCGAAGGCGCCGTGGTCGCCGAGAGCACCACGTTGCGCTGCGGGCGATGGTCCGTGGTCGACGAACGCGCGCAGACCTGCATGGGCATGTGCATCCAGAGCGGCATCATGTCGGCGCTGTCCTTCGAGGTCAACTTATCCCTCGATGCGGCGGATTGTAGGGCTTCGCTCAAGCGAGGCTTTACGCGTACTGCGTGGGGCCTCTGCATGAATGAAACGTTCCCCCTATGGCGAGTATGCCGGAGCTGATTTCGACCGCCGTGCCGCGGCAAGCGCAATCTCCTTGATTTTGAGGGCAAGTCGTAATTGATTCCGAAAGTTAAGACTGCCAAGTGGTTGAAATTGGTACAGCTACGTCAAAAGCGATAAAAGATCCAGCTGTAAATTACACGTAGATATATTCGTAGTAGCGGTGACCTATCTTCCCTTGTTCTTGGGGTGCACCAAATGTTCCGCTCAGCAGCCATCGGTATTCTATCAGTCTGGAAAAATAGAACTACGCATCTCGTCACAGTCTTTGCCCACTTCTTCAACTCGGCGTGCTTTTTTGCCGCAACCTGGGGTCGTCATCGACCACCCGATGCTGGGTTCTGCCACAGACAGTAATCCAATTGAAGAAGACAAAAATTCGCATTTTCCACCGTAATCGGCGGTGGGTATCTATCTAACATACTTGCTCATGAATCGCTTATGGAAGTCGGAGCGCAGGAGATCCTATACGCAAGTCAGCACACCGTCGTCAGACCAGTCATCCGCCCATACAAGAGCATGATTAGGGGGGGGGGGGGGGGGGGGGGGGAAATATTTTTTTAACAACCTTCTTCCCCTCCCCCCCCCCCCCCGGTCCCTTTCCGTTTGTTTTTAAAAAAAACCTCCCGCCCCCCCCTCCTTTCCGTTGTAATCTGGGCGTTTCCAAATGGGGGGTCCCGCCCTCATTTCCCCTCCCCCCCCCCTTCTCCTCCGTGCCTCTTGCCTGGTTCTTGAAAACAACATCATCGTCCCACCGCCTCTTCATGTTGAAATCGGGCTTGTTCAATAGCGGGTTCCCCAGCGCAATGTCCCTCTCCCGAGCCTCCTCCTCAATTTTGGCCCTCTCCCTCTCTTCACGCTCCCTTTTCTCCGCTCTCTCGCGACGAATCTTCTCCATTTCACGCTGTAGCTCCGCCTCCTCATCGTCGCTGTCCTCGTCACTGTCGTCGTCATCGTCTTCTTCATCCTCCTCCTCGTCCGAAGATGCGTCGACGTCCCGCGACTCTTCCAATATCCTCCTCCGCTTCGTTTCAAAGTCCTCTTCACCATCTGCTTGTGACCCGGCCTCGAGAGCGCGCTTGATGCCGCCCGAGGGCACTTCGGCGGTAGCATCGTCGTCTGCGGATGTGGGAGGCGCGCCGCCGTTCTTCTTGGCGAAGTGGGCGGCCTCGGCGGCGAGGAGCTCGGCTCTGAGATCGTGGGACTCGTCGTCTGCGTTGCCGCCCTGGCCGGCTTGGCGGAACTTGAGATGGGTGTGCGCTGGCAGGAGGCGTTGGTGGTAGGCCGGGCCACGGAGTGCTTCTTTACCTCGGGCCTGGTAATTTCGTCAGTAAGGATTGACAATGATAGGAGGACAGTATGGCAACGAACCGGGTCGAAGGTGGGACGGTGAGCGGTGGTCATCCTGGCAGTTTGCGACGGATTGTGAGAACTGAAGATTGGTATTTGATGGTGTGTCGAAGTGGGAGGCTGAGTGTTGTCCGTAAATTAACGATTGCCGTGAGGTCCCCAGCAAATGCATGCGCGCGCGCAGCTCGTTGAGTGGGTCCAGGTGCAGGGGAGGCGACAATTAAGGCTTCGACCGCCCGGCAGAATTTTTGCAAGCGCCCCACTACTGCGATCGACCTCACTGAACACTTGCAGGTCACTGGTAAATCCGTGAGCTTCTCAGTCTGAACTTGCCCTTGCAGTCACCAATTTCAACCACCAAGATGCCCAGAGAAGCCGAGCCGTCAGCGAATGAGAAGGCGTTTGTCACACAAGCTCTCAAGGAGAACTTGAGACTTGATGGCCGGGAATTCGACCAATATCGAAAAGTCCAACTCACTTTTGGCGACGAGTATGGAGTGGCCAACGTTGAGCTTGGCAAGACGAGGTCAGTAAACCATATGATATTCTCAATCGCTAGACCAGGCCTGCTAAACCAGTTTCTAGAGTCCTTGTCAAAGTTTCAGCAGAAGTGACGGTCCCCTACTCAGACCGCCCCTTTGAAGGCATCTTCCAAATCACCACCGAACTCAGCCCCATGGTCTCCCCAGCATTCGAGGTCAACAGGCCAACCGAGGCCGAGGTCCTCCTGTCGCGCCTCCTCGAGAAGACGGTCCGCCGCTCGGGCGCCCTCGATACCGAATCGCTCTGCCTCATCGCCGGCCAAAAGGTCTGGTCTGTTCGCGCCGACGTCCACGTCCTCTCGCACGACGGCAACCTCACCGACGCGGCCTGCCTCGCCGTCATCGCCGCCTTGCGCCACTTCCGCAAGCCCGACACGGCCAATGAGGGCGAGTCCCTCACCATCTTTACCCCCGCCGAGCGCGAGCCCGTACCCCTGAGCTGGCTGCACAGCCCGTTCTGCGTGACGTTCAGCTTCTATGGTGACGAGGGGGAGATCACACTCGTCGACGCCAACTGGTTGGAGGAGCAGCTGCGGACAAGCAGCGTGACGGTCAGCCTGAATAAGCACGGCGAGATCAGCCAGATTTCCAAGCTGGGAGGCACGCCCGTAGAGGCGGTGACGCTGCTGCACTGCGGTAACGTGGCGTTGCAGAAGGCCAAAGAGTTCTCGACGATAGTGGACGAGAGGCTGGCGGACGACGCAAAACGGAGGGACAAGGGCGGCCTCATATCAGAACTTCTGTCTGCGGAGAATGACAGAGTCGTGGACGCATAGATCCGTCAAGCAGAGGAAGAAAAAGAAAGTTGTAAAATGATACCCAGCCATATACGCTCTCAAAAACCCATGCTCTTCAAGAATAAGCGAGGACCAACCACTCATTTGAGGTGCCACTCGTTTCATCCCTAGCTTCGAGCCTCCAACTCCAGCGACGCCAGTCTAAAGATTTCCCGTGAGCATTCATGTCTCGTAAATGACGACAGCCAGCGACGAACTACCGCATCACCGGCGGCCTCGATTCCTTGTTCCACTTCACCCGTGACCTCACCCACTCGACCGCCTCCTTGACACCCGTCCCCGTCAGCGCACTGACAGGAAGCACCCTCGAGTCGCGGATACTGCTCGCCTTCTCGCCCTCAAACACCTTCTTCACCAACCCCTCCTTGATCCTGACGACCTCGACGCAGTCCTCGCGGTCCTGCTTGTTGGCCAGCACCAGAACAGGCACGCCCTCCGTCTCGGAATGCTGCAGCACGTCCTCCAGCACCAGGCGGCACTCGTCCAGCCGCCCCGAGCTGTCGTGCTCGAGGTTCCCGTCGCCAATGTCGGTCGAGTCGATGATGAAGACGATGGCATGCGCCGAGGCGTAGTAGCTCTGCCACAGGCGGCGCAGCGAGTGCTGTCCGCCCACGTCCCATATCTTCAGGTACATGTCTGGCAGAGATATCGTCGAGACGTTCTGTCCCACCGTCGGCACGGTCTTGAGTTTTGGGTCCGGATGCGACTCGAGGAAGAAGTGCTTGACTTGTTCGTGGAAGGTTGTCTTTCCGGCATTGTCGAGGCCGAGGAGGATAACGGAGTACTCTGTAAAGTAGAGGAAGAAACGGACAAGATTAGCTGGGTAAGGTACGGCTGCTCTGTTTCATATGCGCAAACCTTCTTTGCTGGTGGCTAAGAGGTATAAACCCTTGGCTAGGTGATACATGGCAAGCAGATGACCGACTGGAATGAGCCGGTTGCGACGAAATTGGACGGGCGAGGTTTGGAGAATCGTTGGCGCCGGGACAGGTGGAGGGTTCGATGGCGGCGCAATTGGCGGGATGTGGATGGATGAAGTGGACAGGATGGAGCTCGTGCGAGCTGGAGCTCAAACTGGCGCTGGAGCTTGTGCTGGCCTGCGTCGCTGACACGCTGTCCGCTGCGTTGATAGTGGGGACCATACAGGGGTTTCAGGGGACCTACACGTGTAGTGTTGGCGGCTCCTCAGCCCTACGCGCCCAGGCAAGCTTGTCTCCTGTCGTGTCACTTATGAGGCGTGGGTTTGGCTGAGGACCTTGATGTCACACGACACCTCGAAGAAAATCCTTCAAGTTTGGATCAAAGTCTTTCGTACGACAGCAACTCAACTTGTCGTCACTCTCCTGCAACTGTGCCTTTCATACTTCCTAGGAAGTCACTGGGCTTGGGCATTCACTCAACCGCAGAGTACTGCTGATGCTACGCTCACTGTGAAGTGTTGAACTCTGAATCCCAGAATAAGACGCAGAGACGCGGGCGAGTCTATTCATTCATATCTATCATGACATCTAAACACGTTGCTAGCCAACTCTGCAAGCTCACCCGTCCCTCACATCTTTGGCGCGGCGGTCGCAAAACCCTCAACGACAGCAGTGATCAAACGGTTTGCGATAGCCGCCGGAGGGGGCAAACGAAGCCCGCCCTCCTTGTAGCCCTCGGGCGCAGGCTCACCAAGGCTGCTAACACCATACTTGAGCGCGTCCCCAACCGTCTCGAGAGGGAACCACTGCGCGTCCTCCAACTCGGGGTCGTTGCCGAGATCAATCGTCTCGCCATCGGGCAGAGCCTGCGCGATAGCGCCGATCATCAAGCTCGCGGGGTATGGCCACGGCTGGCTCGAGTGGATGACCACGCGCCCGACCCGCACACCGGCCTCCTCCAGGACCTCGCGTCGGACAGACTCCTCGATGGACTCGCCGGGTTCGATGAAGCCCGCGAGCGTGCTGTACCAGTGGGGCGGGTACCGCTTATTCCGGCCCAAAAGCACCTTTGTGCCGTCCGAGGAGATGACGGCGGCGATCATGGTCGGGTCCGTCCTTGGGAAGCTGATATTGGAAACGCCCTTGCGGGTGGCGCACTCGGCTCTCTCGCGGGGCGTGTCCGAGCCGGCGAGGTCGGTGGTGGGACACAGGCGCTTGTACCCGGTGTTGCCTGATAGGGACGGCTGCCCGCACCCGGCGCAGAACTTGTTGCGCGTGTTCCAGTCCGCGATGGAACGGGCCTGGGCATAAATACCAGCTAACATGTTCATCAGCGTCTAACATGAAAAATGGCTTCCTATGAGAGATCCTTACCATGATCCGGCTCGAGTGTCATCGGTCTCATTCCCTCGAGGAACTTGTACCCCTTGGAAGACTGAGCCTCGATAAGAGCGGTAGCCGCATCGGCGTATGAGCCCTTGGGCGTCACGTCGACTGCAAACCACGGCCGTCCCTTGAGACCCTTATACTCAAAAGGCACCTTGGCGCTCTCCTCGAGTCCCAAGAAGATGATAAGCGGCTTCGTGACCGTCGAGTCAAAGTTCTTGATCAAGTGCTCCTCGGACGGCCCGAAAGGGTCCTCCGTAGTTAGGGGCTTGACGTCATCGTATGAGACGAACTGCACTTTTGTCGGGGCGCTGGTGAGGGGGCTGAGATCTTTGAGAAGCATAAACTTGGTATCCTGGGACTGGAAAGCCGCCCGGATGAAGGTGTGGTCGGTACGGAGCCACCCGACGCGGTTAAGGACGCTGCCGGCGAAGTAGTTGACGGTCTCCCGCCCGAACTTGCGGGACAGCATGGAGTCCGGGTCGTCGACTGGTGCGGGAAGGTTCCAAGCTTGAGAACCCATGCCGAGGTTCGTGGTTAGCGGGCGGTGAAGAAATCGCGGGCTCTTGGGGTTTACGGGTTCGAAGTGATGGGCGCCGATGTAGGAAAGTATATGGCGAAATACTAAAGTCAAAAAACGGTGCGGTTTGCAAGTCTCTACAAAAGATCAATGTTACACACACACACACACAGGAGGTTTGTCGCGCCCAAAAATGTGGGACATCTAGAAGACTTACGGTAACGGACTGGTCCGGCTGATTAATCAGATTGACGAGGGACGGCATGAAAGATGGGGGAGCAGAGACGCAATGCGATGGAGCTGTCACGGTGAATCACGACTCGCCGCTGAGCTCCGATAAATGGAGCTCCCGGCAGATCCCTCCCCCACCTAGGAGGTCGCAGACACCGTGCGGGACGAGAGACACCGGATCGACTGGCCCCTACCCGGAGTTGTCACGGTGTTCAGCGCTACTTACTAGGCCGTGCGTGGCAGCTGTCTGATGCGCCGTCGTGTTGGATTGCCTGCTTCGTCATTGGATATGGCGCGGGAGAAAGGTGTGATGGTGATTCATTGGGTAGCTGTCAATGCGACATCTCAGATTTGAAAGCGCACTTAAGCTTATCCAATCGCCGTGTCCCGAGATCGCCCACACAAGAGATCTTGCCGAGGTGCAAGGGTTAAGGTAAGGTAAGTCAAGTTTAGTCATCTTTGAGTTCCTATCGCTTATCGCGATAAAGCGATACAAGCACTTGGGTCTTCGAGTGCGGATTTGCACAACTTCATGTCATTTGCCTATTGCGGCACAATCTTCAAGCTTCATTCGCTGCGAGTAATAATATATCGTCCTCAGTTACTATTTAACTAATGTCGAAGCCTGGTTTAAAAGCTTCGAAGGTGAACCTGGTTGCTTTGGTCGAAATTACACCCTCAACGTCTTAGTCTCCTCTAGCTCCTCAACAACTCTGGATTATCCTCATTTTCTCTGACCATTTACTTTTCTAGTCCTCCCATATAGCCTGAAATTGGTCCATGGAATACCGTTCCTCCAAAAGAAACCAAGAGATATTGCCGCTTTACACAGCTTCAGCGTTGTTCTTTATCGGATTCATACCGTCCTCTGACTGATCCGACGACGCAGCGGACCTTCCATAAGAGACACTGCTTATACTCTCTCAGTTATCTCATGCCCAATGACGACATTTGCGCTGTACCCGTTCCTATGGTTTCGGCCACCTCACCTGTGGTGCCAGTGGGACACACCACAACATCGGGATTCATGACGGACTTGTCATGCTGGCCACATCAATCCTACATCTCGCCTATGGCATGCTGCTTTCGAGAGCAGATACACTCGTTCTTGACGGTTTTGGTGCATAAATAGCCATATACTGCCCGTCTATTTTCTTATCCAGCTACTCCGCCACCCAAAGACCTTGGATTTGAAGTCACAGCAAGTCTTCATTGCCTCTGACGATGACATTGCTAAAAGAGGCAAGACACACATCCAGGAAGGAATTTGATAGCTTTGAATGGAGGAGATCCCACTATACCAAGCTGGTTTCCAGCTCCATAAATATTAACGCATCAGACCTTTGCCCAAAACGAATATCCCACCCTCTTCCGCTTAGCCTCTCTCGCCAAGAAAATGAAAACCGTTCCCAACGTCAAACTACTCCCCGCAAACATCTGCGCGCCTAGATACCGGCCCTCGAGCGCAGAAACCAGAGCCCCAGCAATCGGCGGCCCCGTCAACACGCTCACACTCACAATCGTAAAGACCATGCCGATGCGGGCCCCCTGCTTCCGCGGATCGGCCGTCAGCGACGCCAGCGCGGACGGGAACAGCGCCTGGATGCCGCCCAGAGCGATACCGCAGAGCGCGGCCCAGGCGTAGAGGCCCGCCTGCGATGCATTGGGCGCCCAACAATACGCGAGCAGCGCGGCGGCGGCGGCGGTCGGCACGAACATTGTCAGATTGCCGACGTGGTCGGCTAGGTGGTTCAGCAGCAGACGCCCGACGATGCCGACGCCGTTTGTGATCATGAGGAGGTCGAGGGACTTGTCGTACGAGACGCCTTGGACGTCGCGCGCGTACGCCGCGAGGAAGAAGAAGACGATGTACGACGCCCAGAAACACTGCATCACAAGGTATAAGTGAGCATTTCTTTCAAGGGGGGTGGGCTGATGGCTGAATAAGGAGGAAGAGCCTTATAGGTCGTACCAGAGATGCGCCTGCGGCGTAGAACGAATACTCCAAGTCCCTGAAGGCCGCCCACTCCACCAAGCTCCCGGTCTTGCGAGGCGGCACCCGCGACTTCAGGCAGAAGAGGGCAGTGACGAGCGCGGCGGCCTGGATGAACCCGAGCGTCCTCATCGTCCAGCCGAACCCTGCACGAGGCAGCATTTCCCGTATGACGATGGGAAAGACTACGCCTCCCGCACCGCTCCCGCATGCTGATATCCCAATGGCGAAGGAGCGTCGCTTATTGAAGTACGTGGAGACGAGGGCTACCGTGGGACAGAATAGACACCCGTTTCCCAGACCGACACACACCCCCTGAGCCAGCAGGAACTGCCAGTATTGTGTGCAGGCCGATGTGGTCAGAGTGCCGGCAACGACGAGAAAGGAGCCAACCATCGCCACTGTTCGGAAGTAGCCCGCGTCTGTGAGACGTCCCGTAAAGGCCCCGATGAAGAAGAGGAGGAATATCTCTATCGATCCGATCCAGGATATATCGGAGGGGCTTCTGTTAAGGGTTTTGATGTAGTAGCTCTGAAAAGCGCCAAAGGAGTTGATCATACCCCTACAACGGGTATTTAGTCTTTGGCCAAGTAGAGGTTTCCGATGCTCCTACCATGTATTCATGACGACGAGGAAGGTTCCTAAGACTATCCAGGATTGACGGTGAGCGAGTGACACATTTTGTTGCAGCCTTGGTATTGTTACACTTACCACACAACCAGGCCCTGAAGCCGCCATCGGGTGGTGGCCCAGGTGCCACAGTCGATCGCGAGGTTACTCTACTCGCAATATGACTTACAACAAGATCAACTGGATTAGTCGACTGGTTCGTTGGGCTGACCACCGCGCTCTGATGATCCATATTGTACGTGGCAGAGTTTTTCCGGCTCTCAGATTCGGTTGATTCGAACTGGGGTTTACTCTTAATGTCAAGAACATCGAGGTCTTCTGCTTCAACAATCTTCTCCTCGTTGTAAGACCCCATCGGTCCACTGGATGTTTGTGTGCTGGCCATTGCTCCAGTGCTGTTTCCTCTGAGCCTGCTCAAGGTGTACTCAAGGAAGGGTAGTGATAATCACTCAGGTGAATTCTTGGTAAACCCGGGAGAGAAAAATCTCGGGGAAAAGACCGAACTTTCCAAGAACCGAGGATATTTCGCCGGCAACTAACACACATCCTGTGGTTCAAATTGGTAAGCAGGTGGCCCAAACCAGCAGCGGGTTTGCTTTCCCCTTTTGGCAATCTGCATTTCGATGACAAATTTGGCTGAAAGATAGCTTGAAAGAACGACGATCCTCCAGCAGGCAAATGCTTTCGTTATAAGACCACCCCTCCGCCATGCGTTGTAACACTATGTACATCGAATGGAAGTACGCGCGGTGAATGGTGATCTGGAAGAAAACAGACTCTGTTGGTAATACCGCCATCTGTTCTTGGGTTGTGTCCGTTGGCGGTTAACATTTAGCATTAATGCGTATAGGTAGGTAGGTGACAACGTCCGCCTCATTAGTCAGCAACTCTTCTGGTTGCACGATCTCACTTCCTGCCAAATCGTCAACATCGCCCAGCCACCTTCAAATTTCTACATCGTATCTTACTTTGTACCGACAGAAGTTCCCAAAACCCCATTAGTGGTGTTCCCACGACCCATCGGGAGCAAACTATATGGGGTTTCCCCCTTTCTCTTTGGACAGATCTGGATAAGTAGAAACACAATGGACGATGAAGGAAGCAGGGAGCCGCCGAGGAAGCGTCTACGTTCAGCAAAGCCAAGTCGCCGCGGGAGGCCTCGGGGCCGTGGCGGCTCCCTGAATACAGACGCCGCCCGACCAAGGGAAGATGAACCCGAGACCCAAACAGAACAAGCACAGGCGCCCGTCATTCACGTCCGCTCGTCTGACCCACGATCTCTTTCCATACCCTCCGCTCTGGAAAGATATAAAGCTTGGAAAGGTGAGAAATTTTAATGATTGTTAAGCTTCGCTGTTGTCGCACACTAACATGGACATAACAAAAGAAGCCGGAGCGCACCACGTTGAAATTTGCTTCATTTGCCAGCAGCCCGAGGATCTCACCTATTGCGTCACTTGCAGGAGGTCATATCATGAGTCGTGCAAGCCCAAGGAGAGCGCTTCTTCCGTCATCGAAGGCACCACTCACTTCTTTTGCGAAGTTTGCGTGGGCCGGAACTGGCACAAGGAGCCACCGTTTCTGATGCCGGCGATGTGGCCTTCGGCAGCATCGGCGGCACCGTCGTCATCATCAGCTCGTGCGGAAACAGTCGACGGGACAGAAGATTCGCCCTCGACCAGAGGAGTGGCTCGGCAAGATGTGCCAAGTCCACGCGATGTTCACCAGGACCAAGAGGCAAGTGGGACTGAAGCGTCAAGGACCACGCCCAGTACGGTGACCAGGAGGAGTCGTAATACCAACATATCCCAACCGGCCGCTAGAGAGCCGACTGCAGGTCCTGCATCAAATAACACCCGCACGGAAAACACTCCATTACCGCCGCCCCCGCCAGCGACCTCACGGGAGACCCCACGAGATGAAAGTAACCGTGGCTCATCCACAGGGCGACCGCCAGCCGCGCGGAGGTCTCGATATGCGACCCTGCCGACGGACGTCGACGTCGCGCTGCGGCTCCTGTACGCCGAGCTCGAGGCCGCGCACGAGCTTCGGCACAAAGTGGGCGACCTCGAGGGGCAGGTCTCTCAGATGCAGAGGGAGCTCAATCTGCGGAACAGCGAGCTCGCGCTGGCCAGGCGGGCCGCCGACATGAGCCGAATCTCGCAAGGGGAGATGGAGCAGCTGCGGGCCCAGGCTTCGCAGGGGCAGCAGGCGATCGCCGAGGCGGCTGGTATGCGGGCGGAAAACGGGTTGTTGCGGGCAGAGCTGGAGAAGAGGAAGGTGCAGTTAGCTGAGACTAACCAGACGCTGCAGGAGTGGAAACAAAAGCTGTCTGCGTTGATCTCGTGACGGCAGTGGGGAACGTTTGACCATCTCGTGGTTGGCACGCTTCAAGCTGGGAAATTTGTAATCAAAGCAATTCAAAAGATATGCTGGGCCGTGCAAGGGGGAGCTTTCAGCGGCCGGAGAACAGTAATCAGACGGAAACCGGGGGCAATGCCTCGTATTTCGTAATTATACACACATCTTACGCCATACACCTGCCTCGTTCTCGTAAGTCATTATCCTTGATGCTGGTTTGCTCCCAGTCATGATCCTTATGTCAAGCGCGCCCTTTATACTGCGTGGAAAGGAGCCTAGGAGGTCAGTAGGTGACGGGGCGTACTATTTTTGGCGTTCCAGTCGAAGCCCCGGGCTCCGAAGGTCTGAATACACCATTGCTGACCAATTTCACGAAGCTGGGAATTGGTGGGCTGGGAGGGAGTGGTCTTTTCAGGTCTACGCCATTCCCACTTACACCCCTAGATCAACACGTAGCAACACGATATTTTCTTATTCGACCGAATCCGTTCCCGATATCCTCTTCAAATCGTACCCAGACGACGAACGGAGGCCCAGAGGGTTGTTGTGATCAGGCCGGCCTCGTTCCTTTGATTGGATATCTATCTTAGCCAATCCCATCTCCCCTCTTGAATGAGCTATTGGATCCTTGGCCATAATTCGCAACTGCATCACCAAGCCTGCAGGAGAAGCAAACCTGAAATCACACAGGCGTAAGTATATGCCCTGTGGATACCATTTGGGTCTCTTTGGGACAGTCTTCTAATCGTGACTGGACCACTACAAGTGCGTCGCCTGCGCCTATGCCTAGGTCCACTGGCAGTCGGGCCATCGACCCCCGAACGCTTCCTTAACGCCGAAATTTGTCATCCATCGTCGGCTCACTTACACACACGCGACCGCTCTCTAAAGGGTTCCGTCCATAACGAGTATACTCTCTGTTTGCCGGCCAAGGCTTACCAATTCTATGTATCTTTCACGGTATATCCAACCGATTTATTGAAATTTTGAATTTCTTTACAGAGATTGACCAAAAGAAACCCAATAGTCCCAACCAGGCTCCCAAGCGCCAGGGCAACCAACGCACATGATGGCGACTAACCAAGAGTCTCAGGCGCAGCACGCAAACACGGCAGTCGTCCTCATCGACTCCTTCAACGACCTCCTTCACCACGAGGGCAAAGTCTACTCATCGGTCAAGGAACCCCTAGAGGTCACGGGTACGAACGACAACCTTAAGACCCGGGTATCCGCCGCGCGCGAGCGAAAGATTGCCATCTTCTACGCCCTGCACCGGACTTGAAAGGAGGGCAACGACGCCGGCTGTCGAACACCTCACGTAGTCGCTCAAAGGCACCAGAGATGCAAAGTGCTTTGAAGAAGGGAGCTGAGGGTCTCTGATTCTCGAGGGGCTTGAGCCGGATGTTCTGGGCATCAGAGACTTGATCGCCAGCAGGCATCAGAACAAGAGGTGAGTGCGAGGCCGTTGCCGGCTTTGTCGGGGGAAAGTCCATCAAGAGGGCGGGCAAGTTGATGAATCCGAAATAGAGTGTTTGCCAACACCAATTTGAATTACCGGTTGCGACAGAGAGGGGTTACGCACCTCGTCATGGCGGGCAAGGCGGGCAAGGCGGGCATAGCGGCCAACACCTGTCTCAAGTCTACGACGCGGGACGCGAGAGAGCTGCAAGTTGACATCGGATACAAGTCTATCTGGAAAGCGGAAATGAAACTGAAAAGGATGCCTTTGCGACGTTCAGTGGTTTCCATGGAATCCTTCTGTGAGTGCACAAAGCGTCTGTTGCGTGCGACTTGTTTTGCTGACTTTCTCAGGACCGATGCGACTGCCAGCTTCACCACTGCTGCAAATGGCGCCGTGACGAACCTCGTCTGGCTGCTAATTGTGGAGAATGTCATGACCGTTGGGGATTGGGTTCGTGCCAGTGAACGCAAGGTCTAAGTCAATCTAGCTTGGCCCATTGCTCCGAGATGATATGCAATTATGAGATAGTATAGCGACCGCAACAAGACAACACGATTCTGAGCAGTCTTTATGTGAGTTTGAACGTGGGAAAGTCCCCAAAGTGGCGGCCAAATTGGTCAGCAAAGTGAAAGAGAGTGGCGGTCCACACCTTGTAGGTACCTTAGCTCTCTCATCAGGTACCTTAGGTGAGGTACTGCCTGTCCTGGAAATCCACAGTGGGGACGAATGCAAATCCGAGCTTGCACCAGGGTTGCTTGCGAAACCTCCGAGCCTACACTACGACTTGTCTTTCGCATCTCTGTGATGATGGATCACACGAGGAATGCCGTGGTCCAAAATAGCGTACGCCGGTTGGAAGTAGGATTATATCTAGGAATGAGGAACGCGATGTCGGCTAAGTTGTCGACTATATCCCTCCTCGCCATCGGATATACGCGGCGTAGGAAGAAGGTGTGCCTGAAAGTTAGGCGAAGCTGAATGCAACGAGCGCCGCCCAGAACAACACCAAGGAAGGCCAGCTGTGGAAAAAAGTGGGTGTTTCAGCGCACCCTAGCGCCCATCTCCCCCGCATTTTGCACCTCTTCTGGCGCTGTCAGTGACGTCGTGGCCAGTCGCTAAAATCCCAGCTGGCGCGACCGCAAAGAGAAAATTAGCCAGCGCACGTGGACTCGGATGGCGCGACCGGGAGGAGGGAAAAAAAAGGGCCCTGCAAATTGGTGGTCACCACTGAGCCTGTTTGCGAATGCAAATGTCTCTTCTCGGCGTAACGTACCAAGAAAAGTCTTCCCACTACACTGTCAGACTTTGGGAGGGAACATCCTTCCTGCGTCTTTTTTTTTTTTTTTCCCTGAAGGAATTGTTGCTGGTGCTTCTTGGATGAGCACTGGTATTTGTTGTAGAATTTGATCCATCTAGTCGTTAAATCTCCTTTGTTCTGGAAAATCTCCTTTAATAACTTCGTCTCCTCCCCTTTCGTTAATCCTCTGGCCGCATTTCCCCTCCGAAGACGCATCATGGCGCCCCCTACCGCACCACTCAACCTCGACGTCGAGGCCATATCTGGCATCTGCGGGTAAGCACACCTTGTCTGCCCGTCGCCAATCGATGAATTGCATGCCCCTTACTTATCCAATGCGCACAGCTCCATCTCAATCGCCTGCTGGGTTGTTGTCTTCTCCCCCCAGATCCTCGAGAACTTCCGCCGCGGCAGCGCAGATGGCCTCTCGCTGCAATTCATCATCGTCTGGCTCGCAGGCGATGTCTTCAACATCCTAGGCGCCGTCCTCCAGGGCGTCCTTCCTACCATGGTGAGTCACAGAGGCCCCTTGCAAAAAGTCGCTGCTCCAGCCAGCCCACGCTGCACCGAGAACAACCCTGGCTGACGCTATGACTCCTCCTCTAACCCCTTAGATCATTCTCGCCATCTACTATACCATCGCCGATATGGTGCTCCTGGCCCAGTGCTTCTACTACAGGGGCTTCACCTGGAAGGACGAGGTTGTTCCCCCGGCTCCGAAGCCGCGCAACCGCACCGGCGAACCAAACGAGCGGACCGGCCTCCTGCCTAACCCCATCGTCGAACGAGAGCGCCGAGGCTCAGATTGGTCCAACCTCTCCCCCGCCGTACCGATGCGCCCCGAGAGCGGCGCCCCGCCCCCGCCCCCGAGACCGTCAACCGCACTCCAGGCCGCCGCCTGGAACACGACCGCCGTCCTGATGGTCTGCGCCGCCGGCGTCGTCGGCTGGTTCCTGAGCCGCAAGTACTCCCACGCCGAGGAGCCCGGCCACCAGACCAACGACGGCGACGCCCTGACTTTCAACACCCTAGGCCAGGTCTTTGGCTGGCTCTGCGCCGTCTTCTACCTCGGCTCCCGCCTGCCCCAGCTCCTCCTCAACTACCGCCGCAAGTCCACCGAGGGCGTGAGCATGCTCTTCTTCCTCTTCGCCTGCCTCGGAAACCTGACCTACGTGCTGAGCATCTTCGCCTACGACCCGCGTTGCAAGCACGAGAGTTGCGCCCCTGGCGAGGCGAGCGCCATCTACGGCCGTTACATGCTCGTCAACCTCAGCTGGTTGGCGGGCAGCTTGGGTACTCTGCTTCTCGATATGGGCATTTTCGCCCAGTACTTTATGTACCGCACGGACGAGTTCGCAAGCGAAGACGAAGAGGAGGATGATCAGAGCATTGACGAGGACCAGTGGGATCAGCGGCCGCTGCTCGCCCGCGGTGACTCTGTTTACCCATGAGGGCTCATCAGGGGCATCTGCTTTTTTTTTTTCCTTTTTTTTTCGGTACTGGTTTTGAGAAAAAGGGCATTTGTGACAATTATTCAAGGCGTCTTTGATACACGGAAAAAGTTTGGTGGTCATGTTTTTGCTAGAAAAGTATTTATCGCATTACAGGAATCGGAGACATGGGGATAAAGGGTGTAACTTCACCGATGCGGAAAATATAAAGGGCAAAGGGGGGCCGGGGGCAGCTCCGAGGCCGTAGACCATTGGGTAACCACTGAGATGGAAAAAAAAGACAAATTGTTTGGACCGTTACTTCCAACTACTTGATTCTTCAAACTGGCGATAACAAGCTCACATCCACCCGAACCTCTTCCACCCAAACGTAGCACCCCCTACGAGAGCAGTGACCCCCGTGAACACAATCAACGTCCCATACCCGCTCCCGTACCCGAAACCGGCGTCGCCCCGCCACGGCGCACCCTTGACAAGCGTCTCGCTCAACGGGCCCGAAATGACGTTGCCGACACCCCTTCCCGCAGCCAGCATGCCAAACACCATGATGGGATCGACGCCGCGGCCCCGAGACCGCTCGTGTTCCGTCACGGTCTTCATTATCCCGGGCCAGGCGGACGTGTACGCGCCAGCAAAGAGGCCGTAGACGACGCAGAAGAGGTAGAGCACGCCCAAATTCAGAGAGAGGCCCCAGAGGAGAAAGGTGCCGAGGGCTGCGCCGCCGCTGGCGAGGAGGAGGCATGACGGCGCGGACCAGCGGTCTACGAGGGTGCCCATTGCCACGCAGCCGACGACGGAGGCGACGTTGATGAGGAGGATGGTGAGGGCCGAGGTGTAGGCTGACGCGCCGAGGGTCGATTGGGCGAAGGAGGGGAGGTAGATGCCCGGGAGGAAGAAGCCGAGGGCCTCAATGGTGTTGGCGGCCTGGTGGAGGAGGAAAGGGCGGCTGAGGAGAAAGCGCATGTTGCTGAACGGCCGGGCGTGCGTGGCGTCCGCCCCCGCGGCTGCCGCCGCCGCCGCCGGAGCGGTGGTGTGTGATGCGACGGGCAGGCGGGGCTTGATGAAGAAGGCCAGGGGCGCGGTGAGGGCGAAGAGCAGGCCGGACCACAGGCGGAGGGTGGTGCGGAAGCCCACGCTACCGAGGAGGTACTCCATCAGCAAGGGGAGGACGACGCCGGCGAGGCCTGTGCCGGACCACATGATGCCGTAGGCGAAGCCCTTGCGGCGGACGAACCACTGGTCGATGTAGAGGATGCAGGGCATGTAGGTGATGCTGCCGCCGACGGCGTAGAAGACGCCCTGGGTGACGATGAGGTGGGTTACCGTTGTGGAGAAGGAGGACATTGCGAGCGCGAAGCACATTATCAGGAGGCCGAGGATGGGTGCGTAGCGGGATTGGCGGGGGTAGAGTCTTAGGAGGGCGATTTGGATGGGGCCGCCTAGGTACATGATTCCCTTGGGGATGAAGCGTCAGTACGGTGACGGTCGGGATAAGTAGGTACCTTGTGGCTAGCGGTGGTGTGATAGTGCATGAGGGAGTGAGTGAGCGGGGGATTTACCATGGCGCAGGTACCGATGACGGCGATGTTGGGCTGCCCGGCGAACGGCGGGTTCGTGGAGTAGTAGTTTTGAAAGACGCCAAAGGCGAAGGGGAAGCCCCAGACGAGCATCTCGACGGCGAAGCAGGCGGCCAGGAAGAGCCAGGCCTGCTTGCCGCCGTCGACGGGTGGGAGGGAAGAGAACTCCTGGCTCGCGCTGTGGGAGTCGTGGACGCGGTCGGTTGCGGGATCGCCATTCTCGTCGCCGCTGCTTGTCCCGATACCGAATGCCGCTGCGGCGTACTGGTCCCGGGTGGTCGTTGTGGTTGCCGCTTTTGATGGTGCCGAGATCGGGACCCCGATCCCGGCATGCGGAGTGAGGTATTGGAGCTCCGTTTGCGAGGTGGACATGGCCGCGACTCTGCTGCTCTGGGTATCTTGGAAAAAGGAAATGAAAAATTCCAGCGAGAGAACCTACCCCATTCTCGCTTTGCACGTAAGAAACTCGAAAGAGATATCAGTGTAGTGTAAGTGAAGCTCGTGTGAGGCCCGGCGCCTTTTTGAGCTTGAAGGGCTGCCGATCAGCCGGGGAGACTAGTCTCGGCGGGGAGCCCACTCTACGCCCTTCGATTGACTCGACGGCAAGGGATGACGGGCAGGCATACCCACTTGTTGATTCTGGAAGGCGCACGCCGATCCCGCCACAGAAGAGAAGTGCCTCCATTCCACCTACTCCATGCCTCCGGCCATTGACGTGTACCTATTCGTACAAAGTCATGACAAACCTACCTGTTGTGGCTATCATCGCTATGTTATCTGCTATTTCTTCGCACTTCATGCCGTTCGTGTTGGCTTGCAAGGTGCCCAACTTACTAATGAATTCCTGTGCCTGTTAAGCGCTCTTTTCCATCTCTTCGTGGGAGAGGGAGATTCGTTCTAGTCAAAGGGTTTGCTGATCTCAGCAATCCAGCAGGTATTCTCGATGTACTTGGGGATGTTGAAGCGATCGATGACCCCGGAATTTTGGCCATCAATATTGGCCAGGTTTTCGGCGGTTGTTTCCTGCCGAGACATTCGTCCGCTTCTGCCGGCGCCGATCGACCCACTAACCGGCCCCGATACCGAGCCGGTCCGTGACTTCAACAGACCCGTTTTGCCCGCTACAAGCTTCGACGAGCAGGGGCCCTGCAGTAGGGCAAGCCTTACGTAGGATTCCCCCAACAAGCCTGCCCGATTCCCTGCACATCTTGGCATAGATACCCGTATTTCTAGTACTATACCAAGAAGTCTCATCGGCAAATCAAGCCGATGAATCCTTGAGAAATCGTGTTGGAACTGCACCGTCACAACTCCTCTGTCGTAACCCAATACGGTCACATAGACCCCGACCGCTGTTGCCCATGGAAGCAGGCAGTGAACGCCGCACAAGCTTGCATCTCCAGCTCAGCCCTCAGACCGCATGCTCTTATTCGCTCTCTTCTCATTGGACTCTCCAGCTGAAGTGTCACCGTTTCGGATTGAAAATCCAACAAACCCTCCTGGGCTTCCACCTGATCCCGGACAAAGCCCTTCCCACGTTTTCCTCAGCGGCAAGCTCTTCCCAAAACATCTTCGCTACGATGCCAGAAGCAGAATGTCTCTTCTGAATCGTTTCTTCCATCAGGCTGACGGATTGAAGAAGAACCCCAGCCGAGGCTGAATGGGAAAGGGGTCGGGGGATTTCCTGCGTCCCGCGTATATTTCTGAGGCCCAAAAATAACACTTAGTCCATGCAACCCTGTACAACAAGGCAACAGCATCCGCAATGCGGATACTACGTCAGATCGTGCTCGGGTTCGGCGCGGCGTGGCAGTAATTAGCAGCCGCCCACCAAAAGCAGCCGCAGAGATGTCTGCCATTCGTCCGCAGTCCATCTACTGGCGACGAGTCAGCGCCGCGCGATCCCGTACGATCGGGTGCCCCGGGATCTTCAAGTTCAACCCGTCACCGAAGATAATCTCTGCCCCGAGCGCCAACACAGAGAGAAAAGAGAGTACCAGTAAAAAAAAATATGCAGAAGAAACTAGTAAGCCTTGCGCTAGCTGTGGACAGACACAACGACATCGGCTCGTCATTCTTAAGTCGGGACGGACCAACAAGACTGACACCGAAAAAGAGCCCATTTTTCGTCCCAAACACCAAAAGCGATGCAAGGTCAGCAAAACAGAGTTTCCCTTTTCTTACCTGCCTAATACTACCGTGCGACGCTCAATCCCTTCTGCAGTTGCCGACACAACCCGCATTCGGTATCTCTTCTCCCTGCCCTCAAGCTTCGAAGAGTCTTTTTCCCCAAGAGGTCATTTTCCACCCCGTTGCCCCCCCCCTCCTTTCCATCCCAGGATCCCCCAAACACCCACTCAACCGCAGTTGCAGTACAACGCACAAAGGGTCAGGCGCAAGCCCTGTCTCAGCGCAGTCTGCAGGAAAGGATACCCCAAGCTCGCATCACGCTGCCAGCACTTCCAAACTCGCGCCGCGAATAAGACTGTGGAGATGGAAATAAGAGAGCTAGAAGGAAGAGAGAACCATGAAGAGAAGAAGGGACGTACATCGGTCGGCAGCTGAACCCCTCCAAAAAGCCCCAAACACACCGAACGAGAAACCCCCTCCGCGAGTCCAAGAGGGGGACCGCCTGATCTAAGCCTCGTCCATCCTTGCAATGACCTAACCTCCCACCTCCCTCGCAATCAATGTGCCGGTAGAGGTGACTCTTGCACACACCGGATGTCGTAGGTACAGAGGTGCCCCCCTCCCCTCGTCTACATCCACGGAAAGTCAACCTGTGGGGGGAGGGAGCATGGAGCGAGAGACAGAGAGGAGAGAACTGCAAGGTCTGTCAGCCCACGGTCGTCAATCTAGTCCCGCCTTTTCCTTGCATCTGAGCGCCAAGCTGGGCCTCAAGTCGAAAGTCTGCCTTTCATCATGCATGGGAGGGGTGGCCCCGGACCGTGGGCCACGCACCTCAAACTCGGGTTATTCAATCTTTTTTTCTTCCTGACCCTGTTGCTAGTAGATAAAACGATCCGTCGCTGTCTGCGCGTTCCTGTGGCTTTGACAGTGTTGGTTAATTTTCTTTGCTCCAGGCTAAATTTCTTTTCTTTGCAAACAAGTAACCTCGACTTTGACCAGGACTCGACTTATACCAACCACGACCTTCGTTTCTGGCGAAACCACGAACGAGCAACGATTTGACCAGATTCGCATCCGATTTCCCACGTACCGGAACAAACAGTACATATTCACACACACACACAAGCGTGCATCAAAATAACACTTTCTTTTTCGCGCGACATTCCCCGCCAGTAATCCTTAATCACTCCAAAGCAATGTCGTCCCAGATCGAGTACAATCAGATGCCAAGAGAGCCTGCGCCAGCCGTGCTCTCGGAACGCAAGATTAGCTCTCTGCAACCTGTAAGTCTCCCTCCCTTCAGTCATACCTCCATATTGCCACGTCGATTCGATTTGGTTTTCCCCTTCTCGACTGCGCTTTTGTATGATATTATCATTGTCGCATCGAGCCGCGTACACCAGGGACCCAAAAAAGTCCAAGAATCTTCCGAGCCCGAGCTAACCGGAGACGATACCTGTAGGGCCCAAATCAGCCAATGACGATGGATCAACCAGCAAACCTGCGAGGCGGCGATGGCGGAGTAAGTGATTATTACCCCCCCAAACCCCCAACCACCCTTTCCCTCTTCCTCCCAAGAGCCTATGCTGTTGCGACATCTCTTCGACCTGGAAAACTCGTGTGTGAAGTCCAGGGAGGAGATCTGATAACGCGAGAGACACTTTACGACCCATCATAGGATACAATTGCTGACGTTTCATTCTTTGCTTTCAACAGGCAATCTGCTGCGGTCTCTGCGCCGGCCTCTGTTGCTATGAGTGCTGCGAGTGCTGCTGCTGCTGTTGCTAGTCAACCCAGAGAGAGACAGCGAAAAAGAAAAAAAAGACTTCGTGTTGACGTTTTTCGAGGCGCTGACGGGACCTTTTCGTCGTTACGGGGCATCTTTTTGCTTCCATATAGATCGAGTATTGTTCCGAGATGAAGGTTTCGATGACGAATCAGACCGGACTGCTCTTTTTTTTGGAATCCGCGAGAGAAAAGGAGACAAGTGAGTGTCCGGCAGGAGATGGTACTTGAGTGATTGAGGGATTCAGGCGCAAACATATACCAGGGCATTGATTTCATGCCCGTGACAATGCCATGTTTTGTATGATTTCATCTTTTGAACAATTACAAGTTTTTTTTTTGTCTTGTTTGGGTATTCTGAGCTGTCTGGCACTACTCTCTCTTTGTCAGGGCTCGGCTGATGTGGTATCTCGACTACCCGTGATTCGTCGTTGCTCAGGCTGAGCCTTAGTTGGCAACCGTCGTGCAACGCCGACTCGTCCACTCTCCAAAGATCCCAGAGCGCCCCCTCCCCTTAGCATGAATTCGGGTATTTCTCAAAACGTTCCTTGCCCCATATCTTTACAACTTGGAGCGAACGTCCTTAGTGGGCCTAGAAGAGCAGTCAGCCACAGGGTGCTTCGTCATCGAGGCCGAGGCCACAGCACAAAACTTACTCGGCAATCTTCTCCGTCTCCTTCATGATGGCGGCGCCAAGCTCGGGGGTGACCCTCGAGAACATCTCGTAGGTGCGCGCGCGGACCTCGGGGTGGGCGCCGGCGAGGGCCCCCGAGACGTTGCCGACAAAGTTCTTCTGCTGGCCCTCCTGGCGGCCGAGGACCTTCCAGAGACCGAGGGCCTGCTCGTAGTCCTCGGGCTTGACGGGGCCGAAGAGGTCCGTGACGACGGCGCCGGCCCACTGTTCGTGCGGGGTGTTGACGGCCTTGACGGGCTTATACTCGAGGGGACGGAAGGTTGAAGAGTAGTTCTGGGCACAGGATGTCAGTTGGTTTTTTCCATACATCATACACACAACGTTGGTTGTTGGTTGTCCAGGGGACGAATAAGACGTACGGGGTTCGCGCCATAGTTGCCGTTGATCGCCATGGCGCCGTCTCTCTGCAGGGGGTTGAAGGCGTTGAGAGGCTTGTTCACGGGGATCTGCTGGTAATTCACACCAAGACGATGGCGGTGGGTATCGGGGTACGAGAAGAGACGGGACTGGAGGACCGGGTCGGCGGTCGGCTCGACGCCGGGAACCAGGTGAGAAGGAGAGAAGGCGGCCTGCTCAATCTCGGCAAAGTAGTTCTCCGGGTTCTGGTTCAGGGTGAGCTTGCCAAACTGCCGGAGTGGCACCTCGCTCTGCGGCCAGACCTTTGTCAGGTCGAAGACGTTCCACTTGAACTTCTCGGCCTGCTCCGGGGTGAGGGTCTGGACGTAGACGGTCCAGCTGGGGTGCTCCCCCCTCTGGATGGCCTCAAAGAGGTCCTGGGTGTGCCAGTCGGGGTTCTCCGACGCCATCTTGCCGGCCTCCTCGTTGGTGAAGGTCTTATTGCCCTGGTCCGTCTTGAGATGGATCTGGACGTAAACGAAGGAGCCGTCAGGCTTGGTCCACTTGTGGGTGTGGCCCGAGTAGCCGTTCATGTGTCTGTAAGAGTAAGGGGTGCCTCTGTCGGAGAACAGGTGCATCAACTGGTGGATACACTCTTGGTTCTTGGTCCAGTAGTCAAACTGAAAATTGAGATTTAGAATGAGTATGTGATGAGTTTCAGGACATCATTGCTTACCATCTAGTCGAGTTAGCTCAGGTTATCTCATGAGATTCGGGGGGTTCAATACTTACCATTGTAGCATCCTTCAGGTTAGTTTGCGGGTGACGCTTCTGCGTGTGGATAAAGGGAGGGAACTTGACCGGGTCGCGGATAAAGAAAATGGGTGTGTTGTTGTAGACCCAGTCCCAGTTGCCCTCCTCGGTGTAGAACTTGACAGAGAAACCTCTGGGATCACGAGCCGAGTCGGCAGAGCCCTTCTCGCCACCGACGGTTGAGAACCGGGCGAGGGCCTTGGTCTTCTTGCCGACCTGGTTGAGCATGTCGATGGAGGAGATGTCGCTAATGTCATGTGTGACCTCGAACTGTGAGCCGCGCGCGCGCGCGCTGGTTAGCATAGTCTCTCGATGAGCGCCGCACCGCCCATTACAACAAAGCCGTTCCACGAACCTCGCCGTAAGCACCGGCGCCCTTGGCGTGAACGACACGCTCGGGAATGCGCTCGCGATCAAAGTGGGCCAGCAGGTCAATCAAGTGGAAGTCCTGAAGCAGCAGAGGGCCTTGGGGACCGATGCGCTGCCACGCCTGGGGGTTCTCGACGGGGGCGCCATTGGAGGTCGTATAGGTCGGCTTCTCATTGTACCGGTAGGTGGAAGGGTGCTTCTCGTCTTCGGAGCCCATGTTGACGGCGGTTCTCGTCCTCGTCGTTTCGGATGGGGGGAGAGGTGTTTTGCGCTTTTGAAGATCGAGGGATGGCTTGTTTACTTCTAAAAGGTCAAACACCAACGAACGGGAGGGCGGCAAATGGCAAGTCAGATCAAACGACTGATCAAAGAGGGTCTCCGGGGGGTGAACCAATGGAGGGAAGACGAAAATATAAATAATCTAAAACTCTATGGCAAGTAGAAAAGAAACAGGACAATAATAGAAGTGGGAGGGGACCCTCCTTACACCTCGGCCCCTCCTTCTCTTCCTTGGCCCAGTTTCCTCGGCTTCTGGAGCCCCATGAGCTCTCTTCTCCCACTCAGGGCGTTCAAGTTACGAAGCAGAAACCCCAGAGCACGACGTAAGTCGGCCGGGCAATGGTGGCTTTCCTCTCTGATTTCTAAAGCTTCGGTGGGACACACGGCCAATTGGAGGGCAGACGAATGCAAGCTTGGGATGGCCGAGGTCCACCGAGAGCTCCATCTCGAGGTTTCCTAGCGTCCTTTAGCCACCCCTTGTAGCTCCACCCCCATTGCTGAGGTACAATAATCAAGTATTAGCCACTGAGCAGTCTCGCCGCTGTTTCTTCGTGGTAAATCTGTTGCCTATAGTCTTGCTCTAAAGACAACTTCAACTCTAGACCCTTGGTTGGAGGCTCTGTTGTGACGACTGGCGTGGCAACTTTGGGATGCTCTCAACAGCGTTATCGTGAACTCGACGTTCCGAGGCTGACCACCGCCAACTCCCCAGACATAACTCACGTTTTCCGCCGCTCGGATTGGTCCACTGTCTCTCCTGGCCCCTCCGACAACGGCGGAGGTTCCACAACTCTTGCCAAGCTGGTCTCTTTTGCCGGGCACACCAGTCATGACCCGGTCTCTTGCTCACCTCCCCAGATGTTGCGGGGGGCATGCTTGGGATTTCGTCAAAGTCAGCTTTGGGGGACTATCTAGATTGCAGCCTTTTTGTGATGCGGAGAAAACTCGCCGAGAAGAAAGGGACAGGGCCCGGCATGGGATACGCTGGTGTAGACGGCATCCATCAGGTCACTTACATGCACATCAACGGCTAGGCTAGCTTTTAATCATTGGGCACTTTGGAGAACGCCGAGGGATACGTCCTCGAACGGGAGTTGCTTTCTACTTATTCAGACAGATCCGCCATGTCCTTTCTCTTTCTCCCATGATCGTGGCTGAACTCAAAGTAGCCTGACGGATCGCAAAGGGTGTCCGGTACCCCTCGGGGTTTGTATGAACACATGGCACCGAACTATGACACCTTCCACAGCCCGGCCACGGGATTCGAAATTGACAACCACCAACACACGGCGCAGCAACGCCGCCCTACCGGCCCCGACCCGCCTCTGCTCACATCGTGTCTTTTGCCCAAGTTGGGAGAACTTAATTTTTCCCCAATTCACAAAGCACGAGTAAGCTGCCATGACATCATTGGTCGGGCCAGAAAGGCAATCCATGCCGGCGGTAGCACATTCGCGGTGGACTTCTCCCGTATCCTCTCAGTGGAGCAAGTACAGAAATTGGGGTTATCGCCGAGATCGCAGAAGGGGACCACTTGTATCCGTCCTTGTGCCACGGGAAAGTCGTGTACCCATTCTCCAAGGACCATGGTCAACAGTACATTTCTGAAATGCATTGGTGGCCGAGGCCCGGGACAAGCTGCTGCCAGCAGCCTGCTAGTGTCTCGCGCTGTCACATGGCTCTCGCGCGTGTACCTGACACGCTAGCTCGGGCGATGATCCGTCGCCGTCGGTAGCGTTTCCGGGGGGCCGCCGCGGGCTCTGCCTTTCTCAAGCGCCGAGAACGCCGAGATGCCAGACCTCGCATCTCGGTGATATCCCGGAGGCGTCCGGATTCCCGCGTTCAGCCCTGAAACCATATTCTTTTCATGTGATTCAATGGATTGCATGGAATCGGACATTATTAAGTAAACTCTGTAGATAGGAAGTCGATTGGAAATTCGTGCCGTCTGGCTGAGTTCGAATGAGGATCTGGCACCATCGGGACAAGCCGATAACAGGTAGTCGGCAGGAGGCTTGTTCCGGGATGCGCTCCACTCACGCAAGAAGAAGAACAAAAAAAAAAAACCCCAAGACTTTGGAAACGAGTCAATCGTAATTTTCTATGGAGCGAGAAAGACTGTAACAGTGTTAATGTCTCACAGTCGCAGTCACTACGGAACGCGTTCCGGAAAGCAACGAGTCGTTCCGAGCGCGCACATGCTGCAATCACTGTCAAAAGCAAAGCCCGCAGAAACAAGCGACAAGCACCCGTCTCATTGGCTAGGTAGTGTTTAACTTAATCCTAGCTTACCAGTGACATGTGTCAATCCTACATTGTCCAATGTCACCGGAAACTAGGTAGGTAGGTACGTGCAAATGCAACCTACTTGGGCATATCCGGCCTGTGATCCATGTTTGAGCCTCTCAATACACTCGGTTGTTCCACAGCTAGTGCCGTTTGACGATCTCACCATAGATTACACTCTTGTGGGTTTCAGCATCCAGAGGACGGCTCGGTCTCGTGGACCAACAGCTAGCCAAGGCCTGGCAGGGTGTCAGTCCTAGTCTCATAGCGCAAAGGATCCAACGCTGCAAGCGATCGTCATTAGTGAGAAAGCGAATGAGTCTGTCATCTTTGATCGTTCTGGAAAGGCCATGACGTACCTTTGCTGGGTTGAGCAGCCATCAATCAGCGAATAGATCGAATCGCCCCTGTGCCATGTCTATGTCAAAAGTTTTTGGGCAAAATCTAAGCTTCTCCCGAAGCCACCTTATAGAATAGTGCAGCATACTATCCTGGGTAGCTTCATCGGTAGCTAGTATACACTGCTGACCAGCAAACTTCACGAGGCCCATAATGATTGCTCGACAAGACCCCTAGTCGACGGCCTCAACAAATTACATGATCCACCCAACTTCGGGCAATCTACTCTTGCAATCATTCCGGATTTCTTCACTGGCTGTCGACACAGACGCACCTTGAACGACGTGTCCAGGTTGAACAGAGAACGAGACGGGAGCCAGGCAAACGTGGCAAACTCCCCGACGGCGTCGCACCCGCACCCGAAGCCGGCCGGATCCGAATGTGTCCGCTATGAGGGGAGGGACGCGGCTAGGGAAGCAAACATGAGTTTGTCTCTGTGAATAAACAATCATCACGATGAGAGGTGAGACGAAGAGACGTGGATTGTGATTCATTCACCCCCCAGCCCATACCCGTAGTGTGATTCACTATGTCGTCCATTGGTGCTGCCATCACGACTTTAAAAAGGGGCTGCCCTACGAGTTCCCTTTCGGGGGAAAAGCTCTTGCCGCGAGAACGCTTCCTTGATATGAAATTGAACACTTCCAACTTTTCCTCAAAATACCCCAAGTGAGAAGGCAAGCAACTTACAAGATGATCCTCTCAATATCGATATCCCTCCTCTTCCTCCACAGCTTCACCTTCACCTTCACCACAGCAGCAAACTCTCAACCGACCTCCATCTCGTCCCCGTCCTCTCCCCCCGCCGATGACGACGACGGCACAGAATGCCCCGGAACCACAGTCCCCTGCCTCGACGGCTGCATCCCTGTCGGCGCGCTCTGCTGCCACGCCTCTTCCGAGACCTGGTGGTGCGAAAGGCACATGGCCTGCGGCCTGGCCAAATCCGTAGGCTGCACCACCCCCTTGACACAACAAACCTCCTCCTCTTCTTTTTCCTCCTCCTCTCCCTCCACTTCCACATCTGCCTCTACATCTGCCTCTCCTCCACGCGAGTCTTTCTCCCCTGTTTCGACGACAACGACAACATCCCGCTCGCTCTCGCCCACGGCAGGTAACGGCTTCTTCCCCACGATAACGGAGGGCACGACAAGTCGAAACGGGGAGGACGCCGCCACGAGGCCGAATCTGACGGTGGAATCGACCAGTCCTCAGCCTGCGACGTGCTACTTTGAGATACCCATCGTGCGGAGGCAACAGCGGGAGAAGCAGACGACGACAACGGAGTCAGCGTGTCCCACCGAATTGACATCGGCCACTTCCGTCCCGGGTGCCATCAGCGGATCCGGGCCGGCGGTGAAGGATCAGCCGTGGGGCGTTGTGATGCTGGTCGGGGTCGGGATTGGGTTCGGGTTCGTCGTGATGCTGGTTTAGATGGGCAAACGAGGTTGGTTTCTCAAAAGAGCCGGGTAGCTTTGAGTAACCTAATGAGTTGTCTGTACTTTTAGTGCATATCTCACCCAGTCTCGAGGTCTTTTAGGCGTTGTAGACGGGATTTAGACTGCAAATGCGCGGTATCGGGCTCCCAGTACTGCCAGGACCTCATTTAAAGATGCAAGAACTCTAGGAAAAGGGGTGGTAAGCCATCACGCGAGCGACCAACGACGCGTCAGAACAGAAACCAGGGACGCGGTACGACGTCCCCGTGCTGGCATTAGAAGCGTATAAACTGATAAAATGACGAATCAACTCGAGTGTCTCTCTCTCTTTCACGTCTTCCGTTCTCTGTGTGTGTCTCCCTCGCCCTTCCTGTTCGGGCCCTCTGGTCGCCTCATGAAACGTATCTGCGCAATGTGCGCGCTCACCCACCCGCGTTTCGATATCCTGTTGTTTAGATACTCGTAGACGCACGCGGCGGCCTGACCAAAGGTCACTGTTCCCAGTACTCGGCCTTTGGTCCGCCACTACCCAACGCACAAGGGCCGTTCCTGCAATACGCGGGGCACCGACGAAGATCTTGCGAGTACGTCTCTCTCGCACCAAAACAAAAAGACGTCGATAAACACACATCAATGCGCAGCTCTACCCAAGTAATGGGCTATATTATAAAATCGTGAGGGGCGTAATATATAAATGGTTATTTTGAGAGGTTGGTCGTGTGTAGGGTCAGCGAAGTAAAGACTCCGTCTTTATGACTCCTGGTTAACGGTTTGCTGGTAGAACAGGTCAGTATTCCATTCAAAGTCAAATCCGCCAGAATGTGCACGTACGACAAGCCAGTCCATGCCCTCTGTGACACCGCTGCCGTCAACCGCGGAGCAGGCCATGATGCTCCAGTTCCGGTCGCGCAGCTCGCCCAGGCGCAGCGCCTCCGAGATCTCGCCCGCGCCCTTCGCGCCGGGCTGGTCCTGCTTGTTGGCGAAGACGAGGAGCGAGGCGTCCTTGAGCTCTTCCTCGTTGAGCATGGCGCCAAGCTCCTCGGCAGCGGTCTGCAGGCGCTCGATATCGGTCGAATCGACAACGAAGATGACGGCGGCTGTGTTGGCGTAGTAACACCGCCAGTATGGGCGGATGCTGGTCTGACCACCTAGATCCTATAGTCGGGACGCGCGCAGCTGCTGTCAGTCTTTCGCTCGCAAGTGGTGTTTTGGAGGAGGAGGAAGAGGATTCGCGGAGGCGTTTGCATACCCAAACGTTGAAATTGAGGTTTTTGTATGTGACGGACTCGACATTAAACCCTATCGTCGGGATCGTGGTGACAACTTCACCGATCTGGACAGGTCGCAAGAGGGTTAGTTAAGGGTGCTTTGCGAAAAGCACGCTTAAGCGGCGGGGTGGGCAGTAGGCCGCAAACTCACCTTCAGTCTGTACAAAAGTGTCGTCTTGCCAGCGTTATCCTACAGTCACAAGAACACGGTGGTTTGTCAGCCTCTGCGTCTCTGCGTTTCGGACGATTTCGTTGCATCATGGACTTGCTGGCGAAAAAGCCTGGGAAGTCGCGTACCAGTCCCAAGATCAATATACGGATCTCCTTCTTCGACCACATCAGGCCCGACAGCCATGACATGCTTGCGCCCATTTTGGAGGAGGATTTTGCGTTTCGAAGAGACTCGGTGTGGGATGAGGTTGGTCGTTGTGTAAATTCGACCTCGGCAGGGATGCGAAAAGGCCGTATGTAGATTTAGGTTGAGTTGCGACTTGTATGCGGTCACAATATACGCGGTTGGCCTCGGGACAGGAGGGTCGCGGAGGTTAAGGTAGGTAGGTAAGGTTGGTGGTAGCAAAAGGTGGCTTGTTTCCCAAGGGGCGAGCCAGCAGTAGAATGACGAAAGGCGACCAAAGAAAAAGCTCCGCCCGCTCGGTGAATTATGTACAAACGCAGGGCCTTCCCGTGTTGAAGAAAAGGAGGAAGGGCGTAAGAAAAGGGCGACAAGCGTTCTGTGGCTTTTCAGGGGCAAAAAGAGTAGATGGCTCTTCTCCTATTTCTTGTTCCAAACGTTTCGCTAATTCGTGGGTTTCGTTTTGTCGGTTTTTTTTTGTGTCTTGAGAGTACCTCAGCAGACAAAGGACCGTTGCAAAAGAATCTCGATGGCTTGTCAGCCCCTAAGGCGTAAGGTAGCGGAACGGGTCCCCCCTAATTGACAGTTTTTAAGACATGCACGGGCGTCCAAACGGGTCCGCGGCTCCTGGGGTCGTCTGCCGCTCGAGCCTATCGGTATGTCAGGGATTATCACATAAGCAGATTCTTTAGTTGACGCCTGAGGCAGAAACCTCCCATTCCATCATCTACCCTACCTAGGTAGGTAAGGTACCTAGTCGGTTCTTATCTAATCAGCGCCTGAGCGAAAAGAGAGCGAGCCACACGGCTGAGCCCCAGTGGCTGGTGACCTCCTCTCCGAAAGCGTGACCGACTCCACCTCTACCTCTTTCCACCAATCAAGGCGATTGCGGGCTCGCTAACCTAGTGCGCCTTGTGCACAAGAATTTCTCATTTCTAGTGGTGAGATTGATTCATCCCAACCCATCTGGAGAACAACTGCACCCCCAACGGACTCGACCAGTTTGATCAGCCAACAGCCGTCAAAATGCCGGTACGTGATGGAACACGCCCCCCTCAACGATCTCTTCGACGGATGATGATGTTGCCCGCGACCGAATTTATCGACCTATTGCGTCCTGGCTGCGCGTTTCGACGTGTGCGTCGACTGTGGACGGGGTGTTGAGGCAGGATGGAGGGAGGGGCAACATCGTCAATCATCGAGGAGGGCGAACGAACGAAAAGATGAAAGAAACCCCAAACCCAAGCAGAACGCTGACCATTTCCCGCGGTACAGAGCCACAAGTCTTTCCGCACGAAGCAGAAGCTCGCCAAGGCGCAGAAGCAGAACCGCCCCATCCCCCAATGGATTCGCCTTCGCACCGGTAACACTATTCGGTACGATACACCCTTTCAAGAGGTCTTTTTGTTCTATTTCTGGATCGTGAATAATCCAGGGCGGAACGAGATGGCTCTTATCACTGGAAAACACCCCCGCCAAACATACACTGACATGACCACAGCTACAACGCGAAGCGTCGTCACTGGCGCAAGACCCGTCTCGGCATCTAAACGCCTCGCCTCCTTCTCTCTTCAAATCCCTACCCTATCCTGCGGATTCCATCTCCATGGTACCGCCGACCGAACGACGACGCCGCGCTCGACTTGGGAAACTTCACATCAAACGGGAGGGGTCACTCTGATGGACTCAAATACCCACTGGCTCGAGTCCTGATTCGTGGGGGAGTCTTTTTACAGGATGGTGGGGAAACAAAATGGATGCCCGGTTCGGCTAGACTCTACGTATTGCATGTTACGGTCATAGGGAAAGGAATGCAAAATTTGCCTCTGAAGAGATGAGGCCCCCACGATCACTTGTTTACTGAGTACTTGCGTGACGGTCTCATGTTATTGAGCCTTTCCATCGCTATTATTTGTGCACGCCTATCTACAGTGGCAGGAGGCGATCTCGGTTGTTTTTTGAGACAGCCACCCGTGGAGGGCTGAGGCAGGTCTAATCAAGACTTGACGTGACCGTATCTGTTCTTTGAACAGTTATCGCGCCCTCCATTTTCCAATGACTCACTGTCGTACACAAACGGACCCTTATCGATTGTACAGCGTGCCAAATGCGCATTCAAAAGCGTGCTTAAGTCTTCCTGTGTAGCCCAATCAGCACAGCCAACTTTGCCCAATGTCAAAATCAAGTTCTGTGAGGGGCATCGATACTGAGGTTCGATGCAGCCACTGTCAGACGGTTGGATTGGCTGGTCATGGGCGCTAGAATGTCACCGACCAATAATACTATGCTTCAGACGCGAAGTCGAATTTGTTTGCATTGCTATGACTATCTAGCAAAATCAAATGAGATGCGCATATCTGCTGCGCAAGGGATGATCGTGTATTGCGCGCCTCATACACCGAGCGTCCCTGTCCTTATGGGACGCTAATTCCTGACCTGTGGAGCAAACCGCAAACTTTCCAGGGTAATCAAAAACGAATCAATGAGCGATCGTTAAAACGCCGGAGTACGATGCATCACACATTAGGAGTGCAGAGAAATGTCCGAAGACTAGGTCGAACCCAGACTCCGGCTCTTCCACCACTTAATTTGCCGTGGTATTTAACGATCCTCGGCCCACTCGTTCTCGCGGCGAATCTGCTCCTCCTCTTCGGGGGTGAAGTCATTGGTAATGTTAAACGTCTTTCTGATCTCCTCGGGCGACTTGCCCTTGATCATGTTGGCGACGGTCTTGCATCCGACGTCAAGGAGGGGCTTGATGTCGAGGTAGTTGGATGCCTGTGGACACATTAGATCAGTTCACAGAGCGGTGGGAGCGACGGGGCAACATACGAGGATGATCTCAAAGAGCATCTCTTGATCAACTTGCATGAACTTCTGGTCCCACTCCTCAATCTCGGTGGTCTTCTTGCGGGCATCGTTCTCGTCATCGGCGGACTGGACGGGATCGTTACGGTGGTGCTCACACCACTCGATGACTTTGCGAAGGACTGCCTCGTTGACCTGGGAGAATAATGTCAGTATTTGTCGACTAGTCGACCGATAGGCGAGGTGGCAACGGCACGTACGTTGGGGATAGGAATGGGGTTTTCCTGGCTGATGCTGTCATCACCAACATCCTCAAGCATGTTCTTGATGAGCATGGAGCGCTCAGCGACAACGCGATCTAGGAGATACCAGTCAGCGAAGCGCGACGACAAAGTCGATTAGTGGAAGGAGGGGTCTGACGTACCAACGGGGATCGTGATGTTATCGTTGGACTGAACCCAGATCTTGGAATCCTTCTTCTCGGCGGCCATTTTGTCGGGTGAAATGAGTAATTACGATGTGGAATTTCTTAGAGCAGTCAGCTTGAAGTTGGTGGATGGCGATGGGTATAGTAGTGATTGAGTGATTGAGTGATTGATTGATTGATTGATTGATTGATTGATGGATCGAAGTTGGATCTGGAGGATGGTGGGGGGAGGCTGAAGAGGCGATCGGCGGGGGATGGAGTGGGATAAAGACCTTTTATTAACGATTCGGAGAAAGAAGTCGGGTTTGAAGATAATGTGCGCGAGAGTAATCGCGGTTTGTCTAAATGCAGGTGAGCAAACGAAGTAGGGAATCTGTGAGGTCGAAGATGGCCTTTTGTTGCGTCAGGCGTTAGATTGGATAGTTTGGGTTCGGGCGGGGGCCAGGCGGCTGTTGGTTGTGAAGAAGTATAGAGGAGAGGGCGTCGCTACCCGTGGAAGCTGAAGGAGCAGGCAGAGAGGTAAGGGCAGTAGGTTCTTTGATTGGTCCAAAGTGATCTGGTCTGTTTGCATTTATGGGTCTTTCGGTCTGTTGCCTGGAGAAGTAACCTGGAAGTCCACAGCTGGAGGTACTCTTTCAGCGGGCCTCGCCCACAAAGGTACAGCACCTCAATGGAAGGCTCGTCGCCTCTCGTACGGATACATCTACCAAGGAAAGAAGAAAGTGCTGCAAGTTTACGCACAAAAGTAAGGAAGAAGGCACAGCTGGCCCCCCCTTGCATTAGGTAACGTGCAGAGACGTTTTCGGCTTGCATTGAGGTTTGCGACGGCCCTTTCACTTTTGGTTTGGGGTCACGAGCTAGGGGAATTTCTCAAAGCTGCTTGGAAGGGCACAGAAAGAACATCAATAGCAACATAAAAGGAGCCATTAAATCTCACATTATTCCGGAGCCGTTGAGTATGAAGCTTTGTTCTGGATAAGGTAGCTTAAGACATCAATCGATATTGTCCGAAAGGCTCTCGACGAGCTGATTCACTAACCTACGGGAGGCACCTTAAGTGAGGTAAGCATTCATCTGCTGGACAGTTTCTGATGGCTCCATTAGCAATACACCCCTATAATACTTACTTACGTGAAGGAGATGACGGTCAAGAGTTCTCATCATTACTTTCCATGAATAGCCTCATTTCCTCTCGACAGAAAATATTCTCAGTTGCTGCGCCTAGCAAGAATCCTCTGTCCCTCAGGCTCTTGCATCGAGCCTGTGTCTTTCCTGTGCTACCACCTATGCAGCCGAGGCTTGTGTCAATATTTTGGGCGAATCTGGATTCCGAAGGACATTGCAGATTGACTGAGACGAACTTGCAAAGATGTCTATATTTTGGGCCAGAGTACGAGAGAATGGTGCTGAATACTCGGGGCAACAGCCAGCTTGCTAGACTTAAATAAATACCATCCCATGACCCGGTTGTTGATACCTGCTGAGGGTCACTCGTGATCAACGACACTAGATTCGATCAGGCATCGCCCACCTCCCTCCTTCTGCCAGGCCGAAAGAGAGAAAACAGCACATTTTATACATTTGGCCCACGACGTCGAATATTAATGCAACCCAATGCGATACTTCTCTACGACGGATCGTAGGTGCTAGGCAGTTCTCCGCAAACGGCAGACCTATTCTCGGAGCCGGACAGAAGGTGACTGCTGCTAGACTCGGACAAGCTTGTCGTCGCCGCTTAGCTAAAAGCCGAAGAGACCGGCAAGGCAGAACCGGGGCAGCGGGTCCAGCGAAGACGGCCGTAGTGACACCAATGTCTATTCCTGTTAGTACGCCGTATCTGCGGCGACGGAGCACCGCCTCCTCCTGGGCAACGGTTGCATTGGTGGGTGGCTTTGACACTGGCCCGCTCCTGGGTCGATGCTTGCTGGCAGGATCTGTTATGTTTTCTCTCCGTCTCGAGTGATCAAGTCAGCGGCTAGATTTACCCTCACCGCTCAAGCATAGGAACATTCCCCGTGACATCTTACGTGGACGTGCCATCGAATTATACAGGCCGTGGATAAGGTCTCTTATCCGTATCGAAGGAAATGTCCGACTAGAGTCTGGAGATGGCCAGGGGTGGGACACGACAAGACAGGGCCAATGGCGAAAGCGAGCTGCAAGCACTTTAAAGAGCCTGTCTTCTCCACGGGTCCAAATCCCCCGCGACGCGAGCAGGGCAGGCCCCAATCTCGTGGCGCGAGACACTACCTAAAGACGGCGGCAGATGGCCTATCATTCCCAGTCTCCCTACAAAGTACTGTTTTCAAGATTCCAATTTCTCGGATCAGGGCATAGAGTGTATAATGAAGGTTGGGCCCGTTTCATGGAGACGCGCCAGTGGGAGTGGGCGGCGCGCCTGCGTCCGTGAAATTTAATAATGAGTAATCTATACATAGTGCCGGATGTTGATGGGGCCCGCGATCCCGAAGCTTCCGTCGACGGTCGAAGGCGCGAACGCGACTACGGCCGCGGATGCGCAGATGGCGTCCCGAGATTGGCATCATTACGTTCGTCTGATATCAATACCGATTTCTACCGGACGAACAGAGCGTGATGGCCCGGTGGCATGGCTTTTTTTTTGCTGCGCGCGTTACTCGGGAGACATGTTAGAGACCAGTACACCAACTGGCAAAGTTGACAAGTTGTTGACAGGCAGCCCCCATGCCGGGCAGATGGGAAATGATGCATAATGACAGCAAGACAGATGGATGGTTGTGGTTCGAGAAACCTGCTGACTGAGTCGGTGTTATCTGGTTGGCTGTCAGGGGAAAGGGGTGCTGCTCTCCTCCCCTGGAGAGTGAGAGAGTTGAGGACAGAGTTGAGCGTCCCAGTTGCCCGCCGGTGGCAGTCTGCCTTGCCGCTTTGGGAACTAGCGCTCCCAACCGAGGGCTCTAGAGAAGAGCTTGGCAGGGAACAAGGGCCCGTTGCAGCGGACTGGCGGGCTGTCGACAGTCGGGGGGGCATATTCCCCAAAAGTCTGTCGGTTTTTTCCTCTCTGCCAGCAACCACGTCGCGGACTCGTGCGTCGAAAGCTACATAGTACGCCACACCAGGTTGGCGATCCCTGTACCTGAGGTGTGCCGGGGAATAAGCATTCTACCAAGCGTGGCAGCAGCAACGAATATGGTATGCGTGCCTGCCAGATTCATAGCAGATGAGAGAGGGAAGGAACGAATCGTCGAACAAACAACAACCTGGAAACCTGACTCCCTGGTCCTTGGACTCCTCCGGTCAGCGGAGCTTCCAACTTTGACACCTCCTCCTCCTCTCCTGTCTCTCAGCAGACCTCACCTCACAGTCACGACTCACACCCCGAGCTCATCTCACCTGGCTCCCCTGGTGGAAACTGGGAAAGGCAAGAAATCAAACAAGTGCCCAACCACCAAACAGAAGCAAGAGCAGGGGCCATGTGCCCGCTAAAGTAGTCTCAGAGATTGCGGATACACCCTCATATGGATAGTTCTGGGCCTATCTGTATTGCTCCGGAACTGGACCTTAATACAACCCGAGTTACACCTAGTAAGATCAAGGTATCCGTACTTTGGACAGTGCAACATCCCCTCCATAAGAGCTGCGGGCTGACAGAGAGCGGGAGCGACACTAAATCACTCTCTCGACCCGAGTCCGCGCGCAAAAAATATCCTGACCATCACCCTACCTGACCTTACATTTACCTGACCTTGCCTTGCCTTAGCCGCACCACGACTTGCGCACCTCTTTTCTTTTCCCTTTGCTTCTCTCTGGCCCCTCCCTCGCCGGGCCTCACCTTCGAAAATAATATTTCCCATTCTTTGTTTGTCTTGTTCCATCCTACTTCTTGCTCTACATTTACCCCACCTCTCCCTCCTGAGCCTCTGCTCCGCGTGGTAAACGGTCGCGTACTTGGCTCCTTTCCATGCGCTTCTCCTCCTGATGATGCGACGTTGCGACATACACTCCTTTCCCCAACAAACCTCTCGCCGGCCTTGCTTCGCCTAATACTCGACCACTGGCAACTTCCATCCTTCGACCGCAAACCGATGCCCGAGCTACGCGCAGCAACTACCAATAAATAATAATCGAGAGCACACGGAGTCATGTGGCGGAGAGCGTACCTGTTCCTGGTGCTGGTCCGGCTATGGTTCGCCCTGTCACCCAGCTACCTGCACCCCGACGAGAATTTTCAAGGCCCAGAGGTTATCGCAGGTACGTTTGGCTTGATTTCCAGCTACTGCATCCCGCTCCCTCGACTTGGGTAGAGCGTGCGCAGCTCTCTGTCTCGCGCTATGGAGCTTCCTCCCACGGAGCTCGGATTGAGTTTGGCGCTCGTTCTTGCTCAGCGGGACCAGGACTAACGGCGTGGCGCAGGCCAAATCTTTAGCTACCCGGTACGGCACACATGGGAATTCACAAACGAGCACCCGATACGAAGCGTCTTCCCCTTATGGCCCGTCTACGGCCTGCCCATGATGTTGTTGAGATGGCTGTGGATCGGCAACGGCAAGGATGGCGAGATTCCCCCAATCGCAGTCTTTTGGACACTGCGCGTGCTCATGTTCGTCACCAGCTTTGTGCTAGAAGATTGGGCTATCCACGAGCTCATCAGCTCTCCGCGACACCGTCGCGTTGCTGTGCTTTTGGTCGCCTCGTCATATGTCACATGGACCTACCAAACGCACACCTTCTCCAACTCGGTTGAGTGTCTGGTTGTTGCTTGGTGCTTGGTCTTGATTCAGCGCATTGTCGAGAGCCCGGTAAGGTCCCCCGTTGGCACTGTTTTGTGGGCACCACAATGAGGACGCTAACACTTGTGACAGCAACAATCATCGCTCCTTGCTTCCACAATTCTCGGCGTAGTGGCCGTCTTTGGATTGTTCAATAGGATTACTTTCCCGGCATTTTTGTTGATTCCGGGCCTTCGCTTGATACCCCATTTTCTCAATAGGTAGGACCACCTTCGGCACCATGACATCAGGGGATCGCCCACTAACAACCCACCAGACCCTTGTCGTTCACCGTGATGGTGTTGGCAGCTCTCACGACTACCTTGGTTGCGATTACCCTGGATACGGCATTTTACCTCCCTGAACCCATCAAGTGGGCAGACCTCATCTCACGACCAGTCATCACGCCACTCAACAACCTCCTGTACAATATCGACACAGACAACCTTGCGCAGCATGGGTTGCACCCTTGGTACCAGCACCTGCTGGTCAACATTCCCATGCTGATCGGCCCAGCTGCGATGCTGCTCTTTACGCAACCACACGTCTCGTTGCGACTCTATTCGGCCATCTCAGGCGTCTTTGTGCTGTCTGTATTCCAGCACCAAGAAGCTCGATTTCTGCTGCCGACCGTTCCCCTCATCCTCTCATCAGTTCACGTTCCCAAGAATCGCACTCTCCTACGCGTGTGGATCGGTGTCTGGCTTGCCTTCAACTTGTTTTTCGGCATACTGATGGGTGTCTACCACCAGGGCGGCATCGTGCCGGGCCAGGTGTTTTTGAGCAAGCAGCCAGATGCGACTCAGGCTGTCTGGTGGAAGACTTACACGCCCCCCATTTGGCTTCTGAACGGCAAGAACGAGGTACTCACGACCCGCGATGTGATGGGGATGAAAGGCGACACGCTTCTCGAGGAGCTGACCAAGCTCGCGACTTGCGACACGCCAGCGGATCGACGCAACTCGGAGTATCTAAAGGAAAAGAACGGAACATATCTGATTGCACCAGCATCAGCGACGTGGATCGACCCTTACCTTCCCAACAAGGGACTCAAAGGCCTGAGATTCCGCGAGGTGTGGCGGTACAGGCAACATCTGAACCTGGATGACCTCGACTTTGGCGATGATGGCATCTGGAACACATTGACGAGGGTGATTGGCAGACGAGGGCTCGTCGCCTGGCGTGTGACGAAGAGCTGCAAGTGAGGGTCATGAGGGAGATCAAAAAGCAATGAATGAAAAGACTTGAAACGTTTGATGATTTGAACAGTTTCCGACTTTGAAAAGCTAATGGTATCGTGAATGTGTCCTCCTTGTTGTATAGTCTCTGTTGTGACTAACCCCCATGAATATCTGAAGCGCCGCACCGATGGCGCCGATTTTTAGATCATGTTCACAAGCCCCTTGTGCGATAGATCTCCCAGTTCCCATTACATTCGTGAGAGAACCCCCGGTTCCGATTCGTCATCCACAGATAGAACCTACAGTGCATCCCGAGCGCTTCATTGAACGCCAAGTCCTGTCGTGCCACCAGCATGTATCAAGAACTATGCCGACTTCGCCTCGCGGATTCATGCCCGAGTCCGATGGCAGTGAAACTCCTACTTGTGCCCTGGGACACAGCTTGACGACCACGAGTACGCCCCCGGCACATCTACGCCGCCACGCTCGTCTCGTTGACGTCCACGGCAAAGTACCAGTTCCCCGAGACGTTCATGGTGCCCAGCTTGCTCTTCATCCAGCAGACGTGGTTGCCGTAGTAATCGCCCCAGCCGGCGCCGACGCAGTCGGGCCCCTTTGAGGCGCAGAGATCGATGCAGGTGGCCATGGTCGTGGCGTTCTCGGACGTCAGGTCGGTGGCGCCATTGGCCGAGTTGAAGTCGTGGCCGCAGATGAGGCGGAAGGTGCGGGCTGGCGCGTCGGGGGAGGCGTAGGTTGCGTTGTCTGAGGAGGGGCAGGTGATTACTGCGTTTCTTGTTGATGTTGGCGGGGTTGTTGTTGAGTTGCTGGGGTTGGGGTGTTAGAGCGCGAGTGAGACTTCGAGTTAGGGAAAGGGGGGAGGGGGGATGGCTGAAGTTATGAAATGTGAACAAGAAAACTTACCCTGACGTCGACTTGTTGCCAGATGAACCGCCCGACTTCTTCATCGCCAGTCCCACGCCGAGGCCGACGGCGATGGCAGCCACGGCGAGGACTATGGCGACGCCCATGATGACGTAGCACACCTTCCGGCGCACGCCGCACATCGTGGTCCTCGTCTTGCCGTTGCCGTCCCCGGCTCCGTCGAGGGACCCCGACCCCGGTGACCCCGGCGGCGGCTGGTGATACCCGGGCGGGTGCTGCTGGCCGGTGCCGGCGGCAAAGTAATACGGCGCGGCGGCCGCGGACGTCACGGACGGCGTCGTCGCATCAAGGTTCGGGCTCTGCTTGTGGTAGTGATGCCACGACAGCTGGTCATCTACGACCTGGGGCAAGGTTGTCGTCTGGGCATCTGCGTTGTTGTAAGGGGAGACCTCGGGGAGGTGGATGTCGTTGCGGTTCCAGGCGTTTGGTTCGGCGACTTCGAGGCCGGACTCGTATTGCTGCTGGTGTTGCTGCTGCTGGGGTTTCGCCGTCGTCTTCAGCGTCGGCACCGCCATCTTGAGAAACTTCTCAGATGCCCTCGGTCTTGGCCCCTCCATGGATTCTCCCCCTTTTGGTGTTGTTCTTGTTCAAAGTTATATGGTTGCGTGCTTGGACTGGACGTCCGACTCTCTTTCTGCTCTAGTTCGCTAAGCTTCTCTTAATGTGATTTGCTCTCCCTCTGCGAGATGCCTGCCTCCTCCCGTCAAGGAGTCTCATGAATCAAAGTGATGGCACGTTTGAAACACCCGACAGCGTGTAAGTGTATCGCCAAGAGATATCCGTATGATGCAAATAGGTTTAGAGCCTTTTTGGCAGAGGGACGGCCAAGTCCAGCCAAGTGTATGAACCAGGGGTATGTCGGAAGGAAAAAGAGGAAGGAGGGAAGTGAGGAAAGAATGGAGATGCAAATGAGCGGGAGAGCGAAAGGGGAGAAGCGTCAGGAAAGCGGGAAGGGTTGCCGGCATGGAAACGAAGCAAAGATGGAGTGAGCAGACCCAAAAAGCAAAAAAAACGACTACCTTACGGTTCCTACCTACTACTATGTCCCGTTGCCGGCTAGCCCCCCCGCCCACTAAGAGGAGCGAGGCAAGCTTATAGTTTAATACGACGAGTCTGGCGCGTCTCTGTTTCCTCTCAGCCCCGGGGGTTTGTACCCCATTCGGGATAGCTCAGGGAATCGGCTGGTCTGCTTACCGGTACGGTCTGACAAAGGGTGGGTTCTATGCATCGTGATCGAGGACGGGGGCAAGGATCTGCCTCGAAACTCGGTATCTGTGTAGATATAGCATCAGTAATCAGGGCGGATCCTGATTTCTAGTACCTCAGACGTGTAAACTGAAGTTTGTCCCTCCTTCTCACCCGCGTACACAGTATAGTAAGAACGCCTATGCCGGGCTGAGCGGGCGGATGAGCGACCGACCGGCCAACCAGTCATGTCAGCGCGCGTGAGATTTCGCGCTTGCTCGTCTCACTACTTTTGTGCTCATTTATTGCCGGCCGCTCACAACGCTTGTCACCCACGGGCCTCTCCTTTCAGCCCCGTTCATCTGCCACCAACAACGGGTCTAACGACTCCCGGGAAAGCGTGTGGAGAGAAAAAGTCAGGAACCGGGCCGCCAGTGCGGGGACCTGCCAAGGGGAAGGGAGGGGGGAAGGAGCTTGGCGAGCTTTCGAGGTTCGACAAGACACCTCGAAGAAGGTCCCCTTATCTTCCGTCGACAATCTAGAGAGAGCTCAGGATGAAGAAAACTGCGTCGAAACTCGTCCCAGTCTCTGAGGCATGTCGATCCTAGCCCGCATCTCATTAGCAGGAAGATTAGAGGCCAGTGGGCGGTGGCAGCGTAATGTCGTCCTGATGGTGGGGAACTGTTGCATTGCAGGCAAATGGTTTGAAGAGAAAGTTTTGGCCAAATCATGATTGGGAATGAGAAGTGCGGATTCAAAAAAAGGTGCCGCCGAATATGGCAAGTCTCTGAGACTTCTTTTTTTGGGAGTAGCGAGCCAGCCAATTGGACGCCTTGTTTGTGCGAGCTGTGCAGGCGGTGCGGTGCGGTTGGCTTGGCCAACGAGCTTGAACTTTTTGGCGAAACACCCCCTGCAAGTCAGCATCCCATTGCAGGGGTTTTGGGAGGCGCGGAGGGGGGGGACTCGGAGGAAGAGGAGGAGGAGGTGAGACGGTCCAGACTCTTTCTCTCGTAGCGCTCGATTCGGTCATGAATACAAGGTGATAATCGTGTTGTGCCATCTGTCGGTCAGACTGGCTGCGATAGGAAGGGATTCCTTGTTTTCTTTTGATGATGTATCAACACTGGAACGACTGGGGGGGCTTCGAGGGAATTTTAGACCAGGTTTGAGATTTGGACCTCTGTGAGCGAGAGCTTCCCAAGGGCAGCCTCCGAATATGCTTTTGCCGTCAACTTTCATCCGAAATCTGTGCCAAGCGATGAGTAACATTCGGGATGAAGTTGAACTTTAGACGCTTGATGAGATTAGCAATCGTCCATCAGCCCTAGCAAAGTTTATCTATATGAGAAATGTGGATTTGAAAGCTTGTCAAGCATCTCACATACCTAAGCAGCCACATGGGTGGGCAAGACATGTGAGGCTTGACGAGGGGATGGCTACATTTGCTGAACCACATCTCGTCTCTTTTACGCCATTGTTGATTAGGCCTGCCTGACCAGCCACTTCAGATTTGGTGTCATGAGAGAACGGCACGCTCAACATTACCCTCTGCTGCGGACACTGCTTAAGAAGTGCTGACAGCGCCGATCGAGCAGCCAGGCTTATCCCTCCGAGAGGCCGTAAAGACGGGCCGAGCCCGGACAGAAAGTTAGCGTACTCAATCACGGCTCGGTTCAAACGGCCAAGAGTCATCCGGGGAGATCCCAAGACCTAGCCTACATGATAGCGAATCCCGGTTCGCTTTCCGTGTATAGAGGAGTCTTCCAACCTTTTTCGTGCTCATGATGCTAAGCATGGGGGTGGCACAGGGTGGTGCATCTCAGTCTCTAGACTCCAAGATACGTGCTTGTCAGAGGGTTCTATGAGATAGAGTTTTCTTCAATAGGTCCTATGCGTGTAGAGCTTGCTTCTGAATTGAACCCTATCATTCTAGAGGCCGGTGAGAACTTCTCTTACATTTGCACTTGCTTTATCTTCACAGAATCATCATAATTAGTCACTTCAAGCTCATATCTAAGTCTTACGGTTTCTCCTGGCACGTAAAATTAAACATATAATGCGAGGAGGTCAGATGAGAATCGAATGTTCCTCCAACAGCTCTTCCCGTATCATTTGTTCGAAATACGCGGCATCTTGAACTCCCCGACGGTTGTTCTCATCACCGGAGCCAACGGCGGCATTGGCCATGCTATTGCCGAAAGTCTAGCTGCTTAACACCGCTACCAAGTTATCGTTGGATCTCGCAGCCTCAAAGCAGACCACGATCTCACCGCATCGCTACAGTCTCGCAGTATGTCTGCGTCAGCTGTTCAACTCGATCTCACAGTCGACGAAGACATCGTCGCAGCAGCCGCCTCCGTCTCCGAGACTTTTGGCAAGCTCGACGTCCTGGTCAACAACGCAGAGGTGCACTTCGACATGACAAAAGAGCTCTCCGTCCGGGAGCAGGGGACGTCCACCTTCTCCACAGATGTCGTCGGTACCGCCGCCCTGACCGACAAACTCTTACCGCTTCTTCGCAAGGCGCCGTTCGCGCGGATCGTCTTCGTCAGCTCCACCAAGGTGTTCATGGTCGCTGCCCTGGACCCGACTGCAGGGTTCTAGGACGTCACGCCAAAGGCGTACGATGCCAGCAAAGCCACCTTCAGCATGTTGGCCATTAGCTATGCGAAACTGTTGAGAGATGTTAGAGGCATTGCGAATGCTGTGTGCCCGGGGTTGCTTGAGACCAAGATCACGGCCCCAAGCTGGGTGCGAAGAGGATCGTGGAGATGGCGACACTAGAGAAACGAAATGGCGTTTCGGCAAAGTGTTCAAGCAGAAATGGGACTATTCCTTGGTGATCCTGAATACTTCGGTCACGTTGTACATAGATTGTATGTAGAACGAGACGAAAGCTGGTTCAAAGTACTAGCAATGCAGTCAACGTTTAGCATGACAACCGATGTAATCAAGTATTGTGCGGTCTGGATACATGGCTGTGGGACATGTATAGTATGTATTTAGAATAAGAGGTCGCTGTTACAACAAAGACCAGATTTTTGGTTGCCGACCAGAATATCGCCAACAGCCTCTGGGAATTCGGGAATAGCTGAAGTGCTTCATGCCAAAATGCTATGTAAACAGTTCAGAAAAAGACTCCGAGGTCTCAAGAACCACCCCAAAAGTCACGACAGCTTCACATCAACAATGGCACTATTGCTAATCCGGAAACACCGGTAGCGGCCGCAGCAGCTATCGATCCATGGACAAGCCACTTCATATCCAAAGGAAGACAAATCAATACAACAATGCGAAATTATACACACTAGGGACGATCTAAGAGAATTGGATGAAGGATTTCTGGGCCGTTTGGGCCGATCTCAAGAACACGTCTTCGCAGTCAGAGCAGACACGTCACTTTCCACGGACGACACTTGTTTCCTTGGGGACATCTTATAATTGATTTTTTTTTAGGTTGGCGTTGGACATGTCTTCCCTCCCGGCAGGCAAGAGGTTCCAAGTCCAAGGATTGGAAAAAATGTCCGATGAGCTGGCACAGAGCTTGCCAACAGCCCATCGAATCAGGTGTTTCATTCTCTGTTCCTGCCATAACTTTTGCGTCAAACTGCGAGAGACCCAAATCAGGAAGGCTCGCGATGCAGGTGATCATGCAATGGCTATCTTTCCCTGAGTTTGACGCAAGGACGGCCTTTCAGCAAGGTCTTTCCACTGATGAGACTTCGGGCCGTTGGATTAATTCAAAGCAAGTTCTACCATGAAGATTGCCGTTATTTTGTTGCTTTTTACCAGCATTTCCTCCCTCGTCTGTACTTCTTTTACTCACACCCGAAGCATCCCAACCCCATCTTGTTTGTTTTGACTTTTCTACCAATAACTTATCCGAATTCATTGCAAGCATACAGGATGACATCCCACAATGACTCTGGCCCGTCCACACGAGCTTCAGACAACCGATGGACCCCTGTCGAGAACTGGGAAGTGTACACGAGCAGGAATCTAGAGGGACAAGTCCGGTACCAAGTCCGATGCACACAGCACCGTCGAATTCAGTGCCAGGATTGTCCACCGCCTCATGATGCCGTCGCAGCGGACTACCTAAGATCCTTACTACCGAGGCCCCGACCGCCGAGGGAAGGACCGAGCATGTACACCCTCGCGCTCGCACGACAGCCCATCTATCGTTTCTACACTGGCCGACGTCCAGGCCTAAGGAACCCTTATTTATCTAACCTCCCCAACGAAGTGGAGAATGATCTTCACGGAATATACGATTATCTCACATCAGACGACGATTCATCGGGATCAGATTGGGACGGCGGCAGCTGTCCAGACCTCTCTGATGGCTCGTCTGCAGATCGACCGACCTTGGAGTGCCCTACCATCATGTTCCCAGTATCGGCCTACTTGGAGGCGGATTAGGAGTCGGCTAATGGTCGTCTTGCGACGCGGTTCATCAACGCCGAAGACCCTTCGGACTTCCTCATCTACATCCAGGGCCTCTTTTGTACAGAGAGCCGAATGGGCAGCTGGGCATACCTCTTCAAGTCCCTCACTACCGGCGCTGTTGCCGGACGCCTAGAGAGGCTGGGTCCATACGACGATCTTCGCACGCCAGTGAGGCACAGAGCCGAGCTCCGCGCAGCCCTCGCCGCACTGCAGATACCCGCCGAATACAGATATGGTTTCAGGAAACTCACAATTGCAACCACTCGCGCCTGGCTCGTGGAAGACGGAAACCTGTTAGTCGAACGGGCAGAAAATGAAGCCATCGCAGGGCCCCTGATCGATTGGGCACAGGCTCGTAACACGCCAGAGTTTTCAGACGTATCCGACGGAGACCTTTGGTTCGCAATCAAACGGCAGATACAGGCTCTCTATTCTTTCGGGGAACCAATGGAATCCGTCACCGTCCAGTTTCGTCTGATTGAAGCCGAGTACAACAGACTGTGCCAAGCGGAAGCCTTGATGGCTCTGAGGGATACTCGACGGCCTTATTTCTTCAGAGACCCTTCACCTGAGCGGGAGTGGTGACAAAGCAGCGATAGCAGGTACTTGACTGAGTCTATATACGTACTGCACCGACGTTGAATAGGATCGTGGGGACGGACGTAGGGGTAGATATCTGTGACGAGGGAGAGGGGGTTTCTTGGACGGCGTTTGCTAATCCGCTGGTATTCCAAGATGCAATTCCAATGAATAACCGAGTTCACCTGCAACATACCTCATGAAGTGACTGGGGAAAAAAAAAGGCTCGCTTGATTCGCAACCACAAGCCTGATCACGATCAAACCTGCCATACTCCTTGACGCGTGGACACGGCACGCCACCAAAAATCTACGTCGATAGGGGATTTTCGCGATCCGCTTCCAATCCCAAGAACCGAATGGAACGACAGACATATTTGACAAACACTTCACCAAGTCATATTCATAGTAGGGGAAGCGTTAATGGTATCAAATCATTGTGTTCAGACTCTCTGATAGCCCGTGCCGGCTACTGAAGCGTAAAAAGTCTAAACCCCTCTCGGTCCCTACAAGCCGCTATCAACTTTTACTTTCACTTTTACTTTTTCTTTGGGGAGCTCTGGCTCTGTCTCCCCGCGAAGAAGACCTCGCCCAAAGAGGCCCGCTAGAAGATATCATGTTTGGTGAAGCAACGCTGGCCAAGGGCGGTAGTAGCTATTGACCGAAGCCGAGACTCTTGTGAGAGAAAAAGCACCCTCTAGGTGGTGGCCATGTGATGTGCCTCCTCTTCAACCTTTGAATTAGAGTAGCCCCCCCCTCCCCCCCATTCAGCTATGATTGGTGCGATTATCCGCCCTTCGAGGCCTGGTAGGCTGAACGTTGTGACGACCAAGCTTCACGCCACTATTCTCCGTCGCACCCGAACTGGCAGCAGTACCGAGCCGACCGCCGGGCTTCTAGCCCCACCGGCTGCCCTCGCGCTCAGCCTCCATCCTACGCATCCGCTCCTCCTCCTCGTCGATGCTGATAGCCTCACTGCGGCGCCCCTTTCGCCGACTCCGCTTGCCCTCATCGCCGCCTCCACCGCCACTACTCTCATCTCTGCTGCGTTTCGCGCCCGCGAACCCGGCCAGACCGGCCATGCGCTGCGTCTCCTTCAACAGACGCTCGCGATCCCGGGCCTCGCGCTCCAGGGCGTGGGCGTCCTTGGTGGGAACGCTGGGTGCGGACTTGCTATTGATGGAGGCTTGGGAGTCCCGTCGTCCTCCGTCTTGCCTGTCGGACGATCTGCCGGATTTCGAGCTCACGCCCTTGATCTCAAGACCTGAACCACTGCCACGAGGGCCGGTGGGCGGGTTGAATTCCCTGTCGACAGATGTGGGTGGCTCCGCTGACTGCTTCCGGCTGCTGCGGTGGCGGTGTTCCCGGTCCCTGTGCTTGTCGCGCTTCCGGTCTTTCTCGCGGTCGCGGTCGCGGTCCTTGCGGTCACGATCGTAGTCGCGATCACGGTCACGATCACGATCCCTCTCTCTGTGCGAGCGGTGGCTAGACTTTCTGTGGTAGTCGTCGTAGTCGTCATCCCGGTGCTTGTCCTTCTCCCGATCCCGGCGCTTCTCCTCCCGATCTCTGCGGCTCCTATGGCTAGACCGCTTTGAGTCGCTGGGGGACGCAGATTTGGACCTCTCTTCGTGTCCGTCGTCTCTGGACCGGGACTTGATGTCGTCTTCGTCATTGTATGAGGTGTGCTTTCTGCTCTTATGCTTCCTGCGACGATACTCATCGTCTCGATCGTCGACAGATCTCGATTCTGAGCGTCTGCGCCGGCGCCGGTGGCGATCCCGATCTCGATCACCGCGCTCGCTCTTGCGCTCGCGACTCTGGTCTCTGCTGCGTGAGGGTGAGCGTGAGTAGTCTCGTTCTCTTACGCCGTGGTCTCTCTCCGACCTGACGTCAGGTTCTCTCTCACGATCACGGCTCGCATCTCGACGACGGCTCCTGTCCTTATCCTTGGTCCGCGTCGAGGAGCTGCTTCTGGATCGCTGCTCCTGTTCCACAACGGGACTCTGAGTGGCGAGTGCGTCTGCCGACGACTGTCGGCCTCTCTCATCAGGTATAACGTATCCTCGCGCCCGCAAAGTGTGCAAACTTGTATTCGGCAGACCCTGACGCATCGCCTTGGGGCCTGTCGGGGCATTTATGGGAACATCAGGGGCTGCAGGCGCGAATCCTGGAGGGCCATAACCTCCCGACATGCCGTTCCCGTTGTACGCAGAGTAGTCACCGGATGTCTGTGCCATGTTTGTATTCACAGCATTCTCCTGATCCGCTGGACCCTGCTCGTCACCGCCCTCGTCCGTAGGTCTCGATCCTTCACCGCCCCCCTCTGCGTTATCGCCGCCTCCTGCATTGGAAGTCGTATCCTGGTCATTTGGGCGCTCGCGGCCAAACTCGTCAACGTTGCCTGCCGCCCGAGTTTCATCCTCGGATCCCTGGCCGTGCATATTGTTTCCATACTGTTGTTGCGCGTGGCCTTGGTCACCATAGCCGCCATACTGTTGGTATCCGCCTCGGCCGTAACCCCCGCCACCGTAAAAGCCGCGTCCTCTTCCTCGTCCACGGTTGCCGTAATTGTTGCGGCGGTAATCATTGAATTGGTGGCCGTAATTACCTTGATTGTACCCTGACTGGAATCCTGAGTTATAGTTGCCATAGTCACCAGATCCCATGCCAGCAGCATTAGCAGAATTGAAATTATCTTGGCCGAAATTCCATGACTGTTGCCCGTTCCAGTTATTGGAGCCTGAGCCGAAACCACCGCCGAAGCCTCCCATGCCCATGCCTTGAGGACCATAGCCGCCGTTCATGTACATGTTCTGCATCGCCATTGGGTCCATACCCATTCCTGGCATACCTGACGCGGTTAGTTTCGGCCATTGACAAGGGGACGCGGTGGGCTTACCCATCATAGGAAAGTTGCCAAACGAGTTGGAGCCCATGCCGTTCTGCATGGCCATCATCATTTGCATTTGGTTGAAGTCACCATTCCCAGTAAAGTTCATGTTCGAAAAGTTGCCTCCGTTAACTCCATTGAAGTTGGCGCCGTCATTCGCATTTGCGTCGTCACCCTCTACGCCGTCGTTGTCCGCAGCCTCATCCTCCTGCGATCTCGTTATCTTGCTGCCGTCAGCCGCGGTCTCATCGCCAGTTATAATGACTGTCTCGTCATCGTCGTCCTCTCCCTTAGAGATGACAGGCTCTTCGTCGTGGTTAGGCGGATTCTGGTCAAGGAGTTAGCACACGTCATCCCGAAAGGATCATCTTCGGAACACCAACGTCGTGGTTCTGTGCCGCAGTGGCATCCACATCCGTAGTATTGGCTACATTGGCATCTACGACTGGCGTAGCTTGGGCATCGGCGTTCTCTTCGCGTACGTTGGGGACCACGACAGGTTGCGGAGGTGTCTCGACGGCAGGAGTCTCGCTGGGCCCAGCAATGGGCGCGTTCGGCTTTGCATCAACGGGGGTAGGAGGTGCCGAGTCCTTCGCATCCCTTGACCGCGCTTCATCTCGCTTTTTCTCTTGGGTTCGAATGAAGACCTTGATCGTCGTTCGGAGTGACTTGAGCGGCGTGCAGTCGTCGGCGGAAACGGGTGAATGCTCGCAAACGGGGCAGGATGAGGGCAGAGAACTTTGGCCTAGAGGATGGGTCAGAAGCTGTACGTGGACGCGAAATTGGAATCGAGTGACTGACAGGTCTCGCAGATGGCTTGCTCGCAGCAGGGAAGACGGAAGGCGTTGACGGCGGGCTTGCTGCAGCTGGCGCATCGCAGCTTAATCGGAATATCGTCAGGCGCAAGCGAGCTTGAGAGGCCAAGTTAGCAGTGCGATTGACGAACCGCATGAAGAAGGGCATGGGAGACTTGCTTGATGAGGTCAACCTGGGCCGGGGTAAGGTGAACAGCCATGCTGTCGTCTTTGTGGAGGAAAGGAATATCAAGAAGAGAGATACATGGGTGAAGGAGGGGCCTGGAAAGTACAACGACAAAAAAATGGCCGCGTCGCCGCCGACCTGATATTAGTATGAAGGAAGAAGAAGGAGGGAGTTTCAGCGTGTCGCGCGATACGCTGTCATGACGGACGGTTGCTTGTTGTTGAGCTTGTTTGCGCAAAGAAGCAGAGTGGTCGTGAAAAAGATTCTGAGTGACGGAGCAGTGTGAGGTGGACGAGGCGCGGGAAGGGCCAGAAAAAAGGTGGGACGCGTGGGCGGTGACTGACCAACCAGATGCGCTCATCCACCTTTCCCGGCCTGCTGGTTTTACAGTGTTTTACAGTACCGGCTTGATCCAGCCACCACGTCTGCCCGGTACATTACTCGCCCATCTTGGCTGTACATCATTTTCGGCAGCCTAAAATGGGATGATGCAGACCCCAGGTGAAGCTCAACGCCTTGATGAACCAGGTGCCATGAGTCTTCTTGAATGTATGAGATTTCGTCTACATAATGCACTACGAAGCATCAGCTCCAAACCGGCCCGCAATCCTTCTCAGTGTCTTCTTCTTCGGCGAACTTTGCCAGCACAAAATAACCATTTTACACGACGACGGGGAGTGGGCCTGTAAGGTGGTGCAAGCGACTGTGTCTGATTCCGACTCATGACGAACTTCCCATTTTCTGCCGGATGGACGCTCCCATAAATGAAATCCTGTAGCAGAAATGCAGCGCATAAAAACTGATCGACTCCAAAATGATGAAGGGGGAGATGAAGAACGAAAAAGGAATCCCTCCTTCGCCAAATCATCCTTTCTCGAGATGTTACACAAACACACAAAACCCCCATTCTACAACTAACAGGCACACCCCTCCTTCGCCGCCGCATCCCTCGACCCAGTGAGGTTGACCCGTTGCTGGTCCTCTGCCCCGCGGCTCACGGCGTGTGATGCGCCCGGGCCCCTCGCGCTCTTCAACGACGTCTCGGGGATGGCGTTGGCGATAGCCGTGAAGACCTCCGTGACATTGTGACCTGTCTTGGCACTGGTCTCGAAGAAGAGCAAGCTCTCCTCCTCCGCATACGACTTGGCCTCCTCCGTCGAAACCTTCCTAGCGTCGCCAGAGTCCTCTCCGTCGGCCTCCTCGTGATCGCCGGCGGATCCGGATTCGGCGTCGTTTGTCAGATCGAGCTTGTTGCCGACGAGGGCGATGACGATGCCCGGCGAGGCCTGTCGTTGGAGTTCCGCCACCCAGTGCTTGGCCTTGACGAGTGATGTGGGCTTCGTGAGGTCGTAGACGACGAGGGCGGCCTGGGCGTTGCGATAGTACATGGGTGCCAGCGAGGCGAACCGCTCCTGGCCGGCGGTATCCCAGATCTCAAACTTGATCGTCCGGGTCGGTAGGTTGCACTTTTGTGTTAAGAAGGCGGCTGCAAGGAGGCGAGTTTGACAGGTTAGCTCTATGACTCTCAGATGACCGGTCTGCGACGGCAGCGTTTCGTACCTCCGATAGTGGGCTCCTTATTCTCCTGGAAATCATTGTTGACGAAGCGCAGGACAAGCGACGACTGCGATGCATTTAGCAAGAAGCTCTGATTTTGGGTTCGGATGGTGGCCGCACCTTTCCTACGGCAGCTTCACCGAGCAGGACAAGCTTGACGCTGCTGCTCGGCTTCGGGGCACCGCCGGATCCGTCCATCTTCGAGGGTAATCAGGTCGATAACGACAGCTGTTTGCTTATGGTTCGAGATTCTTGAGATTTGAGCCGGGAAAATGATGTCAAGCTTCGCTTCGGATGGGTCAAGGACGACGAAGTTGTAAGTTGCTGCCTTTGCGATGGGTGGGTGGTTGGACGATTTTCGTAGTGGCAGGTAGGACGGCAGCTCGGCCACTGAAACGACGAATGGTGAGGCGCAACAATGACGAAGCGCCCCCCGAAGAGCGCACCCACCGGCGCCGCTGGCCAATGCTCTCTCCCTCGCAGCTCCAATTAATTAGAGGGGCGGCGGAGAATCAATATGCCGGTGTCCGCAACCGTCCCCGCCAAGATTCCCACCCTGTGCAGGGGGGCCTTCAAACAGCGTGCAGCGGCTGTTAGGCTAGGCGGCAGAAAAAAAAAAGTTGCTTGACCACCTTTGGGATCTTCAATTCTGGAGGGTCCCGCGCCTTGCAAGCCTCCATTTCTTCCTGCTATCTTTTCTGGAAAGAAGCTTTGTGCACATACATGACCGATTTCAGGGAAAAGAAAGTCGGCAAAATGGCACCGGAAAAACAGAAGGAGAAGGCGCTCAAGAAGGTCAACCTTTTGGACGACAGCGATTCGGACAGCGAAGATGGAGGGGCAGACATCGCGGCGCCGCAGCTGAAGGTCAACGAGGAGTACGCCAAGCGATTCGAGCACAACAAGAAGCGCGAGGAGATGCACAGACGTAGGTCCAATTCAATTGATAACAACGGCAACGGCAGGATTCTGACAAAGGTTCGAAAACAGTCGAGGAAAAGTTTAAAAAGCCTGGCAAAGGCAGGAAGGACGACAACGACTCTGACGCCGACTCGTCGTCCTCAGACGAGACCGAGGACGAAGACGGCTTCCTTGCAACGGAGGACCTGGACGCCCAGATCTCTGCCACTCTCAGCGCGATCAAGAACAAGGACCCCCGCGTCCTCGACAAGAACTTTTCCTTCTTCCAGGACGCCGCCGCCGGCCCCGAGGCTACGCCCTCCAAGGTGAAGAAGGAGAAGCCCATGTTCCTCAAGGACTACCACCGCGAGAAGATTTTGGCGGGCGGCGTCGGCGCATCGGACGACGAGGACGACGACGCGCCCCCTCGACCGCCACAGACGTACAACCAGGAGCAGGACGCGCTCAAGAAGTCCATCATCTCCGAGATCAACAAGGCGGCCGACGGCGGCTCGGACGAGGAGGAGGAGGGCGAGGACTTTGTCAAGCGGAAACCGGGACAAAAGGCGGCGAAGCTTGCGGAAGAGAACGGCCCCGCCGTGGACGGCGTGCATCCGGCCCGCGCGGCGCAGGTCAAGTCGGCCAAGAAGAGCAGCAGCAAGAAGCAAATCACCGAGGACGACATCAAGAACGCCGACAGGGACCCGGAGCTCTTCCTCTCCAACTTTATGGCGGCGCGCGCGTGGACCGAGGGCGGCGAGCACAACTGGAAGGCCTTTGACTCGGACGACGGCGAAGGCGACGAGGGCGAGCTCTACGACAAGTTTGAGCAGGCTTACAACCTCCGCTTCGAGGACCCCGACAAATCCAACGCGGCGCTCAAGACGTACTCGCGTGAGATTGTGAGTGCGCGGTCCGTCCGCAAGGAGGCCGCCAGCACGCGCAGAAAGCAGCGCGACGCCGAGAAGGAGAAGAAGGAGGCCGAGAAGCAGCAGCGCAAAAAGGAAAAGGCGCGGCTGCGCAAGCTCAAGCTCGAGGAGGCCGAGGAGAAGCTCAAGAAGATTAAGCACGCTGCGGGACTTCGGGGCGAGGATCTCAAGGACGAGGAGTGGCTGCGCTTCCTCAACGACGCGTGGGAGGACGACCGGTGGGAGAGCGAGATGAAGCGTCGCTTCGGCGAGGAGTACTACGCCGAGGTCGAAGGCGGTGCCGAATCGGATGATGAGGAAGAGGAGGGCGCGACGGAAGGGAAGAAGAAGAAGAAGAATAAGCCCAAGAAGCCCACGTGGGACGACGACATTGACATCAACGATATTATCCCCGACTTCCAGGACGACACCGAAAACCCTCAAATCACACTATCAGACGACGAGGCTGGCGCCGCCGCAGCAGCAGAAGAAGAAGACGACGGCGACTCAGACGAACAAGGCCGCCCCTCCAAAAAGCGCAAGACCACAAAGGACCTGAAGAAGGAACGCATGGAGTCCAAAAAGGCAGCAAAAGCAGAACGCGCCAAGCTCGAAGCCCTCGTCGACGCCAAAATGGACCTCGACGTCGACGTCCCCGGCGCCTCCTCCCTCCACAAATCCGCCACCGAAGCCGCGGCCGCCAACGAGGTCCCCGCCTTCCGCTACCGCGAGACCTCGCCGCAGGCCTTTGGTATGACGGCCCGCGACATCCTCCTGGCCCCCTCGGACGCCGCGCTCAACAGCTTCGCGGGGCTCAAGAAGCTCGCGACGTTCCGCGACCAGGACAAGAAGCGCAAGGATAAGAAGAGGCTCGGCAAGAAGGCGCGGCTCCGGCAGTGGCGCCGGGAGCACTTTGGGGAGGAGTTTGAGCGGACGGGCCCCACGTTTGGCCTGGACGAGGCGGAGGTCAAGGAGAAGAAGAGCCGGAAGAGGGGGAAGCGCGCGGGCACCGAGGCGCGTCGTGATGGTGCGGCGGAGGAGGAGGAGGACATTGAGGATGGCGGCGCCGCGCTTGACGGGTCTGGGAAGAAGCGCAAGAGGTCCAGGGGGAAGAAGAAGGCCGATGGCGTCGCGGAGGAGTAAAAGAAGTTGCACATGTTTCTTGTAATTGCTGTTGTTGCGTAAGGCATCGGGTACCAAAAAAAAGTAGCTCATTTAGAACACAACGATACCATGTACAGGGTTCTCCGGTTGTAAATCCACATCAAAAAATTGGAGAAAAAAAGGGACATTACTTAATTGCAGATATATTACTTCTTCATGTTTGCATTAGAATTTGGTGGTGGTATCTCACAACATAATGTTCAGGAAATCGCTGAGGTAAAACCCGTCAAAAGGTTTTCTTTTCTTTTCCCGCTTGCCTTTCCTTGTTCCCAGACAACATACCCGTCCCATCCCATCCATCCGTCTTTTCCCATCATATACGTCGTAACTTGGAGAGAGAAAGAAATGTCCCAATGGAGAAGAAGTTCTCCCGAGGCGGATGTACAATGCAAAGTTGATACAGGGCGCCGGCACAACCATCCACAGTACGCTTGCTCATCGTGCTCCGTGATGCAAGCCACTGCCAAACATGTTGCCGAACCCGTCAATATTCATGCCCATGTCCTGCCCGATCTCGGGCGGCTCCATGTTGAACGGCATGAACCACGCTGTCGACGCTTCCTGGCCTCCGAAACCCATACCGTCTCCGTGTCCGTGGCCTTGCCCACCGATGCCATTGGGACCGCCGCGTGTGGAACGAGAGCGGGCACCATCACGATGCGCTCCCGGTGCGCCATGGGCGCTGCTGGCCATGCCGTCCCAGTCGATGCCGTCAAAATGGCTCATGTTGCCCTGTTCCATCGAGTACCCGCCAAACACGAGCTGTCGGTCCAAGGGCTGCAAGATCCCGTTTTGCTGGTTCATGGACATGTTGAGCAAGTCAGGAGAGAAGAATGACGTTGTGCCTTGGTGGTGGTGCCCATACTGGCTGATGGCAGTGGGGCTGATGGGAGACAGGGCGTGGAAGTTGGAGCCCTGCGAATGAGGCACGGCGAGGGGGTTGAAGCTGGTCGGACCGCTGGTCTGGCTGCTGTGTGAGCCCTGCTGTATGCCTCTCTGCTGTTGCAGGCGGGCGCTCAGTTGTTCTTGCGCCGTAGCGGCGATATTCTCGGTGGAGAGGGGTTCCAATTGGCTTCCATCTGCTCTGATGCCCGGAGTGCCGATTTTCTTTCCGACAAGAGACTTACGCTTGAGCGGGTTGGGCCTGGATGAGTTGCCCTCTGTGCTACGAGGCGGCGACAAACTTGTAAAGTATTCCTCCACGGTGTGTAGTTCTGGCTTCTGCTCCAACACGGCGTCGTCGCCCTTCTCCTTCTTCTTCGTGGTTGCCGGATCGGCAAAATCAGATTGTGAAACACCATGAGGGTATCGATCGAACCAGTCGCCGTACTGGAAGATGGGGGAAGCCGTCGACGTCTCCTTTGTCGAATTGCCTTGTCTAGCGGCATCGGCGTATGTTCGATACTGCTCGCGAAGGTTCTCAGACATGTAGTGGAACATGCCCCAGTACCTCTTCATTTTTGAAAGAAACTTCACATTCGTCGCTAGGTTTCTTTTGGATGCTGCCTCAACGACTGGATTGCCAGAGAAGATGCCGAGTATGTGGATCGTGCCAGACGAAAAGGCGCAATAACCGACAAAGGGAGCAGTCACCATGTGAGACTCGGCGTCTTTGAGAACCTCGGAAATCCTGTTGGCGGCTGCAAACGTCTTGTCGCCTGCCTTGGCGACAAACTCCCGAGGAACGCCTTGGGCAGCGGGGCTGTTTGGTGTTGAGACGGCAACTCGGTTGAGGAATAGAATATTTTGCTGCATCGCGATGTGGAGGAACAGGAACTGGTTGGCCATTTTTTCCGTGTCGTGGAGCGCTATATTTTCGGGTGAGAAGCGGAGGAATTCCGGAAGGTTGTCCAGCAAATCTTCGGACTGCTGGAGCAGCTTGGTGTATTCAGATTCGGGGCTCCAGATGGGATGGGGGTCGAGCTCCTTTCCTCCTTGGTTCAAATAATTGATGACTCTGCCCCAAAGAGCGATGGTCTTGATCATGTGAGCGGCAACGCCCATGTTCTCTTTGGCATCAGCCATCTGGCCGTCCTCCTCGGACACGGGGTGAGGAACTTTGCCCTTGAGGGTTTCAGTCGGCGCCGGCATGTCGAGCTGGAAGTATTTCTCTTTGATCGGTAGGGGAATTTCAATCGTCTCTTCCCTTACAAACGTCGGTCGTTCTGTACCAGAGGAGTTGAACCGGTCCATGAGGAAGCAGGCCCACATTGTCCGGCGTCGGATCTCGCGGTCAATAAAACTCAACTGCGATGCTCCGCTGCGGTTCAAGGGATCGTGGTCTAAATCTTTGTGAAGTTGCAGAGCAAACGCCATACGGATTGCTTGACCCCCCAGAGCCCAGCTCCTACCGCCTTGGCAAGTACCGAATTCGTGCAGGCCGAGAACAAGTAGACATGTCAATATCGTGATGTTGGGCCACTCATATCGCCTTGTGCAGATGTCTCTGGCGTGCGATGCCCATTCTTCTCCGCGAAGAAAGTTTGGTGATGAGTTGTTCAATTTCGGGTGGCTGGAAAAGCGAGCGGCTATTGCGCAAACGGACAATATGAGAACTGGCGGGAGAGTGCCAGCTCTGCATTTCAAGTTAGAATATGAATTGAGTACCTAAGCAACGCACTCTCATGAGAGAGGGACATACCTGAGCTTTCGCATGTAGCTGGGCTTGTGGAGCAAGTGATATGCTTGACCGTAAATGTTCTCGAAAAATACCTCGGCTAAATGTTCCTGGATTTCCTTGGATGGAAGTGCATCAAGTCCCTCGAGAAACAGCTTGTTCTCCTCCGCTTCCTGCGCTTGCAGTGACAAGTTTTTATTTGGCGTATCAATTTTCGTCTTGGCCGGCGCCTTTGCCCAATGGTCGAGATCCTGGCCAAATGCTTCGTCGGCAACTCGCTTCTTGGAGTTGGCCTTCGCTGCGGGGAGAGATCCCGGAATTGCCGGTTTAACCACGGCGCGAGTCAGTGATGCCGCGTTGGAGTCTTGCTCGTTTTTCGGGACAATCTTGATGATGCGCTCCTCCATGCGCTTCAGTCGCTTGTCCAGCATGGCCATGTAATCGGTCCTCGGCGCGGCTTTTCTTGTTGTCACCTTGTACACGCAGGGAATCCGAGATCGAAGACAATGCTTGCATGCCGGCTTTTCTCCCGAACATCGAATCTTTTTGCGTCGGCATGCGATGCACGCTAGAGGAAGTCGCTTTCGTTCTTTGCCGGCCTTGGTCTTCAGCTCGCTCCATGCGGGAGTCTGGTCTGTCTTGTCGTCCTTGGACTTTCCGCCCAGGTCGGAACCGTTACTGGCAATCTGCGTTGGCAAGCCAAACTCATCGGCGCCGGCATCCTCGAGTGGATTGTGCTCAGCGTGGCCGCTGTCCTGGCTGCCATCTTCCGAGGTAATGATACTATGGCGTCGCTGGTTCATGGCCTGTCCAAAGCCGACAGGTATTACAGTAATGGAGTTCTGGCGGCCACCCATGGAGGAGACCGAGGGACGATGAGTGGCCGGGAACATGTCGGCAGCGTGATCCGGTTCTCCGAGAAACATCATTGCGCTTGGGTCGTCCAGCGGATTTGGGGGGAAGGAAAAGTCGTCGGCAAAGTGAGAAGCATCGACGACGCTATGGTTCGCGCTGTTGGACCGCATGCCGTCATTTGGGGTTCCTGAGGAGTAGGCCTGGTGGGATGCTGAGGAAGTGGTTATATGGGAATGGGCGCCTGGCGAGTCCAGAGCGTGCTGCTGCGAATAGTCGAGACTGGCAGCTCTGAGTTGTTGGCTTTGGAGCTGCTGCAGGCTGGATGACATTGTCCTTTGTCATGCATGAATCAAGGGAAAGATCAACGTAGAGGCGACGGTGGAAGAAGACGGTGCCGAGCGAGCTGGCAAGCTGGCTCCCCGCACGACGCCGGCGCTGAGGACGGCGTTCGTCCCTGTCCTTGTTTATGCCTTTGGACCGCGGTCGCCGGTGTAAGTGTGAGTTGAGTTAGAGCAGTGGGGGGAGGTCACAGCGGTCGCAAGGGAAGAACCACAAGATGCGGCGGGACGACTCGGTGATGCTGATGTTGACGGCCGAGGAAGCAATCCAGTCGTGTGCCTACGTCTTGGCCGTCGATGTTGTCGTCTCGTCTAGTGTTCTCGAAAGACAATGAGAAATGTTCCACAAGCTGGCGACCGTAGCACAAAGTTAAGAAAGACCCGGGACTGGATGGGTGGGCGGGGAAAGGAGAAGAGGCGTCGAGTTTGTCGGAGAAGAGGGATTCAGGCTCGGCCATTCAAAGAGCAGCAAAAAAAGAATAAAAAAAATAAAACCTCCAGAGACAGAGGGGGCGCCAGACTGGGGTCAGACTGGGTCTAGGTCTAGGTCAAGCTATAGGTCTAGGTGGTCGATGACCAAACCAAACCAAGCCAGCGGAGCAGGTTTGTGATGCTCAGAGGAGAAAGATGGGTGATGGGGAATGTCGCCGGCTTGTTCGTGCAGCAAAAACTGGGGTTGGGGAGGGCCGGCCGGGGAGGGGAAGGGGGCGTAACACAGCTAGGATGGGAGGGGTGTGTGGTAATCCATGGCCTGTGATTGCGTAGGAAGGCCGCGGGTGCACCAAACCAAAGTGGGCCCAACTGTGGAGTTGCAGGTTGCAGGCGTGCCAGGCGTGGAGGCGTGCAGGGCAGGTGGGAGGGTTGGAGACTTCTTCTTAGCACCTCGAGCAGCGGAAGCGTTTTCGGCGGCCGAATTGTGGGGTGCTGTGCTGGAACACGGCCGGGGGGAAGTTAGCTAAGGTCGGTGGCAGGTGGGTGTGGCAGGTCACTCGGATGTGCATCTGCGCCTGCGCTTCAGCATTTGGTGTGCAAAGTACGGTGTACGGATACACACAATCAAATGTATCTAGGTACCTCAAGTTCCTCGCTCACTTCTGGCGCTCTTCCTCTCTTACAATCACTTTCTGGCTTTTCCAACCGACTCAATGGAGTGCGCCCTGCTGTCTGTTCCCCTTTATCTCATTCGCAGGCAAATAAGGTTCAGCAGCTGTTGCTCCTTTCGTCAGGGGACGTCTCCTGGGCCTGCTGCTTGTTGATGCTGACAGAATGCTTCACAGCGGTCGGTGCTGCCTGTTCGAACAGTGGATCTCAGGCACGGCCAAAAGAGTGATCCCCGTCGTCCTCCACGGTGGGGCTGTATGTCTCTCCAGGTCTGGATATGGACTATCTCGCCTCGTCTCGTGATGTTCAGACGGGGGACCAGATGCCCAGAAACCTTATGTGACGCAGACGCAGACGGGGTACGGATTCCACCCGCTGGCAGCTTTCAACGGGGTGTGGGGTGTGGGTATGATCAGCCTAGGCGTCCTTGAGGTAGTTGTCGTCGTCGTCTTCGTTGTCATTGTCTTCGTGTGAGCCGGTCGTCGTGGCTTGTCGTGGAGCGGCGGCTTTTGCCAACATCCCTAGGCTGGCTGCCCTAGTGTTGCTGCAATATCATAATGTTGGAAGTGGGCACCGGGACTAGAGGCTGATGGTGGCTGTGGCTTTGACTGTGGAAGAATTGTTCCGCTCTTTCACACTGAGACTCAGTATTGGTATGGATCGAGTCGAGAAAGCGAACTAGTATAACCGAGAACAATAAACTACAGAAATGTGGCGTGTGTGAAGATGCGTGGGCGATGCATCCAAGATCTGCTAAGCTTTCCCAAGAGCGCAGTCAATCTCCTTTGGTACTCGTTCCATCCCAAATGAGAGGGGCGTGGGGCTTATAACAATCATTCAAGGCAGAGAAGCTGAATAACCAGACACACAACCTCATCGAGATACAGCCTTGCCTGAGATGGTGTCAACACTAGACAGGCAGAATTCAAGCCCAATTTCAAACCAAACAATTCTGACATCAACAAGCCTGGTCCCTGCAACCCGACTTATTTGTCTCGTATATCAATCTGCATGTATGAAAAGGAGGAGTGGATGGAAGCTCTGTCAGGGTAGACAGGACAAACGTGGGAGACTGACCGAGTTTCCATATCCATATCGAGGTCAGACATTTTTGCTAGATATGCTGGGGCGGCGATGTGAAGGGTGCGCGGCAGGAGAAAAGTAAGGCATAACCCAGCTTCCATGCTCCGAGGGACGGACACGCCTGACAAATGGACTTCCAGTGAGAAGTATCTGAAACTAATCTGGACGTCACATTCAGCGGCCTAACGAGGAACATACCTCGTCCTATCAGCTGTATCTACATAGTATATTCATCATAGCCAACCAACGTATCGACCGTATTCGTCAACCATTGAACTTAACATCGATGGCAAGACACAATTGACAATTGAGCTGTTTGCAACTCATGTAAGCATACTTGTCCGGGCCGCGTTCGGACAGCGGTGGAATTGCACTTATTGACAGGTGAATTCTCGCAGGTGAATTCTCGCACCCCACCTCTTTGGCCATGAACAGACCGTGAGACCCAAGGGTATACTCTTTCCATGGCAGTCGACCCAGCGAGCTTTCGTTCGTTGAGTCCTCGTTAACTCTGGGCTAGCAGGTTGGGGTAAGCCCCTTGAATCTTGGTGGTGGCCACTGCAGATGAAGGATTCTCCAGTGCCATCCCAGCCCAAGGCGAACAGATATGAACATCTCCACTACGCAAAGTGGGTGCTGTAAGGGAGCCGGGTGGCCTGTCCAACCTAACATGTGGGACTATGGAGACGAAGGGGGCCCTGGAGCACGCGCCTAATCAGGGATGGGTCGGGGGAGGAAGTGGGAGAGCCGGAAGCCTGGTGGATCCGCAACCAGAGGCAACCTCCGAGACTCTCCTGCTGCGAGTGGGTACCAATGCCCCATGCCCAGACGCAAATGCTCTGCGGATGCCATGTCATTCTGGAATCCGTAAGCCGTTGATATTGACGAATTTGTCGAGTCTCTGAGGGCGAGGCTAGTCAGTTAGACCACGAGAACTCAAATTCAACTGTGCGCTGCGGTATGGGGCGGCACCATTGTTGTCGAGTTGCGGAAGGGGAATAAAAGTTCCGGCTGCCAAGGGTCAGCCGTTGTATTTGGTGGCATGCCGGAGCTATCCTAAGATACTCTCCGCCATCGGTTCGATATGAGCATTGTAGCCACATCCGAGCCGTGATCTGGAATGAACACCGGCGTTCCGCGAATAAACGGATAGGCAGTCGCCGTTCTATGAATGGCGCATCGGCGATATCACAAACTCCATCTCATTATCCTGCCATCTACTAGCAGGTGATCTTGCCGCTATGCGTGTTCGCGGGAATGGCACATTCCAAGAGGGATGGTGGACGGTGGTTGGCCGCCTCCGGCTGATACCCTGTAATCCTACTGCCGTATTTGGGCCCTCAAATATGTTGTAGAATCTCACCCTCATCACGTCAGCGTCTGACTCTACGCCGTTGCTTGTATTGCATCTCTCAGCAAAATGCCAAAGAAGGCCGCTGTCAACCTACCATGGCTTTCCTAGTCGGCTGTGGATTCCACCAGGAACGGTCGCAGCAGGGCGGCAGCGGCCAGGGACCCCGGAGACGGACTACCTGTTGTTAGGATAAGACATGAATTGAACCTTGACAGGATCTGGCCGAGGAGGAAAAGAATACGAAGCCTCTCGAGAGCCACTAGCTTGGGTTTGAGCGGCACCAACGTAATGGGGCATAGGCGTAGGGGTTGGGTCGTGGGACTAGCACATCAAGGCGCATTGAGACCTGGAAGCGTACTACCGGTGAGGCCCCCGTGCTTCGTACATCGATGCTTGGCCTTTCTTTCACGTATGCATCGGTATGCAGCGTTGTTGGGTTCGAATATCTAGATTCGGGGTGGAACCGCAGGACGACTTCCCTGAGGGTCGAGTGGTCCAATTGGTCTGGAGGACGTCATTCGGCTGAGCCAGGGATGGGATAGCTTCAGGTACCCCTCATAACGTAAGAATGTGTTGTCCCTGTTGCCAGCACTTCGAAATATCTATCTCGATGCCCGATGCCACCTACTAGTGAAGGAAAAACAGAGAATGATGATGGCATTGGCCTGAAGGCCATCTGAGGCCTGAGCCAGGGAGGGCAAGGACGAGGCGTACCGATTCCATCAGAGTGGCGGATCGTCTGGAGCGGTCGAAATTCGGGGTTGACGAGGCCAGGTTGGAGAAAGGACCGGATGGGGATGGGGAAGGTAGATCGTGATAATGTCTGAGCGGTGATAGGAGGGAAGGATGTTGGTGGAGGTTTGTGAGGGTTGGGTGTCTGTCGTGTCTGTCACTCTGTCTGCACGACACCTCAGCGACAAGGTAATGAGGGTGTGGAGGGCAGACGCTAATTACCTTAGCACACGGGAGCAGAGCCCAATTGGAAGGACCCACCTTAGCTGAGCCTCCCCACCTCGTTTTGGGACAAGACGAAATGCAATGCTCGATGTGCAAATTGGGGCTTGATTAATGCTGCTGATGTAAGACGCACCATGTGGGGAGTCAAAGGACTGTCTCATTGTAGGTACACTGCCCTACAGGCCACCACAGCAGGGTGTTCTTGACTTCCCCAGGCGCAGGGTGCTCGTATTGTTTTGTTCCTCGTGGAGGACACGAAGGGTCCTGGCAACACAAAGAGAAGCCACGCATGCCAAGATTGCATTTCTGAGACCTCCGTGGTCAAGTCCCGGGAGAAAGGTCAACAAGTCAGGAACAGCCCCAAGTCGAAAGCTAGCGGGAGTGCTTGGCCAAATCACAGTCCTTTGATCTCAACGCCACCTGGAATTTGGATGACACTGTAATTTACCTCCCGAAATTTTGAAGGTGATGGTAACAAGGTATGAATTCGCAAATTCGCAGAGCTCCACGATGTCGCAGTAGTACACAGTGCCCACGCCTTGAATGTCAATAGTAAGCTACCGCAGACACTAACACAAAAATTCTCGAGCCATATGATTAGTGAATGATCAACAGCGGCATATCTCAAGATGGCTACCTCACTCTGAAGCCCTGGATCATGCTTGGTGTCCTGACCCCAGCGGAAGCCACAATCTGTAGCACGGAATTGGCCCCGGTGGAAGGGGTTCGAGGGCTGGGAGCCACTCCGGGCTCTACCGACAGACTTGGTAAAGGCTCTCAAGCTACAGCTCAACGGCGCAATTACGTGACGTTGCCAGATTAGACAATCGCGCAAGCCGTCAAGCCATCAAACCCCATCAACCCCTTGGAACTTTTACGTCAATGTCAGGGCTTCGCGGTTGTGAAAGGTCCGTGTCGATATGAAGGTACTTCCGCAGTGGTATTCCAAATCGGCGATAGGGTTTCATTGGAGGGTGTTGGAGGGTGTGTGTCGTCTATTTGCCTAACTGTTCTGGATGATCCCTCTCAATACGGTACGTCTCCCAAACCATCGTCAGGTAGTGTCCAAATGTCGGCCAAATATCAGAAATCATTCGAGTTCTATTGTTTAAACTAATACTTGGGGCAGGCATAGCCATTTCCACCCTGGTCGACGGTCAACGAATGACCAGTCCATAGGACAAGGAGCTGCAGCAATACCGAGACGAAGCAGACGCAAGTCAGCATGAAAGTGACTGGTAAAAAGCATGAGGCATGCATGGACTGCTCCCAGTTGACTTGACTTGTCTTGATTTCCAAAAGTTTGTACTTGGCATTTTATGGCCTACCTTGCCTGGCTAAGGTATATCGGAGGACATTGGAGGAGGCTGATGTTCTCTGTATCCACTCCGGCCCATTTCTCCTTCCCAAGGTAACGCGTTCGCTCCTTAAACGTCAAGGTACCTTACGTGCATAAGGGAGCCGAAGAGGCTTTCCTCTCCTGGCTGGCATCGACGTATTCGATGCCTCGGGGCAATTCGGACGTGGTTGGATGCTCCTAGGAGCCCAGTGCCAATTATCAAATACTACTACTATATTGGTATTTCGTTGACATTCCAACCTTCCAAGTTGGCTAAAACGCCGCGGTCTGCGGTTCCTTAGTTCCCCAGCTCCGGCCCGTGGGATGAATGGGATGAATGTTGTTAGCAGCTAGAAGAAAACCAGGTCCCACATTTTCCGCCTTAGCGTGCCCCGGTTCCTGATGAGCTGCATTCACATGGACTCAGGTGGACTGGCAACTTCCCTACGTGCGTGCGTAGCCAGGTACCAATCCACTTCGACCTCAACCTAAACTACGCAACACCTTGGGCTCCAAGATCATCATCGCCCAACATCAACGACTCCTTTGCCGGGTTTTCTCCATGTCGGTCTCCTATTCGAAAATCTCTTCTCTCGCCGACCGTGTTTGGACATCTCTCTATCATGTCCTGCTTGAGTCTTGCTTTGACAGACGGCGGTATCGGTACCGGCTTCCACCCAGGCACTACAGGAAGAGGTACGAGCGAAACCTTGCATCACGTTGGCGACAACATCCCTGAGGGTGCCCCTGAATGATAATCTAGCTTGTCCAAGGCACCGTCTTGGATCGGTTTGTCTAGAAGGATTTGACACGCCGCCAGCCAGACCATCAAATGTCACTTGGAACGGGAGCGTTGACACGCCACGCCACGCCACGCCCACCTCTTAACTTCACTCTAAGTCCCCTTCGAGAAAGAACAAGTTCGGAAGAGAGCTGGATACCGATCATGCCATTACACCGCCGAGAGCTTCCAGGGATCGAGGCATACTCAACTTCATCAGTGTCAAGGCGGCAAGACTGCACTGGGATTGCCCCAGAGCGACTCCGGTTTCATGCTCAACCTCCGTGCTGAAGACTCGTCTTAACGCTATTCTGTTAAGCCTTCCATTCCTCCCGGGAAACCCCTGGCGGCTTCTACGGCTGTCTTCTTTTTCATGTTCCCGGCGATGACGACTTGCTGATGTGGCCAGCCTCTACAAGTCGCGATGCTAGCTACTTGGTGCCAGCAAGCGGCATAGATTAGACGGAATAGTGTCATACAAGACAACGTATCCCAGAGACGTACATGGCCTCTTCTCGTTCTTATCCCGTCGTGCTAATGTAAAATCACCGATGCTAGGACTCCGGGCATCGTGAGACATAACCCAGGTTGTCAGATTCCAGAGCCACCATAAGTCGCCCGAGATTTACTAGCATTCATCGACTCAAAGAGCCAACGGCAATGATACTGCCGCAAGGGTTTCTCGTATCCTCTTACAAGACTTTCAGGGTTGGCGACAAGCATGGGCATGCTTGCTCACCTGTCACTGTCGTCCGTCATCTCGGAAGGCTGACGGCGAAAAACTCTCGTCGACGTCGCATCCTCCCCTACTACAACCTCACTCGAGCTCACCCAGGCTGCCAGCCCTTGTTCGTACAGGTACAGGCTGAACCAGGGTAGTTGCTCTACTTCAGGCCTGTAATAAACGGACAAGTCACCAGAACCGCAGTCTTTCAGCACCGCCAGCAGGTTCTACTAGGCACATTCGTGTGCCATCTGTCCGTTCCCCCTCCTTCGGGGCGGCCTTGCTGATCTCAGTAACCGGATCAGTCACGTACCTCAGTGTTTTTCTCGCAAATCTCATATCGTTGCGTAGTGTACGGACACGATGCACACATCCCCCGCGCCCCAGTCTCTGCATCTCCCCGGCTGCCCTGGTCCTAGTCAGTGCTTGGGTACATGACTGGCCATGCAATGTGGGTGATGTCGGCCAGAATTGCTCATCAATCAAGGACGCAGCAGCATGCTTGGTCATGTATGGATCGAGCGATGTATATTCCAGCCCGTTCCTCTCCATAAACCCCGGCCGGATGGTCTCCATCGCCTCCCTTCTCCTGACGCCTCGCAAATGGTCTACCATCAAGCCCTTGTCACGCCTCCCCGCGATCCCTTTGGTCAGCGAATGTTGACCAGCCTTTTTCATTTACGCCATGGTGGAACCTTTGCCAGTGCTGGTGAACCCTGTCCCTCGGTAGCACCGCAGCGCAACCGAGCATCCGCGCAGCCAATGGAGGATTTTGAGCCGTGAGTGGACAAGCTTTGGAAGAGGAAGGACATCTGCCGGCCGCCCGGCCGCCACCGACCTCAACCCGACGACGCTGTCAACGTGCCAACGAAAGCCACATTTTCGGCTTCTTCCGAGAGACCGCGGCAAGCGAGGAACCGGGCGGCACATATATCGTCTTCGAGCTGCCATCACGAACCACCTTAGACTGTTTGATGAAGCGATATGTGTAATACGAACCGCCGCGCATGGTTTGAATGACAAGCTACCCCAGTGTGCGCACGCGGCTGCCTCATGGCTGTCAAAAGGGATCAGCGTGTGTGCCAGGTACGTCTTCGCGAACTTACGCTTCGGGTCGCATTGCGACTTGAGACGGTTTTGGGCCGAGGGTACCGGAGGAGGAGAAAAACTGCTCCGACGTAACGTAACATGTACATGTCACGGAACGGTGCAGATATCAAACATGATGAAGCAGATAATTTGGCTAAAGTCGGACGTGTTTGGACTCGATCAGGCAAGTGCTGGCTTCGAAAGATGCATCAAAGTTGAGGCAGAAAGCCTCTACCGTCTGCTAAGACAGCTTGGAAGCAGCGAATAGGAAGTACATAGGGCCTTGCAGTTGCGATCGACGCGCAACCGTTGCTAAGGCTCTGCGTAAGGACATTTCTAGGCGATAATGGTGCGCCGTCACGACCGTCTACGATCACGCCTGACATTGACTTTGGAAAACGGCGAAACTTCGGCCCCGGAGGCTAAATGTGGTCCCCGACGGACAGCATGTTCAGGATCATACCTCGTGAGACCCTGAGCAACGACAGTGGCAGCAATACTAATTATGTACGGACTGAGGTGCAGACTATGAGAAGAGATCAGGAGGTGATTATGTCTTCATACGAGGTCATCGCCGGCGGAACCCGCATTAGAATTCTCCCCATAACTTACAAGACCTTGTCAGCGTCGCGGTTCTTCCGCCGCATGCTCAGATAGGGGCGAACAGCGCAGAACAGCTTCCACAGGAATGAAGACTTATCTAGCCTTACTAAAGCCTTACTAAGGCTGTACTAAGGCCTTGCCGATGATCCTCAACGGTCTTCGTACCGGAGCCAAATACGGATACCTACCGTAAGAAGAGCTCACAGTGTTCATATTTGCGCTAGCCCGTGCTCCCGTTGTCTCAGAGAGCTTTTGACGAATGAACACCTGCATTCAGAATCTAAATCTCAATTGATGACGGAGATCAGCGAATTTCTGGTGCCGAGAACAGCTTAACGCATCGAGTGCACGGGCTAGCGCAAATACGACCAGCTTGACTTCTGTGGTATCCTTACTCCAAAAGAGTCTTTCGCCATTGGTTTCCTCGGCTCGCCCTACGAGGAGTGTAGACGCAGTGCGACGAAAGGCACTAACGGCGCGTCATCTCAATGGAATCTAGACTTTTCAAGCGTGCACCTGCCGCCCTATGATCCGGCCATCCCATGCAAGAGCCCACTCTTGCTCCTGATTATTGACGAATTATAATCACGGCTCTCTCTCGGCACCGTGCCTTGCCTGCCTGGGTAAGTAGGTGCCTTACCTAAGAGTGAGGTAAGGATCCTCCATACGGGTAAGGATATGCGACGTTTCGATACCAGCCTGGGAAACAGACTGTCATTGCACGCCCCCCCCTCTTCTTGGTGTATTCTTCCACCCACCCCTCCCAGGCCCCAGTATTCTCCCGCACAAGCCCTCCCCCCTCCCCAGTCAGAGAATCCCAGTGGCCCCACTTCCGTCCGCAGGTCCCAAGATACGACTGGCTCTTCACATAAACGCCACAACCCTGGCCCAACGCCTCGGTCTGCATTTACGAAAGATGAGAGACGAGGCTCAGAATCCCTCCTTTTTGCACGGGCTGATGGGCGGAAGGGAGGCGGAGACGAAGCAAGGCGACTGGCTCTTCAAGTCTCAGCAGACGGACGCCAGGCCGGCCACCAGCTTTCTTTGCAGCCTTGTCCACAGCCGCAGCCATTCGGTCTTGGATTCGAAGAGGGCTAGCCAACATTGCCTGGAGGACGACTTGATATAACGTTCAAATTTACCGTGAGGCTGGACAGGACCAGGAGGGCTTGTTGCTAGATTTCGGCCAAATTTACTTTCTTCCTATCCTGCATTCCTCCTTTGGGAACGAATGAACGTTCCGCGCGCTTCGCCCGAGTGCTGCAGGCGTATGCGGCGCATCGATGCTTTCTCCCGCACATCTTCCTCATCTCTTTGCCCTCATGCCACGGGGCAAGTCGTTGGACGTACTAGGCTCGTGAAGCAGGGCCTTGGGGCTCCAGCACCTATGGAAGGCGTTCTCTCATCGTGACGAGCTCGGTACGAGGCACAACGTATCTTCCCCAAGAGACCATACCGATGTTAATGTAGCATCCATCGCGAGCTCCCGTGTCGCCTAAACGGCAGCATCGCCCCAAATTCCACCTGCGCAACGCTATTGCTCGCCGGCCTGTCTGCGACTTCATCTCAAAACCCGCCTTCGCGGGGCTCGTCTTTTCCAAAGGACGAGCTATGTCTCCGTGGATGGAGCGAGACTCGCCTTCCCGGTCGCTATTCGGAGGGGCCATCGTTCAGGAGCGTTCGACCAAGACTCTTTCAGGAAAACAACGGTGAGACCAGATGGTTGACCCCTATTCTTCTACGTGCTCGTCCACGTCATTCCTTGGCTATATGGCCGCCGCCTAAGAAGCAACCCCGAGGATGCGGTAGTTTCCATAGACAGAATAGAGTCGTCGATGAAGTGGCTCACTCTCCGGGACCCAATGGCAGGATCAGATAGCCAGGCCCTTTTTCCCTCTTATCTGACATCGCCGCTGCTGCACTGACGGCTGAAGCGTCATATCCGATCGTGATTTCCTTCCACCATATGCACATCCGTAGGCAGGAATAGAATCGGGATCTCGGACGTTTGTCTCACTTGAGGTTGACAAGAGCATAGCCTCCTCCTTTCACCATCGTTTTACCGATAAAGAATACGCTTGGACATGTATACAATACCGGCTCAAAAGTCTAGTTACACTATCCAAGGTCACCCCACCACAAACCCTCAAGATCCTATTTTTCAATCAAGAACAGTATTTTTTATTATGTTCTTACTCAATTAATTCTTATACTAAATCAATCGTTTAAAATAGCGCTTTAATATTTAAAGATCATTCCCAGACCCGGCGGCGCGGTGTAAAAGAAAGGGGTGGATAGTAGAAGGGGCGGAGGTATAGGGCTTAATAGTGTAACCAGACTTTCGAGCCGGTATTGTACCCATTTGCACACCTCCACCACAGATATGTGGTCTTCTGACTTCTTCATCGCGGATCTAGAGTTTAGAATAGACTCTCAAGGCATCAGTCGCCCCGTCTCGATCCGGTCTCCCAGGACGACGCCGTAAGACAACAAAACATCCAATCGATGAGCGTGGTCTACCATGAGAAGTGGACTTTTGACACATCCGAGCCCTCCGCCTTCACGATCAGGTCTTGCCGTGGTCTGTAATAGATGGTACTATAGAGGTTCGGCGCTCGTACTCGTTCCTCACTACCGAAACCACGATGAGAAAATATCCAATACGAGGTGGAGCAACGAGCCTACTTCGCCATGTCTATGTCTATGTCTATGTCTATGTCTATGTCTATGTCTATGTCTATGTCTATGTCTATGTCTATGTCTATGTCTATGTCTATGTCTATGTCTATGTTCACTTTGCAAAATCCTCAGAGTTCCGAGGATCTTCAAACAAGGGGGCAAAGGGTCACCCAGGCACAGGCAAGAATTTTGCTTTTACAACGACTTTTGTTGTTCCATTATCAAAATACTACACTGTACGTACGGGCGGGACCAGTCGCAAAATCTCCTAACCCCTGAATGCCTGAACCCATCATCAATATTGACAGCAACGTTTGTCCAACTCCACTTTCCATGCAATGCTATTCATGATCCGGTTATTCCCAACCAGTATAGGTACGACAAAAAACCAGACGCCACCAGACTCCCTTTCCCAAAATCTTTCCCCAAAGACGCAATCAACACCATCCCGGCCCCCTTACGCACTGTTGTTGGCCTTGTTCGTGCCAATATACACCGGAATGCCATAGACGCATACCGCACCAGCTGTAATGTACCTAAATCGACAGGCGTCCCTGGCCTTAGCGACAGCCTCCACGAGCGACGCGTTACCTCCCCCGTTCGTTTTTGTGTCCTTCTTGGCCTTTGCCTTCTTCTCCGTGGCAATAGTAGAGGCGAAAAGCCCTTTCCCCTTGCCCTTCTTCCCGCTCTTCCCACCATCTTCAGCAAATGTGCCTCTTTCCATCAGTCCCCATTCCTCAAACAGCCGGCCCGCGTATCGGTCAATGTCTCTGTCCGTTACGTCCCATAGCGTGCCCACGACGGCGGGACACCCTGCGAGCATGTAGTTCCAGACGGGACCGTGGCACTCGTACTCGCCAACGTTCTGTAGCGACGCGGAGCTACATCCCATCAGCAGCGCCGCCGCCTTGCACTTCTCCAGCCTACGAATGGTCTTGCCTCGAATGTATTGCGCACCGCTGCCGTGGCCAAAGTAGAGGAGTATGTCTGAACCCTTGAGCGCTCCCTCGAATTCGTCCTCGGTAGGTTTCCGCGAGACTATGCTCGTCCAGGATTCGCCAAGCTTGTCCTTCAGGGGCTTTTCGAAAGTGGCGAGAGTGTTCTTGAGGTCGGAGCCGGGGTTCAGAATGTACGTGCCACCGACAGGAGATACTGTGTGTCGGTGATGGGCGTTCTCGTCATCAGCATCCCGGGCTGCACGCTGCTCCAGGAGCAGTCGACGCAGACAGGACAATGAGGGGACACGTGAATATGCCAGCCCCTCCATACACGGGAGCGATTCCCAAGGAAAGGCATGGAGAGCCTTGTCGAGTATCAGAATGCTGTGTGCGCCTTCATCGGGTTCCGAGGTCTTGGCTGCGGTATGGTACGCCTGAAGGGCGTCAAACGTCTCCAGCACCATGGAGTCAAAGTCAATCTCATCATAGGCATTTCTCTCGCCATGGAACTGAAGAATGTCCACGACAAAGTATAGAAGATCGTTCAAAGGCTCCTCAAGATCACTGTCCGGCATAGAAGGGTCTCCTAGACCGACAAAAAGGTCCAGGATACGCGGCTCCAAGGTAATCTTGGGTGGCTTGCTAGTCTTCTTTCCTCGGACCTGTCTGCGGGAAGGCAGATGTTTGTCGAGAATCTTGGAGAAAGCCTTTTGGAACTTCGCAATAAGATCCGCACGATGACGATGTTGGGAGAAAATGCCCCTGAACCCGCCGAGCCAAATCTGTTCCACATTGTCGAGGAGATCCTTGAACCTGTTGTCCAGGTTCTCGCGTTGGGCCCACCAGGCTGACTTGGCCCCCTTTGCCGAGTAGTCGCCAGAGTTGTGGCAACTCGCGTTGGTGGCCTGGATAATTTCCATAAGCTCGTCGTGTCCATGCTGGAAGTCGAACAGCTCGTCCTCTCCGTCTCGAGAAGCCACACGCTCCAGAGGTAGGCGCAAAACAAAGGGGCTCTGGCCTGATTGTAACTTTGTGATGCATAGATCCTTGCGGTTGTCGCTTAGCGCGATTGACAAGACACTCCACGCCTCAGGAATGATATCGATATAGTCGCGCTGGAATCTTGCCATGTCGTCGACGGTTACAATGCTCGCCCGTCTATCGTCCTTGAGCGCAAGAGCAAGTGGCCAGCCCGCCTCGCTGAAGCTTGGGTTGAGTTGATCCGTAGCTACGGTGTTTCGCTCCCGTTTCCAAGTCAGATTCCGTGCAAACTCGACGGAGCAGGCGGCATATCCAAAGCCTCCCATATTTCTAGGCATCCGATGAGAAGCTGCCGATAGGAAAATGCCCGTGCTCTGAAGCAACGCTGAGATGCGATGAACCAGGTGTCCGTTTCCTGAAATTGCAGCGGCAGCTTGGGCTTCCATGAGTTGAGCTTGCGCCTGCTCCAATGTTTCGATGAAGGTGCCGTTTTCCTTCATCACTCTGCGCTCGGCAGAGGTAGCGCGGCCTTGAGCCTTTCGAGGAGAGGATCCCGTCGGCGGCGTCTTCTCCGTGCTATTTTTGTCGGGGGCAGCGTGGATCGACGGGTAGGAGATGGTTGATTCCTTTACAACCGAGAAGACCGAATCACCCTCCATCTGCTTGATGCCCTGTTCAATCAGACAAGTGGCCTCACCAATCTGCACCCGCAAAGACTCTCGTAAACTGCTGGACATCAGTTTCGCCTCCTCGAGAAGTTCTGCTGCAGCAGCCCAGTCGCCCTTGCTAAGGTGGACAAGTGCTTTGTACATCAGCATGGAGGCCTTCAGGTCAGATGCGTTGTCGTGTGCTATGACGATAGCGGTCTTGGCAGGAGCAGCAGCAGCAGCTTTCGTCTTTGGTGCTGCTACCCTTTTAGTCGTTCTGGTTGTCCTGGTCGCTGTCGGGGCCGCTGGCTTGGTTACTCGTGTTCTCCGGGTGGCCGGTGCCTTCAGCGTAAGCTTTGCCATCTTGCTGACAACTTGCTCATCGCTAACCCCTGTAATTGTGCCTCGACTGCTGCTGTTTAAAGTCCCAAGTGTGACCTCGGCAAGCTCGAGTAGCAGTAGTTCGTTCTCGTGATCCTTCATTTCTCCAAAGGAAGCACTGAGTTCACAGGCCAGTTGAAAAGCCTGGCGTGTTGGCTTCACAGCCGTGGCCATGAGCTGTCTAGCTTCATTCAAGTAGCCAAGGCTCTTGTCGAGTTTGCAAGCTTTCAGCCATACTGAACCAATCCAACTGGCAGCCTGAGCCCTGTAGATGGACGCGTTTGTGGCATTAGCGACCTGGTGGGCTTTCTCTGCATAGTAGACAGTCTCTTGGAACATTCCTAGGTGAGCGTAGACTGAAGAAAGATGCAACATGGATCTCAGCAGACCACAAGCAAGTGCCCAGCTATCCGGACCGTCAGATAATTCGATCTGATTCGTCAAGGCGTCAGTCCTGACAATGCTTTCCTCCGCGTCGGGAGAACCTTCTCTTGAGGTCTGCCGGGACTCTGCTTTGGGCGCAACTTGCCAACGAGCTTCCAATTTCGTCCAGTCCTGGTACAGTATGCGGACGCTGGTCTTGGCGTGAAATAGCGCATGCTGATATTCGCCCTTGTCCCATTTGATTCGGGATGAGAGACAAGCAGCCCTTGCCAAGAGGAGCTTCCTTTGGAGCTTCGGAGCTTTTCTGGCACTTGATGAAGCCTCAAAAGCAACCTCGCCCTTGAGCAGCATTTTGTGACTGCTTATGGTTAGCAAAACATCTCGACTCTACTTAGGAGCGATGACTTACGCCGCATCAGAGTTTTGCTTCGCCAGCTGATACTCGGTGAGGGAGATCTGAAGATTTACCGCACCAAAGTCCGGGTTGCTGTCTGTGGTCTCTGCAAGTTTCCTGGCTTTGTTGAGAATCTCCTCGGCCTTCTCAGAATAGCCGAGATGTGTGTATTGGTCCGCGAGGTTGCTATGCGCCTGAAGGAGTATGTCCGTTGAAGCATCGGATAGCTTAGAAGCAATGTCGGCACACAATGTTAAAACCGATAACAAGAATTCGTCCTCGCCTCTAAGTCTTGCGTACTCAGCAATCGAGCTGAGCTGCCTGACAAGTCCCTCAGTGTCATTAACCTTAGAGAGAAGATCATCCTTGGTCTGGCACTGGTTGACAATAGAGCGCCAGATGCTTGTTGACTCTTCAAAGTCCGCTGCACGCCATTCTGCTTCCGTGGCAACAAGAGCCAGGGTAGACGAGAGGCACGCCTCTAGGTCAGGGACGTAGTCAGCCAGACTGCCGTCGTCACCATAGTTGTGGTCACGACAAAGCTGCAAAGCAGCCTCTGCCTGCTCTCGGAGGCTTTGGAACTCGTCCCTGTCGCCAATTGACATGGTGAGCAACTGCAACAACGTCCGGAGGCGGCGGATTGGAAAGCGGTCAGCCGCGTAAATTCTCAACAGAGCCTCAGTCACCGGATCCTTGATGTCGTTGGGTTTGGAATCGCTAGACGAGTTGGAGAGGATGAGGTGAATGATACGTTCCAAGACCGCAGCCCGCTCAACGTCCGCAAGAAAGAAAGTCCAATCGTTCCAAGACTGATCAAGCTTGACCATTGTTTCTATTGTCCTTGACAGCGTTTCGGCCTTGATGCTCGCGCTCCAAGCAACCGCAGGGGAACTGTCAGCCAAAGATGCTGCCACTGTAGACAGAACTCCGTCTTCGACCATGTTCGTGCATATGAGCTTCAGCGCGTCTCGAGCGTCGTTGACTCGACCAGCCTGCTTGCACATGTCCGCAAAGTACTCGAGTTTCGCTGTCGTTTGCGCCTTCTCCTTCTCCTCAGAAGACCGATCCTTTACGCAATCCACAGATCGTCTGAGAGCTCGAAGTAGAGTCTTATCACCGGGTTTGGACTCGGCTTTGCGGCGATACCAGTTGAAGAACATGAAGTAGAGATGCGAGAGTTTGACGTGGTATGGATTTGAAGCATCCGCTTTCGTGATGGCAAGACTGGCATCGCCCAGGAAGTCTAAGAGCATTAAGCACTCTTGGAGAAGGCCGTCGAGAATTGGCCAGGTCATCTTGCCGTCGTCAATATGGGATTTGGCTATCATCAGAGCCGAGTCCAGAATTTGTGTTATCGAAGTGAGCAATAATTGCTTTCTCGACTCGTAGCGTACGTGCTCCTTGGGAGAAGCGTCTCTCGTCGGCGGCTTTCCTAGCCATCGAAGAGCGAATCGAGGAAATTGAAGGACGAGGTTGCTGAGGAGCTCGTCTATGCTTTGAGAGTCATCCGCCGTTGCTGTGAGTTTGCTAGCCAAAATTCCCACTGCCGACCTACGAGCAGCTGATAAATTGACCATGAGTTCTTCAAGCTCCGTCACGTCACCCTTCAGTGTCCCTTGAAGCGCTTCAGAGACCTCTTTCAGAAGCGCAGACAATGGCTCCTGAGGTAACGGTGTCTGTTTACCGTAAACAGCTAGAAGCTGTGCGGCAATCGCACAACACTTCGCTGGAGAATCGTTGGCTGGGTCCAGAGTCCCCTTGATTTTGGAGATCCATTCGGCTGCTTCCTTGAAGTGGCGAGCAGTCTGCGCCACCGTTCCCAAAGCCTGATAAATCACAACGAGTGGCGATTTTGATGCGAGAATCGGCTCCAGGCGCTGGCTCTTAACCATGTTGATGATGCGATCGAAAGTGTTGAAGGACTTGCGGTATGCCCCGGCCGAGTCGGACTTGACTCTGCGAATGTAAGAGGTGATGCATCTCGAGAGCGGTGAGATTATGTCCTTGTCAACGTCTGCCTTATGACCGGTCATAGGCCACCAATGCAAACGCGCCTCCAATCCTAGGGCTTGCAATTCCAGTGCGGTGGCCGGAGAGCAACTCAAACGGCGGTCTGTGGCAACCTCATCGTCCTTGCTTGACAAGCTCGGGGCCAAAGAGAGAAGGAGTTGTGAAAGGAGGTCGAGCTGTCGCGCAGCCTTCGTCTTCGTTGGGGCGGACTCTTTCGCGGATTCGAGGAGGAGATTCATTGGTGAAGTCGGATGGGAGGAAACTAAGTATGGCAATGCTGCCTCGATCGTCGCTGGTTTCTTGTTTGAGGACATCAGACGCAGTATCTGCATCTGAGTTGTGATGACCAGGCCAAGAGTCGGGCCGGAGAACTTGGCATCGCCAAAGTCCAAGATTTCTGCGAGGCCTTTGACTTTAGTGTTTGCCGCTGTTGTTTTTCCTGCCTTCGCTTTCGCCTTCGTTGAAGTGCCCATTGTGTCGAGTCTTTGCCGCAACAGTGCCAGCTCCCTCAGTGCGTGCTCCTGAAGGTCCAGTCCGACAAGCTTGCCGGCGAAAGAAGACATTCCAGTCTCAAGTTGCAGGTCGGACAGCTGCACTGCGCCGGAGGTATGGAGCGATCTCAAACACGCGAACGCAGCTCTAAGACACTCTACCGTTGCAAGGCAGGTGACTGTGGGGACCGTTGTGGTGGCGACTTTCGCGGGTTTCGGTGTTGTTGTGGGTGAGGTTGAGGTTCGGTTTAATGAACGGGGTTGCATCGGCGTCATAGGCATGGAGTTGGACCGCCTTAGAGGTCGTTTATTTTGGGGCTTTCGGAGGTCGTCACCTGAATTCTGTCGTCGGCATGGTGTTGAAGGTTGCGCGGGAGGTGCAGGCTTCGATGCCTCCGTAAGGGACCTGAGTGCGACGTTGATTATGTGCGCTGCGAGGGCAGCTTTTTCCTTTGGTGTCAGCTCCTCCTTTTTGCTCGCTGTCGCGCCTGCTCGCGTCGAGCCAGCCGTTTTCCCTCGCGCCGTCGTCGCTACTTTTTTCTTTTGCGCTGCTGATTGAGTCTCGGCCTCAGTCGCAAGCAGCTCTTTGAGGAGCACCGTGGTTGTTGATGTGCATGTTGCGGTCGATGCAGCCGCCGCCTTGACGGTGTCGACTTTGCTCTGTAATGAAGTCATTGGGTTGTGTGTATCCGGGTCATAAGAGGCGTTTCGTCATGAAGTCTTTTGTGAAGAGAAATGGAATCGAGCTTGATGCAAACCTGGGCAATCAATGGCCGTTTGCTGGTAGCTTCATGTGTGACTTCATACAAGTCCACAAAGCGTGCAGTTGGCAGTTGTCAGGTCTCGCTAAACAATGCCCCGGGTCGTTGCCCGGAGCAACGACAATCCCGGTTCGGTCCGTGCAACAGGGACCATCGATGCACGGTCCATCCGAAATTGGGAACCGCGAAGGGTTCCCGAGCTTTTTTGATCCTTCCAAAAGACATCCATCTCGAATACGGCAGCATAGCGAGAACGACGTGTGCTATTGTACCTTGGAATTCGACCCTTTGCCCCGAAATGTCTCGAGTTGCGGCCCATAGGCTGCTTGCAGCACCGCAGGGCCTCCGCGCCGCGGCCTTTGCACATGCTGCGAACCGCTCCTTCTACCTCCAGGCGCGACAGTCGAGCTCCCTTCCTACGGTTGCGCAGCTCGATTTTTGGAAGGGCCTCATCCCCAAGCCGTTCAGGGCTGAAGAGAAGCTCACCGACGATCCCATGATTAAGCGAGTCAAGCCAAAGAGGAAGAAGGAGTGGAATCCGGCCACGTTCTACATTGTCATTTTCCTCTTGATCGGTTCCATGTCCATCAACATGCTGTCGACGAAGCAAGCGTTCGAGGCGTTCTCGCGACAGGCAGACGTGCGCATTAGCGTTTTGCGCGAGGTGGTTGAAAAGCTGCAGAGGGGCGAGAAGGTTGATGTGGAAAAGGCGTTGGGTACGGGCGACCCTCAGAAAGAATTAGACTGGGAGGAAAGTACGTTTTACACCACAAACGCACATCGCGTTAACCATGCTGACAAAATCTTGCTGCTAGTGCTGAGAGAGATTGAACGAGAAGACGTGTCACGACAGAAGAAGCAGGAAAAATCGCGGCAGGCGGAGACCGCGGCAAAGAGCCAGGCCGAAGCAGCTGTGGTGGTGCATGAAGCCGCAGGGCCACCGGCGCGAGGCATGTCGAGCTTTTTCTAGTTTTTGAATGGCAACGCTTTGGATTGGTACAAATCATGGTCTATGACAACATATCTTTGAACACACCATGGTTCTCTCTGGGCGCTCCTACGGTTCCAACCGGACCCGAAGCGCTTTCCGGCAGCTGGCGTAGCTGCTCTACCAGCGCGGGGAGCACGACATCCGTGGATACTTCTGTCCGGACTCCTCGAACGCCTGTGGGCTCCGGGTCTTCTACAGCGGAGATCTGGTCCTCGCCCCGTACGCCTCCGGTGTTCACCACCGCGATGGGCATGCCGCGATCCAGCGCCCTCTTGGCCAACCGCCATGCAGAGTACGTGGCAAGCGAAGTCCCCAAAATGAGAAGTCTGCCCGCCCCGTCAATGGCCTCTTCGGCTGCCGTCTTGACGTCGCTGGCAATGCTCTCACCAAACATGACCACGGCGGGCTTCAAGACCCCCCCGGAACTGGTGGATTTCCACGCACCATCATGGTCAACTTCAACGACGTGTCTGGTACCGTCGGGCGTGGACGGCGGCTTCGCGAGGCAGTGCGGGCAAGCTGGATATCTAAAGGTGGTGTAAGGCGCGCCTGGGAGATCCACGTCTCCATCTGGGTTGGTCCTGATGCCCTTGGCCTTGCGCTCGGCAGGATTCTCCGTGTCGAGAGCCCCAGAAGCTAAAGCATCGACGAGGAAGGCAGCCCAGGCTGGATTCAGCCTCGCCAGCTCATCCTGGAAGGCGTCCCTGGGGTATTCGTTCCTGCAAGTCACACAGACTGTGGATCTTAGATAGCCATGCAGCTCCAAAGTTGGAATGTCAGGATGAGCTTTCGAGTGGAATGAGTCGACATTTTGCGTGATGACGCCCCGAATCAAGCCCATCTGGCCCATGTCCCGGATGGCATAGTGCCCGTAATTTGGCGACGCCTTGTGAAGCGACGTCCAGCCCAAGAAGCTCCTGGCCCAGTACCGTTTCCTGGCTTCGTGATTGGCGAGGAACTCGTGGTAGTAGATGGGGCGGTAGGCTTTGTTCACGCGATATGTGCCATTGACTCCACGGTAGTCGGCGAGCCCACTAGAGACGGAGAGGCCCGCTCCAGTCAGTACGACGGTCGATCTCGGCAGGCCCTTTGGAGGCGGAGCCGTGAAGAAGTTCTGGAGAGCGGCAACAGCACCCGGGATGGTGTTTGCGCTGCTTGGGCGGGTTGTGGGAGGGGCCAAGAGTTCCGTGTAGGGAATGCGCATAAGAGGCTTGCGCATTGGGGCGATGATGTTGCCTTGCGTTGCGTAAGACTGTCGGGATGTGGGAGGGAACTCTGGAGCGGTTCAAGATTCAAGGGTGAGGTAAGGTAGCGCGGAGTGATGTACGTGGGCTCGGCGGAGGCTCAGAGAGGCAGGAGTTCAACGGGTAAGGGGTTGTGAGAGGTTCGTTATGTGGGCATGTTACCCCGGCACGAGATTCTACAACAGAATTGATCAAGGGACGGAAGGAGATTTCTGACAAGCGCGTGTAAATGAAATTTTGCGATAGGCTGAAGCTGCATGGTGAGTTGAAGGGGGCGATCTCATTATCAGTGGTCAATTCGTCATGATTCGGAGGACCAGCCCGCACTGCGAATCCATTGGGCCCCACAAGATGACCAAGCCCACCAAAGGCATCTGCTTAGGTAACAAGGCCCTTTTACAATAGAGGTCTGGCGTTGACACGGGCCACATCACCTTTGGCATCTGTGATAATGACGACCCTGTGCCAGATGACTACCAGAGAGCTGGAGGTACGGATATTCAGAGTCGAGGTAAACGTTTAATTGGCGGTTGTCATATCATCGTCTGGGAAAGATTCTTGCGTGGTCAACTTGCCCAAAGATATGTCGACTCGACCGCACCTCAGGGTTTGCAGCTTGAGGACGAAGTTAACTTCTGGAGAGAGACAGCCCGATCGTCACTTTTGGTTCTTTGCACGGTGGTTGCAGCGGACCATGCCCGTTCTTTGGTTGGCAGGACATGCGCGAAGATGGAACATGCGTCCGCATTCTGCATGGAACCACAACCCGGTGGGATATGCTGGATCCGTTACGAAGGGACTCACAAGAGGAAAATCACCCGTGGTGGAGGAGCCTATTTGCTAGCAGTCCCGAGTTCCATAGCCGGTGAGGGATCTTGTAATGGGCAGGCGTGGCTGATGCATGCCGTGGCTTACCTCAAGTAAAGACGGGTGCTGCATGGAGAAGCATAAAGTGTATGAATACTTGGTGTACATAGGTAGTCAATAGACACTAAGGTAGGTAAGCATTCTGACACTGTATTACCTGACTATGAAGCAGAAGAGTTGCCGTAGCGCAAGGTCAAAAGAGAAAATCCAAGCTTCTTCCCCATAGCAATTCCCGGCGCCGCCGGGGCGCAAAATTCGTAAAACGGATAGGGAAGCTGTCCACAGTCTGGCAAGTTGGTTTCGAAGAAATTGGCCGCCGACCAGTGGACGACTAGGGGTACGTACCTTAGCTTCGTACCGCATTGTGTCCCTGGATGATTCAGTCGACCCTCGCCTTGTGAAGTCTGACCGTTGGTGGTGGTGGCATCCTCCAACCATGGCAGTTCCTCCATCCCACTTCAGTCTTCAGGTCCCATCACTCCCATGCCATGCCATGCCATCCCATCGCCCATCCCATCCTCGCCAGGCACCGCCTTTTTAGCTCGGATCGGTGACTCGGGGGTGGACAAGCAAAAGGTAGGGGTACCCTATACAGCAAACCAACAGGACCGCAGCAGTTGTACTGTCTCCGCATGTATTTGCAGTGTGAATACTTCGGACCTTGGGTCTCTTTAGTAGGTATCCGTAGGCACCTTAGGTGTACTACCTTAGTCACTTGTGTAGCAGATCAGATCAACCCGCCCTGCCGCTACGCTACCGCCGCTGCCGGACCCTCGCCTTGTCACAAAATTTGGCCTTCCTTGCAACGAATTGCCGCGTCGCCTTTCTTTTCTTTTTGCTGGAGACACACACCTAGTCTCGCACAACACACACGCGCACACCTTCTGGCACTTTGTGCTTGCTTTGCTTCCTTTGCGTTTTGGGTCCCAAGCCAGGTCCTGTCCAGTCTCCAATCCAATCCAACTAACTCTCAATACCCCCCGTTCTTACCTTACGCCTGCTGCACCCCAATCGGTCCCCGTAACACTTTCCCTCCCTCCGTCTCTCCCCTTCCACCTGGACCACACACCCACCCCTCCTCCTCCGTCCGCCTTCCGCCTACCTGCCTTACCTACTCGTACCTACCTACCGCACGGTACGGTCCAGTTCGGTGTGTCGCGGCTTTCCGGCTGGCTTGTCATGTACGCGTCCCCGGCCTGCTTGCAATTAGCCAACCCATTACTCGTCCCCTCACCCCTTCCACAACAATTTACCTTGACCCTGCGCTGAGAGACAGCGAGAGAGGAAGCGCGAGGCAGAGAAACACAGCCGAGGGCAATATTTCACTCCTCACTCGGCCCAGGCATGTCGACCCCGTCCAAGCGTCCCACGGCACTGCTCTGCCGCCTATCCGCTGTAGGTGCGAGGGTGACGTCTGCGAGAACGGGAACGGGAACGCACACCCTCCTCCGTTGCCTCAATTCTGCCTACCCCTTTAGGCCACCTCAACCACATCTGCGCCGCGTCTCCCTCCGCGTCTATCAAACGTCCAGCCCGGCCGCCTCTCCCTGTGATCCTTACTTAACCCCCAGCGCCGCCCGTCTCCACCTCCGGTCTCCTACCCCTTCCTTTCCTCACCTCACAAACACCTTGACGGCTGCGAAGAACTCCTCCCCTTCATTACCAGCAACTGTCATCATGTCCTCCACCACCACTGCCACCAAGACCGCCAACGCGCCTCAGTCTCGCAAAAGCCACGGTCATCATCACCACCACCACCACCACCACGGCCACGACAATGTCTACCTGACCTCAGCCAACAAGAACGACGCCGGCGTGCGCATCACCCGCATCGGTCTCTACTCCAACCTGGGCATGGCCTTTGCCAAGGGTGCAGGTGGCTACGCCTTTGGCTCCCAGGCTATGATCGCCGATGCCTGGCACAGTCTTACTGACCTGGCATCCGACGTCCTGACGCTGGCCACTGTTTCGTGGAGCTTGAAACCCCCGACCGACGCCTTTCCCACTGGTTTCGGCAAGATTGAGAGTCTGGGATCTCTAGGTGTCTCCAGCATGCTTCTGGGCGGTGGTCTGTTCATGTGCTGGAGCAGCTTGATCACCCTCCACGCTCATCTCTTCCTCGACCCTGCAGCTGCTGCAGAGGCCATCGCACACGCCCACCACGGCCACAGCCACGGCCATGGCCATGGCCATGCTACTCCGAGTTTGCACGCTGCTTGGTTGGCTCTTGGCACCATCGCAATCAAGGAGTGGTTGTACAGAGCTAGTAAGCACAGTCGCCCCCAATCCTTTCAGAACTACTTGTTTGGTGGTGCTGCGGGGAACAAAGCTGACAAGGAGCAAAATAGCCATGAAAGTCGCCGTCGAACGAAAGTCCTCCGTCCTCGCCTCCAACGCCGTTCACCACCGTGTCGACAGCTGGACCGGCATTGTCACACTGCTTGCTATCCTGGGTGCAAACTTTTTCAAGGATGCGACCTGGCTGGATCCCGTTGGTGGCCTGATGATTTCTCTCCTCGTCATCAAGGCCGGTGCTGAGAACACTTTGTCTTCTGTATACGAATTGGCCGACCGAGCCATTGATGACGAAGTCAAGGGAGACGTCCACAAATACGTCCTCAGAAGTCTCTCCGACGTAACAGATGGCCACGAGATTGATGTCCGCAACGTTTCTGGCGTCAAGTCTGGTCAGAACTACCTGGTGGACATCGACTTGGCTGTGCCCGGAGCCTGGTCAGTCGAGGCTGTCCGAGAAGTGGAGGACCAAGTCCGTACTCTGGTCGGTGCCAAGGTCCGGGGTGTACGGAGGATCAAAGTGCGCTTCGTCCCAAAGGAGACCGAGGTTGCGCGCAAGTTTGACGAGTTCATCCCCGGAGAAGCCAACCGAGAGGCTAGCGAGGAGGCCGAGGACCACAGCCACACCAATGGCAATGGTCACAAGCACGAATAAGGTAGCCGGGCCCTTTGTACAGTCGGAGGAAGAGCTTGCCGTTCACGATGAGATACCCTTGGTTTCCTTACCATTTCTGGAAGCGTGGTAAAGCCACAATCTTTCTTTTTTTTCGGTCTACGGGGTGGTTTTGCCATGTATAGAGAGCATTCTTGGAGAGAGTCCTCCAAGGCATCCATTTGCATCAGGGCGGCGTTTAGGGAGAGATCACAAAAGGCCAGCGACAGGCCGTCCGTCTCAAGAGACTTTGTTTTATACCTCTTGTCTATCGAATAACAGATTTGCTTTGTCTTGAAATATGTCTCTTCGTATTAAGGTGTGGTATGGATTGCTTGTCGTCAAAGTGTCTGTCTAAGGTACCCTGACCAATCTCACAAGCCTGTTCCACACAGCGGGGACCCTTAGACGCGCAGTATGCAGGGCGGCAGGGCGCATAGAAGACGGGACGAGCTATTCCCGACCCCCGAGTCGAGGGGACAAGGCTACCTTGGCTCCGTCCAGGCTTTCACATTATCATTGGCGCGCCTATCTGTCGCATCAGTCGCAAATTGTACGATTGGTCCGCCCGCTTTTAGCCTGAATCGCCACAAGGCTGAGGGACCATGCACCTGTCCCAAGTGTGCCCCTCCATGCCCACACCCCACGTCAATGTGATGTAGAAAGTAGTGGGCAGCGGTCAACTGTCCCAGATAACCGGGTGATCTGTGTCCATTTCTCCTTTTCATATGACGATTGGCCTTTTCTTGCTTGCTTAGAAATATTTGAGATAGACCAATACTTAATTGATTTCCCGGGTGCTGCGCGATATCTCACCTCATCTCCTCCCATCATGAGTTCCGGTCCCTTATATCTCGGGTTCGACCTGTCGACCCAACAGCTTAAAGGTGAGCCTATCCACGACGTCCATTTCATCAGATCCAATGCCTCAAATCCAATCTTAACCCGTCTCAGCAATCGTCGTCCAGTCCGACTTGACCGTCGTTTCCGAGGCAAAAGTCGACTTTGACGCCGACCTTGGCAAGCAGTATGGCCTGCACAAGGGCGTCCTGGCCAACGAGGCCGAGGGCGAGGTCTACGCGCCCGTTGCACTGTTCCTCGAGGCGATTGATCTCGTCCTGAGCCGTCTCCAGGCCAAGACGCCGATGGACCGCATCAAGGGCATCAGCGGCTCGTGCCAGCAGCACGGCAGCACCTACTGGAGCAGGAACGCCGAGACGCTGCTGAGCGGCCTGCAGTCCGACAAGCCTCTCGTCGAGCAGCTCAAGGAGGCGTTCTCGCACCCGTATGCGCCCAACTGGCAGGATCACAGCACGCAGGCGCAGTGCGATGAGTTTGATGCCAACTTTGAGACGGCGCAGCGGCTGGCTGAGGTTACTGGCAGCGCTGCCCACCACGTACGTTGCTCCGTTCTCCAGCTCGTCTTTTCATCATCATCATCATGTGGTATTGTTGTGTGAGTAGTTTACTGAGACGTCATATGCCCGTAGCGCTTCACCGGCACGCAAATCATGCGCCTCCGCCAGAAGCTCCCTGACATGTACGCCGCCACGTCCCGCATCTCCCTCGTCTCCTCGTTCCTGGCCTCTGTCCTCCTCGGCGCCGTCGCCCCCATTGACATCAGCGACGTCTGCGGCATGAACCTGTGGGACATACCCGCGGGCACCTGGAGCGAGCCCTTGCTGGAGCTGACCGCCGGCTCCAAGTCCGGCGTCGCGGACCTGCGCTCCAAGCTCGGCGAGCCGCGCCACGACGGAGGCGGCTCGATGGGCGCCATCTCGTCCTACTTTGTCCAACGCTACGGCTTCAGCGCCGACTGCCAGGTCGCGCCGTTTACGGGCGATAACCCAGCCACCATCCTGGCGCTCCCGCTACGTCCGATGGACGCCATTGTCTCGCTCGGCACGTCGTCGACTTTCCTCATGGTCACGCCCGTCTACAAGCCCGACGCGGCGTACCACTTCTTCAATCACCCCTGCACGCCGGGTCAGTACATGTTCATGCTCTGCTACAAGAACGGCGGGCTCGCCCGCGAGCGCGTCCGCGATGCTCTCCCCAAGCCCGAGGGCGGCGATCCCTGGGCCAACTTCAACAAGGCTGTGCTCGACACGCCGCCGCTGGACGCGCGCTCCGAGGCGGACAAGGCGAAGCTGGGGTTGTACTTTGACCTCCCCGAGATCGTGCCCAACATCAAGGCGGGCACGTGGCGGTACACGGCGGACCGGGACGGAAGCTCCCTGGCCGAGGCCAAGGAGGCGTGGTCCAAGGAGACGGACGCGCGAATTATTGTCGAGTCGCAGGCGCTCTCGATGCGTCTGCGCAGCCAGAATCTGGTGCACAGCTCCCAGGACGGCGTGCCCGCGCAGCCGCGCCGGATCTACCTCGTCGGCGGCGGCTCGTTGAACCCTGCGATCGCGCGGGTCATGGGCGACGTGCTGGGCGGGGCGGAGGGGGTGTACAAGCTCGACGTGGGCGGCAACGCGTGCGCGCTGGGGGGTGCTTACAAGGCCGTCTGGGCGCTTGAGAGGGGCGACGGGGAGACGTTTGACGAGCTGATTGGGAAACGGTGGAGGGAGGAGGGGGCGATTCAAAAGGTTGATGAGGGGTTCAAGGACGGTATCTTCCAGAGGTATCAGCCTGTTGTTGGGGCGTTTGAAGAGATGGAGAAGTCGATTTTGAAGGTTGCTCATAACTGAATTGATGAGTGATGTCGTTTTTTTTTAGATTTATAGATGATGAGAACGAATAAATAGTATCTTGCCAATGTTATTGTTGTTATTATTGTTATAAATGGGCTTTTCAGATACCTTAGTGAGCGGGGGGAGATGGAGGTGGAATTATACGTTCTATGGCGAGCCTCCTCTTCAAGTCGTCATGAATACAATGTCATATCAGGAAAAGTCACAGGGGTCAGTCATCATGTTTAAATAATGCGCGTCCTGGTATTATTTAGGCACTGGTCCATGCAAGCCAAATCGCCCCCTCCAAACCGGATCCTCTCCAACCTTCAAAACTAACCCAGGATATCAAAGTCCCTTTGTTACCCAGAAGCTTCCCTAGCCTAGTGGTTCCAATATATTGAAAGAGAGCAGACTCTCTGCAGTTTCCTCCCCGTGCCGAAAGTACCAAGTCCATGACGCATGAGAGTCGTGATAATCCGTTATTCGTAGCCCGTGTCGTAGATGAAGGGGTATCAATCCATCATCCATCCATAAGAAAAAAAAAAGCATCACAAAAAAGGAGTATTCCTTGCTTGTTCTCCCATATGAAAGAGTGATGAGAGAACATGAAGCGCAAAAGGAAACTAAGAAAGAAAAACACACAATGAAGAATAAAAGTTGATGGGGAACTGCGCCTTAGAACAGAACCATCAGGCCCAGCACAAAGATGGCCAGCAAGATGGTGCAGCTCTTGCAGCCTCCCATGATGGCCTCGGCGTGCTTGTCTGCGCCAGAAACGACGACCACGGTGCTGGTGCTCATCGGCTGCTCAGTGACAGTCGAGGTCAGCGTGGGGAAGTAGTAGGTCGTCAGGACCTGGCTGGTGGAAGAGGTCGCAGCGGTTCCGTTGGAGAAGAGAGGCTGGGAGGTGCTAGGGGCGGTGGGGTGCATCATGGGCGTGCCGGTGATGTAGATGGTCGTGTTAACCGTGACTGGCAGCTCAAACACAGAGGTAGCAGTCGCGGTAGCGGTCACCGTTGTATTGCTAAAGCCAGACAAGGACGAGGAGACGCCGACTGTGGCGGTGGCGGTCACGTTCTTGTAGACGGTGATCAGGGAAGTAAAGATCTTGCCGCTGACGGTGGTGGTACGGGTGTGGACGACTCTGGACACGGACTTGGTGATGACCTTGGTCTCAGTTCCGGTGGAGTTGGAGGGACCAGAGACGGAGGAGTTAGACTGCTCGGGGCGGACGGTCACTGTGGCCATGCCTCCAATCGTGACAGTCTGGGTGGCGCGATCGGTGAGGTAGATTGTGGTGATCAATGACTTGCCAGACTGGGAAGACTCGGAGGAGCTAGAGGAGGGGATGGCGGTGACGGTGACGACGGAGGTCTGGGTATCGGTCTGGACATCGGCCGAGGGCGAAGAGGAAGAGGCGCTGACGGTCTGGAACACGTTGGAAGTAATCGTCTTGGTGATGACGACGACGTCCGTGGCGATTGAGGCCTGGGCGGTTCCGGAGGAGGGGAGGTTGGTAAAGATTGGAGTGCCGACGTGGGCGAGCTGGGAAGAAACTGTTGTTCCGTTACCGATGGAGACGATGAAGGTCTGGGTGGCCACCTGGGTGACAATGACAGTCGACTTCGACTTGGAGTGGGAAATGAGCGTGGAAGAGGTCTTGGAGGAAGACCGGCTGAAGATGGGGCGATTGGTCGGGGGAGTCAGGCTGTCAATCGTGACCGTGTAAGTGACCGAAATGGTGTCGGTGGCATCGGAAAGGGGAGCCAAGGAGGAAGACGTCTTGGACGAGGTCTTTGAGGTCTTGGACTGAGCACTCAAAGAGCCGGATGGGCTGGGAGTGACGGTCTCAGTGACGGTGACGTAGACGGTATGGTCTTCGACCTCGAGGGAGCACTGGGCCTGGGTGGAGGAGGCTGGGGGCTCTGCGGTGACGTAGATGGTTGATTCAATAACCGTCGTAGGAGTGACCGTGGTGGTGGAAGAGAACTCCTCAGAAGTAGACATGGGAGAGGCCTTGACAGTAGTCTTGCGGGTCTGGGTCAGGGTCTTGGTTAGGAAGACCGAGGTGACCTGAGCAGAAGAGCTCTCGACTTCAGAAGCAGCCTCGCTAGTAGACGCGATAGAAGACTCGGACGCGACGTTACTCTGGTGGGCAGTGGCCGTGTGGAACTCAGTCTCAGTGACAGAGGTAGTGATGACCTCAGTGACAACTGGAATAGACCTGGAAAGGCCATTAGTATTTGGGACTTGGCTTTTGGGAAGAAGGAAAGGGTTGGGAGAGCTTACAGAGAGACAATAGAAGAGCCGGACAGGGTCGCGTTGACGGGCTTGGCAGACGAGACGGTAGTACCCTGAGTAGACTTGTGAAGAGTCTGGGTGAGAGTCATCTGGACGTAGGTCGTAATCGTAGTGTCAACGGAGGCGGTCTTGGTGTTGCCCAGGAACTGAGTAACGGTAATGGTCTCATCGGCCTCATCCTCGCAGAGAGTCGTGGTACCAGTGGTAGCCATGCCAGAGAGGGTCGAGTTCATGCCGTGGGTCTGAGTGCCGTTGGAGTTGTACTTCATGCCAGCGAATCGGGGAACGATGTGGGCATTGGAGCCCTGGCCGACCTGAGAGTTGGGGGAACCACCAGTAGCATCTGAGATATGTTATTGTCAGAAAACTGAGACGCTAATCAGGAGATGCGCGAAAGTGAGTATTTACAGTAAATGCCGACCGCAATGGCACCGCCAAGGAGGGTAGCGATGAAGATCGCACCAAAGATGGCGATGAAGGTATCGGTCTTGCGGTAGGTGCTCCAATCCTTGCGCTCACGCTGGATGGCACCCTCGGTGACGGTCAGGTCGTCATCCTCACGGTAGTAACCGCGGTGAGTGCGGTAGCTGTCGTTGGGACGCTTGGCTATTTTATTGTGAGTGGTTTTCTTCTTTTCATACATACTGAAGTTGAAGGAATGAGACATACGCATCATGATGTCAAGCGAGCGTCCTTGTAGCTTGTTCTTGAACGATGGCTGAATCTAGGACCTTTGTCAGTATTGTCTAGAAAGAAGAATACATATGCCACCAAAGGAATGAAGTCTGATTTCTGGTCGAGGCGATCCCGATTTTTTGAGGCATCGCCAAATGCACAAAAAACAGGACCAGCGCAAAGGTAAGTGACAGAAATGAGAAAGAGATGGAACTTACTCTTCTTGTGGAAGAAAGGAGATGAATGGCAAGTGAGTGTTGTCTGCAAAAGGATATTTGCCGTTAGTTGGTGATGAAGAAAAGTGAGTGAAGTGGGTGGAAAGAAGAGGTTGAAAGGGTGAAGTTGTGGGAGTGTGGAAGTGTGGATGAGTTGCCTAGTGAGAGAAGGAACGCGAAAAAAGGAGGATGGGAAAAACAGCGCATCAACAAAGGCGGATGGGGGAATAGAAATTTGTGCTGGAGGGTGCAAATTCTACACAGGAGGAAGGAGCGAAGGGGAAATTCGATTTTCTGAGAAACATGATTCGCCAGAAAATCAAAGGAAAGGAAAGGAAAGTGAAGGTGGGTGTTTGTGCTATCAGTATGGCCCTTGAAATCACAACATCGAGAGATTGAGGCAAATGGGATCGCTCGATCTTCTCTTCTAAGTTGCCCACCAGGTAACAGGGAAATGAGGGCAATTGTGAACAGAGAACGAGATGGAAAGGTTTTCTCAATCGGCTTGAGACGGTACAGAGATGGAAATGGTGATGCTGGCGATCTCAACTTACGTTGGGAAATGGGATGGTCGAAAGAGTGTCGATCAGATGAACGAGAGGTGTTGCGAAGCGTGCTGTATCATGTCAGGAACGATGATCCGGATAAAATAAAAAAGGAGAAGAAGTTGATTGAATTCTTCCTGAAGAAGAGGTCAACGTACCTTGGATTTGCTTGTTGGCGAACGAAAGTTGCTGCGCGATTCGCGTTGTGTTGGTGTGGGTGGGTGAGAGAGGGAAGAGAAGGAGAAGAAGAACAAGAAGGGTGGGAATAGAGAGAGGTAGGCGGCTGGTCAAGCGAGATGCCCCAATAGGATGGCGCAAATGGGTGTGTCGGTGAGAGGGCGTATACTCGTAGGATGTTCATCCAACCTGCGCCCAGTCGAGGTGGTGGGATATTCGGTCAGGAGGTCTAATTGCCCCACAGCTGGCAGGGCAATCCAGCGTATCTGAGGCTGCTGAGGCAAATAATCTCCATATGGACGGTACAGAAATGAACATGTTGGACTGCAGTAGGAATTCTATACAAAGTGAAGCACTTGGCATACTTCTTGGGTCACTGCCTGTCTGCTTCTGCTACAGGGTCAAGTGGTATGGATGACAATGTCGCTATGGAACATGGTTTCTTTGAAAGACGAAAATGAGGAATGACCTTGGAATCAGCCTCAATTTGAAGGACCAATTGGTTTTTGATGCAGTGGCTAGAGATGGGGGAGGCAGATGTTCGTTCATTTTGCTCCTTTGAACCCATCCCGGGCTACGACAATTTGACTTGAAGGGTTTACTACGCTACAATACATAAACAAGATTCATGCGGTGGTAATAGGGTATTTTCGAAAATCCCTTAAATGCAACGTTTATTACTCCATTGCCTTTCTGTATTTCATTAATAGGTGGAAATACACACACACACACACACACACACACACACACACACATGGGCGGGATTCAGATGCCGCTAGGTAGCCGTGGAGTTCTGGTTAGGTATCCAGAGGTTACAGATAAGCTCGCTGAGGGGAATTATTGCGTCGAAAATATTCAGTCGATGATTGCTCTTTCATCAAGTGAGATTTAAGTGCGGTATTGGGAACACGATACTTGAACCTCCCAAGTTATTTGCGAGTTTCCTAGTCATTTCCTGGGAGATTTCATCATATAAACCTCTCGTTGCCTTTCTTTAGAACCAGTCATGACAGTTAAATAGATCGATTCAAATAATTGATTGAGTAAGATCCCTTTTTATAACGCCGGTATTGTCGTAGCTATTCACCCTGCTCACGTCGCGATACAGCTGTAATGGTGCTTAGGCGTTTGCCAGAGTGTAAAGGCTATGAAGAAGATTAAGGCTAGGAGCGAAGGTGTCGAATGAATCGTCCCCTCTCAAGCAAGACATAACGCCGAATTAATTCGAAATAATTTTCTTCGAAATGTATTAAACAAAGAAATACGCGCAGTGTTATGCTGACCGTAATCCAGTATAGCAGAAGGGTGTCGATGTTCACCACTGGGACTCAAGTGGAGACAGGTCGTTGAGCATCGAACGGTGACATCCGTCACTAGCCACCCCAGGTATGGCAGCCACAGACCCACTCCCCCTTACGCCGGGGCCACTCAGCAGCCACGAGTCCATGACCACCGGCCAGGGAAGGTACTGCTGGAGCTTGAGCAGGTACCTTCGCTCTACCTCCCCCAGCTCAGGTAAGCACGCGAAACCCCGACGAACAGCAGGCGCGGGCGCGTAACACGACTCGATTATTCCCATCCAATTTCGTCGCAACACCAAGAACGCCAGCTTCATCCCCCTTCTCGTCGCCACCACCACAATTGGTCTCTCAATCCTGCGTGCTCACCACACCTGACCACGTACTTGAATTGTGCACGCGACGCGCGACAGTTCATCCATGACTTAAGCTACGCGCGCATCTTCGACTCCTGACACGTTCCAGTCGATCGACGACAGCATCGACACATTATCTTCCCCGCTTCACCACACGTCACCTGCCGAGCGCCCACCGGACACCTTCAGGATGGCGCGTCGTCGCGCTCGCGATGAACCTCAAGAGGAGGTCGAGGTTGAGGAGGAACAAGGAGAGGAGCTCGTCAGTCTTCAATTCGACGACGAATTGACTTGGAAGCCCGGAAAACCCATTCCCACTACCGAGCTTCTCAACCGTCTGCAGGCTCTGTCCGAGGAGCTTGGTGGTATGGATCAGGACGCTGTGGATGTTGAATCTCTCAATGACGTTGCTCACGCTCTGGGACAACGGAATCTGCTCGCTCACAAGGACAAGGGCGTGCGAGCCTACGCGGCTGTGTGTATTGCAGACATTCTGCGCCTGTGTGCGCCTGACGCGCCGTTTACAGCGGACCAGACCAAGGTAAGCCATTGATCTTGAGTTACCAAGAGAGCCGACTGACGAAAGCAACAGATGTTCTTCAATCTGGTCGTAACGCACGTTTTCCCTTCGCTGAGCGATCAAACCCACCCTTATCACAGCCAGCACAAATACGTGCTCACGGCATTGACCGACGTCAAAAGCATCCTCTTAATTAATGACATTGACGGCGCCGATGACTTGCTTTTGAAGCTTTTTTCAGTCTTTTTCGATGGAGTGTCTGGGAGCTCGAATTCGGGCCCTGAAGAGGGTGTCTCGAAGGAGGTCGGCAATACTATGACAGAAATGCTGATCGCCCTGGTTGACGAGGCGTCCGGCATGAACCCCAAAGTCATTGAAGTCATCATGGCCCAATTCCTCAGAGCAGCGCCCCCCGGTGGCTTCCAGAGCCGCACAGAGCGTAGCGAGCAAAACGGCAATCAATCGACCTTGCTACCCAAAGATGAGCCGCCTGCCTACGTCATGGCGAAGGAGATCTGCAATGTGTGCACGGAAAAGATGGTACATTACGTTAGCCAGTACTTCAGCGACGTCATTCTCGACGCCTCTCGATTCGCGGCGAAGACGGTTGGGAAATCGCACGAGGATGAGGAGGACGAGGATGCCCCCAGGGGCCCCACGGATGCAGAATTGAAGGAACTCAGAAAGGCCCACTATCTCATCAGAGAACTCTGGCGCGCCTCGCCATCTGTTCTGCAGAATGTCATACCGCAGGTCGAGGCAGAGTTATCGGCTGATAATGTGGATCTTCGACAGCTGGCGACCGAAACACTTGGAGATATGATCTCGGGACTTGGTGCTGCTGGACCGCCGCCGCCGCCGGTCTTGGACCCTGCTCAGTACCCCCCCTTGCGCTTGGCCGACGAGGCTCCCAGTCAAATGTCCGATAGTGTCCTCACCACACCTCTGTCGCCTCAGTCTTTTGCGCAAACTCATTCTTCCGCTTATAACCATTTCCTGGGGAGGAGAAATGATAAGACGGCGACCATTCGAGCAGCCTGGACCAATGCAGTCGGTTATATTCTGGCCACCTCGGCAGGTGGCATTGGTCTTAGCCGCGAGGAACAATCCGAGCTGGTGAAGCATCTTGGGGAGAAGCTCAATGATGGCGACGAAAAGGTCCGGTTGGCTGCCGTCAAAGTGATGGAGCTGTTTAGCTTCCGCGACTTCGTCTCTAAGCTTGCTGCGCCAGGCGGCGTCGACAAAGACGGTTCTGTTCTCAGCAGTCTTGCTGATAGGTGTCGCGACAAGCGCACTGCTGTTCGAGTGGATGCAATGACTTTGCTCGCGAAGCTCTGGGCTGTTGGATCAGGGGAGTTGGCTGCTGGGCAGGAGAGCGTCGTTGCCGCCCTGTCTGGCATTCCATCGCGCATTTTCAACGCATTTTATGCAAACGACTCCGAGCTCAACATTCTTCTCGATCGTGTACTCTTTGAGTGCCTTGTACCGCTGTCCTACCCTCCCATTAAAACACCCAAGAATACCAGAGGGGCCTCCCAAAGCTCTCAGAGCGCGGGCGTTGCTGACCAGGACCGCATTCGTGCGGAGAGAATTCTACTCCTTACTCAATCGCTGGATCCAGCGGCGAAGAGAGCCTTTATGGCGATGCAAGGTCGCCAGCCTCAGTTCGCGCAGGTGCTCGAAGCATTCGTCAAACAGTGCGAGAGCTACAACGGAGGTGTGATTGACGACAACCGCCCGAAGATAACGGCAAACCTGGAGAGGACAGTGCAGTACATCACACAATTCTTCCCAGACTCCTTCAAGGTGAAGACCGACCTCCAGAAATTCGCCAATGCGAATGACCGGCGTGCGTACCAGCTCGTCAAGTTTTCAGTCAGTGCCGAGAGCGATTACAAAACGGTTCGACAAGCCATCAAGGAACTTGTCAAGCGCACCAATGCAAGCCAAAACTCGACCATCTTGGATACGCTTCTGCCGCTTCTCTACAGGTCAGCGTGCTTGCTGTTCAATCGTAGCCACCTTGCAACGATTCTCGATTACTCCAGGAATGACAAGGACGGCCTGGGCTCCGTATCCCACGAAATTCTCAACGAGATCTCGCAACGCAACCCTGAACTGTTCAAGACTCATGTGGGAGGGCTGTGCAAGGGGCTCGTTGAGCAAGCTCCCACGGAGACCAACGAGAACGATTCCAACGTTGTTGATACACTGAAAGCTTGCGCCTCATACTCGAAGAAGTACCCAGAGGAGATTCCTCAAGACCGAAAGTTTTCGCAGGCTCTTGTAAGCTACGCTTTGTACGGCCGGCCTGTGAAGTCTGCCAAGTACGCCATCAAAATTCTGCTGGCCAAGGGCGACGACAAGGGTCTTGTTAGCGCAACCAGCTTGTTGGAGAAAATCATGGAAGAGTGGACTTACGGCTCATCACACTTCCTGAACAAGCTGCAATCTGTTGCACAGCTGGAATTGCAGGTGCCCAAGATCACTCTGGATTCAGACGATGACATCCTCAATATGACTGTCCAGCAGATTTTGCTCAAGGTCCGGACAGATGCGACGGACAAAGACCCCGAGTGGGTGGAGGACGCCAATGTCGACGAGGAATTGCAGGCGAAGTGTCTGTCGCTGCATATCCTTGTCAACCGACTGCGCAGTATGGACGATGTCGAAGAGGCCAAAGAGAAGGCCGTCCCTGTCTTCAAGCTGCTCAAGACATTGGTCGCCAAGAGAGGTGAGCTCTGCAAGACGAAGGATACGCCCAATCACCACAAGTCGCGACTTCGCCTATTGGCAGCTCAGCTGCTACTGAAGCTATGCACCATTAAGCATTTTGACGATTTCTTAACACCGGCCGATTTCAACCGTCTCGCATTTACAGCGCAGGATCCTGAACTGACTGTCCGCCGGGGCTTCATCGAGAAACTCCAGAAGTATCTCGTCCAGAACAAGCTTCGGGCACGCTTCTACACCATTATCTTCTTGACGGCATTCGAGCCAAGCCCCGATCTGAAGCAGCGCGTTGAGACTTGGATTCGATCCCGGGCTCGCGCATTGGAGACGAGCGAGCAGCACCCTATGGAAGCGATCATGGGACGACTCATATCTCTGCTGGCTCACCATCCCGATTTCAATAAGCCAGAAAATATCGACAATGCCAGTGAGGAGGAACTAAGCTCGTATGCTAGTGACCTGGCGGATCACGGTCGCTATATCCTGTACTATCTCACGAACGTGGCAACGGAAGATAACCTGGGACTGATCTACAAGTATGCTGAGAGGGTGAAGCAGACTCGCGATGCTATTAGCGCGGATGCGAGCGAGAATCTCTACATTGTCAGTGATTTAGCCCAGGCTGTCATCAGGAAATGGCAGGAGCGGAAGAACTGGACTTTTCAAGCGTTCCCCGGCAAGGTCGGCTTGCCTATCGGTCTCTACACTGCCTTGCCTTCACACCAGGTCGCCCAGGAGATTGCTGAGAAGCAGTATCTGCCGTCAGACATTGATGAGAAACTGGATGGTCTCTTCAAATCGATTGATCGAAAGAAGGTAAGCTGATGATCTCTCCTCTGTCATTCGGCCTCTAGGCTCACAAGATTATAGAAGAGAAAGTCCACGGATGATCGTGGAGACCATCATCCTGCCAAGAAAGCAAGGTCAGCGCCGAGGGTCAGGGAGCCCAAGGCACCAAAGGAGCCAAAGCCGAAAAAGCAGAAGGTCAAGAAGCCTGCGAAGGTCAAGGCCCCGCGCCGCGAGTCTGATATTCCGCTGGAAAATCGAAGACGCAGCGGTCGTGCTGCTACCACGTCTGCAGTATCCAAGTATACGGAACGCGACTCATCTGACGACGACCGAGAGATGTGGGACGGTGTCAGCAAGTGGACATACGAGAATGAGGATGGGGAACAGACGGCCGAAGAGGCAACAGACGACGATGATGAGTCGTCAGTTCTCTCGGAAGCTCCAGAAGAAGAAAATGGCGAGGAAACTAAGAAGCCAACGGCTGCTGCGGACAACAGCGGTGACGACTCCCCTTTGTCCGAGGTTGAGGACGTGGCGACGGAAGAGCCAGAGAAGGAGGAAGAGGAAGCAGATGACGAGGAGGAGCCGGAAGAAGCTACGCCGCCGCCCAAATCCAACGGGCGGAAGGGCAGGTCGACAACAGCAGCAGCAAAAGCGGCAGCCAAGACTAAGCTGCCAGCCCGACCTGCAGCCAAAGAGAAGCCTGCTCCGAGAGCAACGAGAACATCGGCGCGAAGCACGCGCGGGAGGGCCGCCCAGGAGTCGATGGATGTCGACGAAAGCTATTGATTAAAGGCGGGAGTGTACAAAAAGTTCCAATTTTATTCTTGCGGTGCTTTCCAATTGGCTTCAAGCATGACTATATACTGGCTCATAAGGTAGGGAATGGATATCCCTGTGGTGGTTGGGTGTTTTGCGTGCGCAACCTACGAATGCAGCTGAATCTATTATATGCAACTGCTGTATACTTTCGTTTCCATGCTTGTTGTTGAACCTGTCAATATACCCATGCTGCTAAATTCAATGAGCCGCTGCGTCATCATGTGCAATAGTAATGGATGAAACTTCCAATGGTTCGAAGCTGTAAGAAGCTGGGACTCGTAATACCTGAAGAGTTGCTTGACAAAAGAAACCTTAATACCTCCGTCGGTAATTATGTACATACTGACCTTACCACAGGACCCCTGGGAGAATGAGGGGATACCCCTGCTAGGGAAGGCACGGAGTACTATGTATGTTGACTCTCCAGACAGGCCCGGCATATAGATTAGCTGCACTAACACCAACTTGCGCCGCGTTGAAGCTTCCCTTGATACAACACACATGCTTCGGTGGTGGCAAGCGCGGTGCGCAGCGCAATCAGCGCGGGAGATTTGAGCGAGATTATTTTTAACTCTTTCGTCTTCTTTCCCATCTTACTCTTTTTCTCCTTCTAAGCAGATTGCTGGCCTAGTGAAGCGGCCCAAGGTAATGTTGGCTGAGGTAGTGCAGTCCAAATTTCACAAGGGATGCATTAAGGGATGCAATGAGTCTCGGAGGGTACACCCAGTGGATTGACTTGGGGCAACTGAGGTCGAGATGGCCAAGGAGATAAGGTTCAGGAAGCTACCGCCAAGGTGATGAGTACCTTAGGAAAACAGGGAAGGTAGGTATCCGTAGGGTTTCATTGGAACGTGACCCAGCCCATGTATCTCGAGAGTCGAGATAAAATGATAGCTTTGAGCTCAACTTCCCTAGGTACCCTACAAGGTTGTCCCCTTTTTCTCCATCCTCAACCCAGAGGGTTGATTGCAGTGCAACGATGACCTGGCCGGACATTGATCGCGTGGATCTGCCCAACGGGCGAACCATTACCGTTTGTGCACCTCATCATATGGTCACCTGCGGAAGGTGCTGTCTCGACTTTAGCCACGAATTTGATGAGGAGAAGGACGACGACGAACTCTTTGGCTTCGATTACAACTCTCCCGTGCCTAGGGACGTCAGCTTCGCCCAGGTTGCGAACAGCCGATATGGCCGTCTTAAGAGAGCTATTCCGAGCGGACCCCGGGGATCAGCGCGCTTCCGGCCCACATGGACCGAAGACGAGGACAGCGATGGTCCGCTGCCCCTCGTCGATGATCTGCCCTCCACCGGTCGTATGGGAGAAGATCAGCAGATCTTTTTCGGGACGCCTGCATTCGACCGCATTCCCAAGAGAACCCAATTCTCGGGCACTCTATTTCCCACCAATTTCGGCCAGCAGAAGGAGGCGCCCCTCGAACCCTCGAACCTCTTCCCTCCTTGCCTCTCAATGAAGGCCGTGCCGCCCGTCCTCCGCTTCATCAACCGATACGACACCTCGGAAGCCCTCATCTACACCGACGGGGCCTGCTTCGACAACGGCGACGCCGCAGCCCGCGGCGGCTCCGCCTTCATCTTCAAGCCGGTTTCCCCAAACGACGAGAGCGGGCGCGTGGCCTTCAAGCTCGAGGACAAGGGGCCGGACGGCCAGACATACCGTCACACCAGCAACCGCGCCGAGCTGCGCGCCGCTCTCGCCGCGCTTCGCTATAGGGCCTGGTACGGCGAGGGCTTCAAGAGTATCGTCATCGCTACCGACTCAACCTACGTCGTGAACGGCGCTACAGACTGGGCGCACGCGTGGATCAAGAAGGGCTGGCGAACGAGCTCCGGCGAGCGCGTCAAGAACAGAGACTTGTGGGAGGCTCTTTTGCTCAGAGCTGAGGTGCTCCACGATCACGGCGTCAACGTTCGCTTCTGGTGGATCCCGCGCAAATTCAACCACGAGGCCGACAAGGCCGCCAAGAGCGCGGCTTCCAGCCTCGAGCCGATGGCAGAGTTTGGCGACTTGATAGGGATTCTTGATTGAAACCTGCGGCGCGCCGTTTCTCAACTTCTTGATCGGGAATCTCCTCGGCGACCTGACCCCCGCCCATCGGATCTTTTGCAACACGTTCTATCATGTTTGTTGGTTTGCTTCTGCTGGCGACTAGGCTGAGAAAGGGGTTTGGCAACCTTGTTTTTAAGCACGCTTTACCATCACCATCACCACCACCGTCACCACAAAACGTTACCTTTCGCAATTTTCTCTACCCAACAATGAGCGCTACGTGTAAGGGAGGATTTCAGGGAATTATCGGTTAGCGACTGGCAAGGAGCCCCTTTGTGACCAGGGTCACGCGTACGGCACCGCGTTGAGCAACCAGGCCTAGACTGGGGCTTGGCAACCCGGTGTTATTAAGCACATTTTTAGAATTCACGGCTTACTGATGCGTCGAGACATTTGTTTTGGTCTGGAAAAGGATGGTTTGTATTGACAGGCTCCTGATCCATGCGCAGAGCTTCCTATGAATGCCCGTGAACAGTTCTTTTCCACCCATGGGTCGTTGTTTATGCGAATAAGCATTTAAGCCATCGACATAACCGACCCCGGCGGTACTCTAGTACAGGCGTCGCAAGAAAGAACAGGCGCTGCACTTAGTAAAGGCGCTTGGGGGGAGACATGGAAGCCTTGATGGTCAAGCTTCCAACGTTCTGCCAGCCCTTCTTCAGCAGGGAGACGAGGTAGTTGATGGCCAACATGATGTTGGCAATCAGCTGCTCCTGGGTCATGCCAACGTTGCCGACGGCGACACCCATGCAGAGAACCTTCTTCAGCTGGAACTTGATGGTGGACTTGACCTCGGTGATCTTGCCAGAAAGGTCGTCGGCGTGGGAGACGGGGGTGGGGAACTTGCCAGCTGCGCGGTTTGTTAGCAACGTGAGGGCAATGAGTAGGTGGTGGGGATTTTTTGACGTACCCTTGGACAGACCGGGACCCAAGAGACGGGGGATCTGCTTGATCAAGGTCTCGGAAGCGACGAAGGCGTCGTACTTGCGAGCGAGCTTCTTGATGAGCTTCTTGTTCTTGTTGAGCTTCTTCAAGTCGTCGGCGGACATGGCGTCGACACCGCCGTGCTTGGCACGATCGATATCGTGCTGGTCACCGAGAATGCAGATGCTCATGTTGGGGCGGGGGACAATCGGCAGGCGGACGGTGCCGGAGAAACGCTTGTCACGCTGGGGATCATAGTTCTTGAGGCCGATCTGAAGCTCGACAGACTCCTGTGAGGGGGGTTAGCTTCGCTTCGATTCGATTGCGAGAGGTCGCCCAAGGGTGCGGTAGAACTGACAAGGAAGTTGCGCTTCTTGGTCTCAAGAGAGTACTCGAGCAGCTCAGAGACCTGAGTGCGGACGTTGGCAACCGTAATTTTCGACATCTTGGCGATATCTCCCAGGTATCTGGTGCTTACGGTAGATGTTTGGTGATGATGGGGTTGAAGGGGAAAGGGAAAAAAAGCCGATGGAAATTTCGGCGGGGCGCTGCCTTCTTTTTCAATTAGGGCAGGGGAAAAGTTGGCCACACCACCTGTGTGGGCGACCGAGGGGTGGAGATGGCCAGTGCGCGCGACGTTCCAGAAGCTGCAGGCGATTGGCTGAATGTCACTGGGAGGGAAAAAAAAAAAAAAAAAAAAAGAAGAACAGAGGCACGAGGGCGGCGAGGGAGGGGGGGGCGGGGGGGGGGGGGCGGGGGCGGGGGGGGGGGAGGTCAGAAGCTGCGGAGCAGATTTGCTAAGTCACTGGGGGGGGAAAAAAAAAAAAAAAAAAAAAAAGAGTCGGGACCATGGCGCTTGAGTGCCGCCCCGCGATGAGTCTTCGCCGGCGCGCCGAGTCAATGCTGTGCGCCGCTTGATGAAAACTCGCGGTATATTTTCCCTTGTCCGATACCTTCACCCGACGAACCCATCCCAAACTGGAGAATCTTATGTAAGACCCGGAACAAATCAAAAAATTGGGTGCATTCCTTTCCGTTACTTACACGTCGAGAAGACGAAGACGGCAGGAAAAAAAAAAAAAGACCCCTGTTGCTCACTCGGCCTGCATTCACTCGCTTCGCCGTTGCCCCTCGGTGCCCCTCATTCTACTCCCAGAGTCACTCGCCGGGTTCACCAATTATGAGATAGCGATGAAGCAGGATATGGTCCCCCAGTATGAGAGCTTCGTCAACCCGAGTGACCTGCTCAAATGGGTTGAAGAACAGCCGGAGGAGTCGTGGACTTCGTAAGACTTTTTTTCCCCTTTTCAGCCCCTCCTAAATGAGTGTTCCAAGTGCATTAGTGTGTTAACATTTGTTTCTGTCCGTAGCATCGCGCAAAATGTTTTTGACCACCTCCTCTCCCTGGCCGCCCAGCCCAAGGGAGTCTCGGGCAACTCATGCGTGAAGCTCTGCGGATTTGTGGAGCAAAGCTCCAAGTCTGGCAAGCTCGCCCTGCGGCAATGGGCCTTCTCCAAAGAGCCCAGCCTGGGCCTCTTCAACTTCTTCATCAAGTGGAATGAGACCGAGCAGCACCGGTCCATGAAGTTGGTCCTGGACCTTCTGCCCTCGCTCATCCGCCGCAACCCCGACCAGGCCGTCTCCGAGCTGGTCAAGACGACCATCTTGGACACCCTCATCTCCATCATCGGGCCGCAGTCCACCAAGCCTTTGGTCAAGTCATCGCTCAAGGCCATGGACTACTTTGCCGGCAAGTCTGTCTTCAGCGTCGACGATATCGCGGCGAGCTACAGGCGGACGCAGCCGGGACGCAGCTGGGTGTCGGACATTGCCCTGTGGGAGGACTTTTTCGGCCAGATGCTCGACTGGATGACCATGCACTACGTGTGTCCGACCACGGGCAAGTTTATCGTGACCATCTTCAGGGTACTGCGGCAGCAGTCTCTCAAGGCCCCTCAAGCTGCGGGCGCCGAGCAGTTCAGCGTCGAGATGTGGCTTCGCTGGGTGCAGGCCGCCATTGCCAAGACGCCGTCCCTGCTCGAGGGCATCAAGACTTATGTTTTCCTTCCGCTGTTCAAAGATGACCGCAAGGACTCGGTCCAGATCCTGGAGCAAATCAACAGCATGTGGTCTACGTCTGGCTCGGCCGTGGCTGAGCTAGACACTCTGGCCCAGCTGAACCTTGCCGTGCTCGAAGTCGGCAAAAAGGTTGGCATGGTTGAGGAGCCTGGTGCCATTTACAGAGAAGAGTCTTCCTCAGCAGTCGTCTTGGAAGAGGCCGTGCTCGAGAGAGTCCTGTCGCATCCATCCCATGAGCTCCGCTCGCTGGCGCTGTCCCTCATCGTTGCCTCACCGTCGACGACGAGGCCTTACTCACCAGTAGCTCTCCGCCTGTTGCAAGCCCACCTCCCGACGTACTTTTCAGAGTCGGACGCCAAGTTCCGCATGGAACTGTTGAGCAAGCTGAAAGACATGTTCAAGCGCAGCAGGGGCGCCATCTTCATCCTGCACAAGAGTCTGGCCCGTCTCAGGGCCTTTGACGGCGCTGCCAACGGCGCGCCAAAGGCTCCCAAGGCGCCGCCAAAGCAGGCGAACCACCGCACCAACATTCTGCTCTGGCCCGAGGACAAGCTACGAGCGAGCTTGAAGCAGCACGAAGACTTCCTGGCGTGGTATATTGCCTTTTTGCGGTCAGAGCTGATTCCCACAGCTTCCTTCCAGCGACACTTCACGGCGCTGAGGGCCGTCGCCTTTATTCTCAAGCTCGAAGCCGACGCCGGCAAGACCTGGGAGACGGAAGAGGACGAGACCCTGTTCTTCAACCTCTTTGACGGAAAATGGACCCGCGCGCTGCTCGACCTCATCATGGACCCCTTTGATGATGTCCGGGAGAACGGAACGTCCGTCCTCAAGAGCTTGTTCGCCGACAAGCGCTTCAAGTGTCTCGTCGGCACCCAGGGGATCTCGCCGACCCTGGAAGAGTTTTTATCGAGAGCAGAGGACATTGCGCGCAGGACGGCGCGAGCCGATCACGCCGATGGCGTCGCTCGGACAAACGAGCTTCTCTTTAGATTCTACGACGGCAGAGAGGCGCAGATTGCGCACATTTCAAAGTTGATGGATCTCCTTGAAGGCAAGCTCGCGTTCGCCGAGGCCGACCTGGGCAATGCCGTTCTGGAGGCGCCGGTGCACGGCTACTTTGCTTCTCTCCGGTGGGTGCAGGATCTTGCGATGCATTTTGACAATGGTTCTAGACTGACAAAAGATCAGTTACATCTGGCAAGCTGCAGCTGACATGAGCTTCTCACAATCCGAGATCGAGGCGATGACCACCCTCCAGAGCCGAATCGTCAAGTGCTGTCAACGCATCTGGGCTGCGGTACGGGACATCCTGTGCGACGACTCGCCCGAGGGCCACTTACCTCAGGAGCTGGAAGATCTCGAGGGTCTCGACACCAAGGACCTGCTGAGCTACAGCTTCCGCGCCATCCACGAGTCGAGGTAAGGGATAGAAGAGCCTTTACGAAGTTGTATATCTCAGCTAACCTCCTTCACCAGCGCCTTGATGCGCGTCATGGTCCTGCCCCTCAAGTCCAAGGCCAAGGAGGGAACTCTGCGCCCCTCGACCGACCTCTTCACGAACGTCGGATCCTTGACCTTTGACCAGCTGTCGAGCCTGAGACACCGCGGCGCCTTCAACACGGTCTCGCTGTCGTTCGCGACCTGCTGCCAGCTGGTCAAGCACCTGGACGACCCGAAAGCCGGCCACGAAGGCGGCGAGACGCTGCTCGACGTTTGGTACAGAGGCACCAAGGAGTGCATCTTTTCCCAGGCGTCCACCACCCGCCGCTCCGCCGGTATCCCGGCCATGATCACGGGCATCGTCTCCGCCAACGCGCCGCAGCCCTCCTTCGACGTCGTCATCGAGGAGCTCGTCGCCATCGCCCGCAAACCCGCCTTCAACTCCGAGTCGGACGGCTCAAAACTGCCCCAGGTCCACGCCCTCAACTGCCTCAAGGACATGTTCAAGAGCTCCTTCATCACCCAGCTCGGCAAGTCCGCACCGCACATCCCGCAGTGCCTCGACCTCGCCGCCGGCAGCCTAAAGTCCGAGGTCTGGGGCATCCGCAACTGCGGCCTCCTCTTCCTGCGCTCCCTCCTTGACAACCTCTTTGGCACCAATGAGAGTAAGGCGACCCTAGAGGCCGGCTGGGATGGGCGGACGACCCGCCTGCAGTACCACAAGTTCCCGATCCTGCCCTCCGTGCTCCTGAACCTCCTGCGCTCGGGCCGCGAGGTTATGAAGCCCACGACCCTCGGCAGCACCATCGCCGCCGAGTCCGTTTTCCCGGCCCTCGACATCATTCGCCGCGCGGGACCTCCCGATGCCTCGCGCGATGAGCTCTACGGCCTCGTGGCGGGCTACCTCGCGAGCCCCGTCTGGCACGTGCGGGAGATGGCCGCCCGCGCGCTGTGCTCTTTCCTGCTCAAGGACGACGACTGGGTCGGGCTCGCCGAGGCCGTCATTGACGAGTCCCTCGCCGCGGCGCCCGCGAGCAGAAACAACCACCTCCATGGCGGCCTGCTGACCGTGAAGGCAGTCTTTGAGCGGCTCTCCGATGTATCGCCCCAGAGACTGTCCTCTGCCCTACCGCGCGTGATCTCGATCCTCAGCGGTCTCGAAGCGAGCGCGTCCGACTCCTTCGCATCATGCCCAGACATCCGCGCCGCCTACCTGGAAGTCCAAAACCTCATCTCCCTCTTCGCCCTTTCCCACCCCTCATCCTCGGCCGCCTCCTCGACCTCCGAATCAATCTCCCAATCTCCGCAAAGCGCTCTTCTCCGCACCCAACTCGCCATCGCCGCAGTCCACGCTGCCCAGAACGACCCCTCCCCGTCAGACGCCCTCCGCGAGACCCTGCTCTCGACAAGCACAACCAGCGTAGAGGCGACAATCACAACCCTCGAGACCCTCGCCTCGGTCCACCACCCGCGTCTGACCCCGGAGGCGGCAGCATCCTACGCCGCGCTGTACGCCGACGTGGCCCGCTCCACCACGCACCCGGACTCCTGCGCGGCAGCCCTCAACAACCTCGCAGAGGTCCTCGACCTCGTCCTGGCAGCCTGCCCCGATGGGAAGAACAACGACGAAGACGACAGCAAAGAGCCTCTCTCAAGCCTCCTCCCCGCCCCCGAGACCCTGACACAGCTCTGGCAAGACCTCCTCGCAAGAACAATAAACCCGAACCTCTCCAACGCCATAACCCGCGCCAGTGGCCCCATCATGGCATCCCTCGTCTCCCACCACCCCGCCTCCACATCCGCCTCGCAATCCCTCCGCGGCTGGGGCTATATGATGTCCTCGGCCCTCCACGACTCCCGCCCCTTTGACACCCGCATCGCCGCAGCAGCCTCCCTCACCTCCTTCTTCTCCTCCTCCTCCTCCTCCTCCCTCCTCACACAAGCAGACCCAAAACAAGCCCCCCTCCTCCCGGCCCTCACAGCCCTCTACGACGCCCTCAACGACGATGACGACGAAGTCCGCGACCTAGCCTCCCTCTCCGCAAAACACATCCTCGCCCAACCTCTCGCCCCCCTGGACGCCGCCTCGATGCTCCTCACGTACATCGCCATGACATACCGCGACGCCCCCGCCCTCCACTCGCTCCTAGCGTCTCGTCTCACGGGCCAGCAGCAAGACTCCAAAGACGAGGCCGATACCAAGACCTCTGAACAATGGGACACGGCACAAACACAACTCGCCGCCGCCCTCCGCTTCGACGACTCCCTCTTTGCAATCGAAGAACAAAACCTCTTCATCGACGAGGTGCGCGAATCAAAACGCTGGGCCATTGTCCTACAAGACGTCTTCTCCTCCTCCTCTTCGTCGGCAGCGCACGCCGCTCTCACAAAATGGACATCCGACGGCCTCGACGCCCTCCTGGACCTCGCATCCCGCCCCGAATACGCCGACGACGGCCCCCTGGGCTGGACCTCGGACCCGGACGTCTACGCCGTTTGCGCCCGCGTCCTCCTCGCCGCGGCCGCGCTCGCCAAGGTCGGCGTCGACGGATCCGAGTCGTTGGGAACCAGGTTGGAGCGACTGCAGAGCGTGGGTCAGCAGGGCAGGCTTCACGGGCTGTTGCTGGAGATGACGACTGCATGATTCATGTCGTTGGGTAATCGCTAGATATGGACAGAGGATGGATAAAAAGCATATGAATCTTTCCGTTTAAATGAAGGAAATAAAAAGTTCAGGTTTATTTGGGAATGTTTTCGTGTACATGTGTCGAGAGAGAGAGAGTACATGAAAATGAACAAGAAAAAGACGAAATAAAAAGGCTATAAAGGAAGGCTAAGACGCCCCGACGCCGTTGGATGCTCGTTCGCCATCTCGTCCCTCCTCCTCCTCTGCCTGCATCAAGCTGGGGGTATCCTGTCCTGCAGCTGAATTGCGTCTCCTCCTCTGTTAGTGTCGTGCGTACATTTTACACGGGTCCCTCGTCACCTTAGTTGGACACCGTCTGAACCACCTTTTCGCCCGGCACACTCAACGACGAGTCCTGCCTTTTCATCCCGCCCATTCCACCCATCTTTCCCAGCTTGACTACCAGCATGGTATTCTGGCTCTGCAGCTGGCCTACCTGCTCCTTGAGAACGTCAATCTCCTTGAGCGCAACGTCCCGCTCGGCCTTGACGTGCTCGAGCTCCAAGGCCAAGTTTCCCTTCTCTTCCTTCTCCGCCTGTTTCCGCCGCTTCTCTTCGGCCTTGCGTTGCTCCTGCTCGCGGCGCTGTTCGAGACGTTGCATATCGCGCTTGTACTTTTCCTCTTGCTTGGCCATTTCCTTCTCATGCTTCTCACGTAATTTCGCCAGGTTTGTAGCCTCTTTCTGCGAGTCTTGATCACGCTTACTGGACATGCGCTCCTGCATCTTGTTGATCTTTTCTTGCATCTTTTGGCGCCGCTCTTGAAGTTTCCTGAGCTCTCTCTCGTGTTGCGAAGATGTCTTCGCACCTTGGACGGACGCGCCGCCACCGGAACCGGACGAGTGTAGCGACATGCTGTCGGGCTGCGTAACCTCTGGTGGCGTGACTGGCTCGCCTTCGTCCGTCTTCTCAACAGCTGAAGCGAAGCTTCGGATGGACGACGTATCGCTTTCAGCCGACTCATCTTCTTCTTCCTCCTCCGCTATTGAGCCGTTGGTGCTCGGTGCTGTGAATATCCCGGGCAAAATGTAGCCCTCCGGGAGGCGACTCGCCACGACTGAGCTGGCCATTCCGAAAGCACCGGATATGATGCCGTACAGGCCGTTGCTGCTCGGGACAGAATCATCCCGCACCTGTGCTGATTCTTCGGGCAAGAGGTTCGATGTCGGTTGTTTGGCCACCTCCATAGGAGAAGCAACCTTTTCACTCTCGGCCTGCTTAGCGCCTTGTTTCGTCTCCTCCTGTTCGGAATCTGATGTGGAAAAGTCGTCTGCAGACTTCACCGTCATCCACTTGAGGAACTTGCCCGCATCCCCAATGATGCCGGCCGGCGTGCCTCGATCAATCAGGAATCGGGGCACGTTGCCACCGGGATCACTGCGAGTGACCATGAGCCACTCAATCGACGTTGTCGCGTCTTCTTCAATGCCTTCACCAGTGTGCCCGGCGTCGTCTCTGGCTGGTGCACTATCAACAGATGCACCCCGATGGCGGCCGTCCGCATCAGCCACCTTCTTCGCTGCCCGAAGCACGGCCTCCTTGCCCATGGACTCAGCCACGGCCTGTCGTTCTTTAACGCCCTCTTGGCTGAGGTCAATCGACGATCGCGCTCGCGTGATCGCAGCCGGCTTATCAGATGGAATCTCGCGAATGATTTCGACCGACTCGTATTGACCTCGAATGAAGCCTGGCCGCTCGGGGCAATCGGGATGAATGCATGGTTTCGAGACAATCATATACGTCCGGAGCGGCCGCCTGGCACCCTCTTGCGGGGCGCCGCCGGAAAAGTCGGAACTCAACAGTAACGTCACAAAGTCCCTCGGAGCCGTCGGGCCTGGGAATTGCGCCGATAACTGAAATACTGAGCAGTTTTTGTCAGTATTTGGCGCCCGAGTCTGAAGTGGTCTTGTCCAAGCTCACCTTCCATTTTCCCAGCGCCTTCCACGACCTCGTGCGCTGCCCGCTTCTCTGCTCCAATGCCGCGGATGGCGCCGGCGCCGGGCCCGCTCTGCACTTTCATGGACTCGGCAAATTCTCTCTCGAGACCTAGCTTCCACTTCTCAAAAGTCAATCCATCGTGAATGCTGCGCCGGGCGAACCAGCTACCCTTGCCGTCCTTGGCGGCAAGCTTATATACGTTGATTGCTAGCGGGTTATCCTTTGCATTGACCTTGACCTCTTTCCACTCTTTAGACAGATCTTGTGACAGCCTCAGGGCAGCGCCCGTTTGGCGCTGGGAAAGGGAACGGTTGATGTCGGTGACAAGTATCGGGGGATCGGTGTGGGAGCGGGAGCGGCCGTGAGAAGCCGTGACCTGCTTCACGGCGGCGGGGACGGGAATGGAATCAATGACTGTTTGAGCGTTTGTGAAGACGTCGGTCATGAACTCTTTTAGGTCCTCCTCGGCGACAGATTCCCACTTGATAGGCGCGAGGCCTTTGAAGGGCTCGTGGTGCGGTGCCATTGCGTCCAAGGGTGGCGGTCGGCGTCGAGGGCAAAACGGAAGGGTGTCGTGTTTAAGAAGATGTCATAGCCCAGGTAGTCCGACGGGACCGAAGACAGGCTGGCCGGAGGTTTCGGTGAGGGCGGAAGCGGGCGGAGATTTTCAAATGTCAGAATGTAGTCTGTAGCGAGGTAGTGTCGTGTAGATTGGTCGTCGGGGTCCGGACGTGACCGAGGCGTTGGGGGAGTCTTCGTGGGGAAGCAAGGTAAATGCTGTTCGGTAGTCTGCGGATGAGCGTGGTTTCGGCGAATTGTTGCGCAGGAATGGGGAGACCAAGTAAAGCTTTGAGTGACCTGCGAATAGTGCCCCACGTGTGGCTTAAGAAGAGGGAGGAAGAAGCGGGTTTAGAGCGTGTGGGATGGACAAATGGTTTGGACTCTGGCAGGGGCTTTGACGTCTGCGGCCTGCCCGACCCAAGCGGACCTAATGCTCCCGTCCGCTCACTCTCGTTCTCTCCTCGACCGTGTTCCATCATGTCTACCGTGCTTAATGCGCCCTTATCCTTCCATCCGGTGTGACACTCCTTCCATCTCCTTGGGAAAGTGACATTTCTCACCTTGCCTCGGATCCTGCTTGCCTGCCCCAATGACGGCGTAAGACATGCACCTACCTACTTACAAGGGCCAGTCGCTTTCTTGCTGTGTTTGCTTCCCTCCTGCCTTGCCTCACCGCGCTTCTCGCATTGGCTCGACCCTGGCTCGACCCTGGCGCTGACGTCACCCAATGTCTATGTACAAAGTACGGTCCCTCGACTCCCTCCCTCATTCAGAAGGTGGGGAGGAGGGGGAAACCGAGAGAGACAGAGAGAGGGGCCGCACCTCCCCCGTCCGTCTCGACGTCACAATTGGTGGTCAGCCTCCCGGAAAGAGGACCAAGTGGGGCCCATGGCGCTAGAGATCGTCTAGAATCCGCGTTTTCTGGGCTCGACCTCCGTGCGCTCGGATTCCTCTCATTCGACCCTCGCGACGCCGTGACGAACGGCAACAAGGGGAAGCCTTCAACAATGGAGTCAACGCGGCTCCCAATCCCCTATTCTTGTCCCAAACTTATCCTTTTTTCCTTGTTCTTCTGTTATTAACGTGATATTGAATGGTTGGAGGGAGGAGGGATGGGTTTGTGGGAGGAGACGCGGATCCGAGACCTCGTTCTGGCCTACGTCGCCCAAGGCCCGCCGCCTCCACAAGTCAGCCACACTGTTGAATGCAGGCTCGGGGAATGTGGCGCTTCAAGTTCCTTGCTTTCTCGCCCTAACAGGGACCGAACCGTCATTCTACCCGTAAGGCAAGGCGGCCAGGATTATTTCCAACGGTTACCGGGATGAAGGGACACGTGAGGTCCTTCCCGCCTCCCTCCCTCTCCCTTGCTGGAGCGAAAGAGATCCTAGATGTAGATTAGGTACCTTACACCACAAGAGAAGGCACTCGTTGACAAGCCTGTTTTCTCTTGTCTGCATCGACGTCAATAACGTCCGCACCATCATGATCAACCTAAGCTAAGGTACATTGGTAGGCCGCATAGCCTGAATATCGCACAAGCACAGCAGAAACCACCAAGAACCAGGCTGAGATCCCCGAGACATGACCTAAAAGTCCGGACCCGGCTCACATCGGCCGTCTATCTCATTATCATGCACTATTGGTCATTAAATAGTGGACCAAATTTCCCCGTGATTGTCGATCTACGATACAGCTCTTCCATCACGGTGAATTTTATAAGAACTAGGGGCTGTATATCTGTGAAATCTGGCCAACCTAAGAGGTTTCATCGGCGCTCTGCACTTCAGTTGCTGACTTGTATAGAGACTGAAACACAAGCTGAAGCAACGTGGTGGCCTTACCATCTACCTTAGTTAAACCATCTTTTATCTCACAAGAGAAATTTATAGGCGGTAGGATATCGATCTAGTAATGCCTAAGCGATTGACCGTCTCAATCAGCTCCGTGCCCTCAGATACTACCTTGTATTCAAACACGTCTCTAGCATATCTTCTAGGGCAAAATAGTTTTCTGAAGTTGAAAGTAAAAGCCTTCACATCCAACATAATCAAGTATTATCCTCCTTTCAGAGTAAAAAGAAAACCCAATAATACACCGGTAGCTATAGAGAGCCTCCGTATGATTCCCAAAAACGCGGCACCCAACCCACCACACAAAAGAACGCCTTTACAGACCCGCCAAAGAGCTTCGCTCGCTCACCAACGCTTGTTGGTCCAACTTACAGCTCCCACAATACGTATCGTACCACTCTCGGAGCGCCTCCTTCTTGCCCTCGTCAATAGTAGACGTCAAGACCTTTTGACCGCCGCCGCCACCCCGCTTACTCTTAGCAGCCGCACCACCCGCACCGTCCTCCTCCAATACCGTCTTGAGCTTCTCGCAACGCATCGTCTCGTCCGAGAGCCAGTTCTCCCATTCCGACTGCACCATCTCCCGCTCGATGCTGTTGACGATGCGCATCGCGACGAGGAGGTCGTGCCGGTATGACCCGAGACGCTGTCGAGTCCGGCGCAACCGCCGCGCGGTCGCTCGGCTCGTCGCCGATGACAGCGTCGACCCGGCGTCTTCGTAGGGACTGTCAAGGTCGGTGGCGTTTGCAACAAGTTGGAACGTGGTGAAGCTGTAATTTCAGATTAGCCATCGTGTTTTTGAACCCCAAGGAGTCGGTAAAGTTTTGCGTACCAAGCACTATCGGTAGGCCAGCTGTTGTTGTGGCCGACCGCCCCCGTTGCCTCACCCAAATCTGCCATGTAAATGGCCTTGCTCATCATCACGTTCGGCCCGACACCGACGCGTGTCATGAACTTGGCTGCTCGCCTCTCCGTCCACCAAGTCGAGCTTTCCTTGGAAGTCAAAGCAATGTTCGTAAACGCGCTCACAGCCAGGACAAGAAGGATGAGTCTATGTGCTGTGACGACACTGAAGAATGTCTTCACTACGGCGATGGCCCACATGATGAGCGACGTTACCGCACTTTCGCCAAAAGAACGGAGCGTTTCAAGAAGCATGGCCGTCAGCGTGCGCGGTTTGATAAGCTGCTTCTTCGACGCAGCCGCATCGGCCGGGGAAAAGACGACAACCTGCGTCTGCTGCCCAATGTTTCCGTACACCTGGATCGCCCTCTTCGTTCGGCTGTGGGGGCCGAGCTTGCGCACCTGGTCCGTTGCCACGTCTGCGAGCTCTTCTGCATCGCCCTCGGCATCGTTCAGAGCCTGACGCTCAACCAAGTTCTTCGAAAATGTGGGCACCTTGGACCATTCTACCTTTGTGTATATGGCCAATTTACACTTTGACTTGGCCACGTGAGTGATGACAACCTTGGTCACCAATTTGAAGTCTTGGGAATGGGGGAGATGCCATGCCGTCTTGATGTGAGTTACAACATACGTCACATGTTCCTGAAAGACGTCCATGGTCTGGTAGTCGACAACATCTACGGTCTTGGGTCGACCAATGATGTCCTTGTAGTTAAACTTGAACTGGAACTCACGCCTCATCCGGCCATGGTCTGCCAGCTCCCAGGGTCCTTGGGCAATCTGCTGTGCTCTCCGCTCAAAGTAAAGCTTGGGAAAGACAAAGCTCTTGTCTCCAAAGAGCACGTGAAAACAGGCCTTGGCACTAATCTCAAAGTGCCGCTCTGCAACCATTCTCTGCATGTCCTCGGGCTCGAAGATGACAGGGTGAGCAGGCACCTGCACTTTGGGGGTCTGCCTCGAACCAGGCCCTGCTAAGCGAAGTCTGGGCCCAAATTGGCTTTGGCGTCTGGCTGGGCGTCCAGAATGTGTGCCGTCATCAAAGGGTGTATTTGATGAGACCTCTTCCCAGCTCTCAATGCTTGGGCTGCGCTTGCTGTAGTCCTCGTACTCCAGATTGATCAGTGCCCGGATGAGCTCCGGCAACTCCATCGGCTCCTCGGATTGCAAGTCGTCGACCAGAAGATTCATTCTCGCGTGCAGAAGCTGGAGGTTATCCAGGAAGATCTTGATGGTGATTCTAGTGTAGCCCGTCTCATTGCCATCCTCTCCTAGGTGAAGGAAAATGAAATCGCATTCTTTACCGGGCGCCGCTGTGACCTCGGCGATAATGTCGAGACTGATGGCATAGGCAACTACGAGGCCCATTTGTTGTCCATAAAAGTACATATTGTCGGGAGTGATGTAGATACGACCGTTGCCCGCGAGTCCTTGCCCATGGGAAGGTGAGTCTTTGCCTGTTGAGCTTGACCAAGCGGCACGGAAGACGAGGACAAGCTTCTCGTCCAGAGGAGCATTCGGGAACAGGATCCGGAATTGGAGATGCTGGATTCTCAGCTCCGGAGGATACCCCGGAACAAAAGTCTCCACGGGTTGCCTGAACGGTGTGTGGGCTTGGCTGGGTTTCGCATCAACACTGACAGTCTTTCTGTGTCCAGTCACAGGGGTCGGAGGCTTCTCCTCGCCAGGCTTGCCCACCTCTCGGACTACTATTCCGAAGGGGTTCTCTTCGAGAAGGCCAGGGGTACGAGGACGGCCTGGACCTGATCCGTATAATGTGCTCCACGGACTACTTCCCCAGTAGTTGGCGAGAACAGAGGTAGGCATGTGACTAGTGGTGTCCGATCCTACGCTTCTGTCGACGGATAGCATCACGGCCGTTCGGCTCAAATTCGTTGCAGCCGGTGGTCTTGCCAGTGTCAGAGGGGCCAAAATTCCTTGCACTGGATCCAGAGCAGGTAATCTCGAAGTAGACGAATTCTTCGAACCAGCTTGCGGGGGAGAAGGATATCCAGGAAGGTGGCCATGGCTTGCTATCAAGCCCGCAATGCCGCCAGCGCCGGGTGCTCCGCCAGCAGCCATCGCAGCTTCCGCACCCGCACCAAAAGTCGCTTTTCGGTGAAGATCTAGCTTCTGGATGATCCTCGCTGCGTGGTCGCGATTGCTTTCACCATCCTCACGCACCATCTCTCGGCCCAAATCACGCCCGAGG